GTTCGGGAGTCAAAATGTTCGGGAACTAAACTGTTCAAAAACCAAGGTATGACTGTACGTGCACTCCCTGGAAAGTAACCCCCGTATAAGATGCAGTCATCCTGTATTATGTGGATGTTTTGATGATTAATATTTACAATGCAAAGAAGAGACTGATCTTAGCTTTTTAAGGCTACTGTTGTTTTCTTTTGGAAGTAGGTGAACCACTCATCTTCTCCCAGTTCCCATATGGTGTATGCCTATGCCTGTGCATGTGTTCATGCGAGTGAGACAAATTGCTCATATTCCAGCTTGGTCCCCTTTGATGCCATCTTTGAGTTTAAGTTGTCAAGATGAAAGGCCACACAGGAAGGATTTTTACTCATCTAGAGCATGTGATGATTAAATGCATTGTAGTAATTAGTGTTTACTACTAACAGAATTGGCATTCATATTCCAAGCATTAATTAACAGGGGAGGAAATAGAAATAGATCATATTTACACATCACAATTATTCCTCTAAAGTCTAAGTGGCTCCAAAGCAGAAGAATTTATTAAAAGCGAAAGCAGACTGAGGTATGTCCCCAAGGGCAACACCATCCATGGGGGATCGACTTTGAACAGAGAATGTGTGGATTACACAGTAATCCTGCACATGCCTACTTGAAAATAAGTCCCACTTAATTCAATGGAGCAAGTGGGTATAGGATTGCAGCCATATTCTCTTAGATAAATGCACACTGATCCTGATTGCTGTAATGAAACATGACTGCAAGGACATATGGTCCGAGTCCTGATTTCTGGTGAAAATGATGAACTATATTTTTTAGTGGACTGTGGTACAGCATGGTATGAATTCCTTCAAATTGTAACTAGGGGGAGGTAAGTTTCTCAAGATGCAAAAACTTAGATTTACTGTAGCTACGATGAGGTGCTTCAGTGTTATCCATGGGACGGATTCCTCCACTTCATCTGAGGGCAGCATGCTAGCTCAGGAAGCACAGGTTAGGCCAAATGGCGCACATGCATTTCTGTCCTTCAACCTGCAACCCAGCACCTACCACCTGAGGCAACTGCTTCACTGTGTCCAGTGGTAGGGACACCCTGACTAACACATCACATGGATTTTGTTAGTCATAGGAACCAGGAGGGAATGACATATGTATGGGCTGTGGTGTTCAGAAGCAGCACTTAAACAGTGCTCCTTATCCTTGGAATTAGAGCGGCCTGGTTGTGCCAGATTCCTCCTCCCACATGGGTGGTGAGAAACTTTTGCTAATCATGTATATGGGATAAGTGTGTGCTATTAACATGGTTGAGTGCAGCATGGTGTACCCAAAATAGCTGACACCATACATTTAAATGATCAGGTTAGGCTAGGGAACTTTCACTTTAAAACACCTAGAACTCTTACAGCACATTTTTGCCAGTGTTATTCTTTTTCTCTTCTGTACTGTTAGCTTCTCAGCTCTCAGTAATAAGAATTCGCCTAGAAGCAAGTCATTTGCTTTTTTAAAAAATAAAAAGAAGAATTTACACAGTACAAGATACAAAAACCTACAAATTCCTTATGAGTTGGCATGGTTGAAAGAGCAAACCTGCAGGGATGAAGTCATGTGACTTGCCAGGAGGGAATTTCAACTTTAGAGACACTTCCCCCCCCCCCATTTCTTTTATCACTGAACATTCTGGTATTCTACCTATGGAAATTGCTTCATGCACATATTTTGAGATATAGCTCTTCAGTTTATTGATGTAATCTGAGCAAGGTCTGCAAGGGATTCCCACATGGAAGGGTTAATGTTGTCAGCCTTTGTGTCACACTTCCCTCCCCACAGTAACCTCTGGACCACCCAAAATAACCCTGTTGGCTGGCTACTTGAGCATTCTTTGCAGCTTTCACTGCTACATGGTAGGCACGATTGTGTTTTCTTACCAGTGTTCGGTCAGCTTCAATGTAAAACATGAGCCATTTGTGCTATAGTCTTCGTCTGCTCTGTTTCACAGTCCAGAGCTCCTCAGAATACCAAGGAGCTGCTCAGGCTACAAAGCACCCAATAAGACACTCAGGAGCGTTTGTGTCAACCTTGCCGTTCCATAGCGAGACTTGGGCTTCAGGAGTATCACCAGCTTTCACCACTGGAAACCCCCCACCCAAGCATTTAGGAATACATTAGGTTCCATCTGTCTCAGAGGGTGGGCTATCAGAGCAGGCCCACCACCCTTACAGGGATAATTGCCATTGTCAGTTCAAAATTAACCAAATCATGATCTAAACATGACAAGGGAGTGCACTGCATCCCCCCGTCTTCTATAATTTGGGGCTAATATCACATCAAGGGTATGCCCCTCCTGAAGCGCTGGGCCAATGACAATCTGAGAGAGACCCACAGTTGTCATGAAGGCCATGAACAGCAGGATTCACATGGATATTGATGCCACCCAGGATTATCGTTTTAGGGTCCTCCAACAATACCCTTGGTTAGCCAGATCAGGGATACTGCTGGGCAACAGGGTGGTCAGTAAACCAGCAGCATCCCCAATCTGTTTCTTAGGAATAAACTACTATCTGATGTTTAGAAGACATCTGAAGGCAGCCCTGTTTAGGGAAGTTTTTTAATGACTGATATTTTATTGTATTTTTAATCTCCTGTTGGAAGCCGCCCAGATGGGCAGGGTATAAGTAATAAATCATCATCATCATCATCATCATCCCTGGCCCAACATCAGGTGCCGACCATGTAAGTCCATCCCAAGATTAAGTGTCAAGTAAGATGGTGCTCTTATGGACAACACAACACTCCCACTGCAGCTCCCTAGTCTAGCCTGGTGCAGTACAGGCAACGATGGATTTAGTTGCATCTGAATGACATGCGATCTCGCATGCATGGCACTGAACTTGGAAGTAGCCCCAAAACGTTGTGAATTGCCCTGAGATTGATGGGTACTGTATAGGGCAATATACAAATTTAATAATAATAAATAAGTCACGAAAATGATGAGGAATGGGTATGGAATGGGGCAGAGCAGGCTTATGCATGCTCCGCCGACATGCACGGGGGTCTGGAGTGTAACCACCCCCCTGCAGAAAACGAGGATTGCCTTTACTGAAAACCCAGGTGAGCACAGCAGTGTAAAGTTCGGCCTATCCAGCTCGTTCACCCAAGTCTCAGTAATGTAAACCACATCTTCCAGCTCATGCACAATCAGCTTGTGCACAAATATGTTTGTGTTATTTATTATTATTTTTATTTTGGACTGATTTAGCAGTCAGAATCAGCACCACCAGACCAGAGGACTCAGCAGATATTCCGCCAGCAGATATTCTCATTGGTGGAGTGAGAGGACTGGAACAAGAAACAGAGACCAAACACTTAGGCCTCCAAGCACTAATAATAATAATAATAATAATAATATTTCTTTGGATATTATTAATGCTCAAAGTAGGTAGACTTGAAATGCCTCATGCCCTACTGATTTCAAAGGCTCCCCACACTCTACCATATTGTCAGGAAAGCATTGTTCAATGTCTGGATAAGATATAAAGACTTATTGGAGAATAAAACCCCAAGGTGGCTATCACCAATGGAGGCAAAGGCCCTGAAAAAGTCCAATATGGAGGCCAAGTGGCCAAAATATTGGGAGATCTTGGAACAAGAAGGAGATAAATTCAAATTGCAGAGCTTTGAAAAACTAAAAGATAGAGTGCGAGACTGGTTGCATTATTACCAAATAAGAGAGGTCTATAATTTGGATAGAAAAATTGGCTTCCAGGTGGAAAAATCAAAGTTGGAAACAGAACTGCTAGATCCCAAAACTAAAACACTTTCAAGAATGTATAACTTGCTGCTAAAATGGAATACTCAGGATGAAACGGTAAAATCTGCTATGATTAAATGGGCACAGGATGTTGGACACAACATTATGTTTGCTGACTGGGAACGGTTATGGACCACAGGTACGAAGTTTACAGCATGTAATGCTTTAAAAGAGAATATAATGAAAATGGTGTACAGGTGGTACATGACCCCAGTCAAGCTTGCAAAAATCTACCATTTGCCCGATAATAAATGTTGGAAATGTAATGAAACTGAAGGTACATTCTTTCACCTTTGGTGGACGTGCCCAAAGATTAAGGCCTTCTGGGAAAGGATATATAATGAGTTGAAAAAGGTATTTAAGTATACCTTCTTAAAGAAACCAGAGGCCTTTCTCCTGGGCATTGTTGGCCAATTGGTGCCAAAGAAAGATAGAACTTTCTTTATGTATGCAACAGCAGCAGCAAGGATACTTATCGCAAAGTATTGGAAGACACAAGACTTACCCACTCTGGAAGAATGGCAGATGAAGGTAATCGATTATATGGAATTGGCGGAAATGACTGGCAGAATCCGTGACCAGGGAGAAGAGTCGGTGGAAGAAGATTGGAAGAAATTTAAAGACTATCTACAGAAATACTATAAAATTAATGAATGTTAAATTGAGGTCTGATTGAAAATAACTGGTATTGGCAAAAGCCTTGCGTTTAAGAGTATGGAATATTTGATTGATAAGGTTGCAAAAATATCTATTTATAAATAGATTAAGTTTCTTGAGTTAAGATAAAGGAAGGAGGGTAAGGATTTGCTGAAAGGAGTCTCTAAATGGAAATACAAGTGGGGAGGTGCGGGGAAGTCAAAGAACTAAGGAAAGATAAGAAGGTTAAAGGAAAGTATAAATTTTTAAATTGTTCTGTTTCTTTTTTTTTCTTTCTCTTTTTCTTTCTTTTTTATGGTTATTGTTATTTTTTGTTTTCCTTTTGTCACTGTTATTGTTGTTTTTTGTCTTTGGAATTTTTGTATTTTTGTATGTTTTGGAATTTTTGTAAAACCAATAAATATTATATTAAAAAAAAAAAAACAAAGGCTCCCCACACTCTACATCCCCACGCTAATAACGAGAAGTGACATTAATATGTCTGTTAATATCCGAGGGTGGCACGACGAGAGGCCCCCTCCCCTCTCTCGTCCCGCCCTGAGGAGGGACCAACAAAATGGCGGCGGCGGCGCGCCGTTGATTCAAACGCAGCGCGCGGGGCGGCGGTGGTGGGAGGCGGCCTCCCGGCGGGGTTCACTGCGCCTGCGCCCCGCGATTCAAGATGGCGGACAGTGCGGAACTAAAGGTAAAGGCGCAGTTTCAAGCCGCCCCCCCTCCCCTCTTCCTCCCCCCCCCCGCCTCACCGCCGCGGCTCTTCTCTACTCCCGGGCCCCCCTCCTCCTCCCCGCAGCAGGCCTGGCCCGGCGGCCGGGCGACCCAGTGGAGGAGCTCAGGGAGGGAGGGAAGGCTGGCTGGCTGGCTGGCGGCGATCCGGGTGTGTGTGAGAGGAGAGGGAAGAGAGGCGCTGAGGGAGGGACGGAGGGAGAAGTGAGGTGGGGGGGAGCGCCTTTTGGCTCACCCATTGAACTGAGTTTGCCTCCCCCCGTATGTCCTCCCTTGCTTTTCTTATCAGCCCCCACCCTAGGAAGCGAGTCCGCTCGAGTCTACTTTCCCTCCGAGGTGCTTTTCTCTCAACCCTCCGCCCTGCGAGGTTGGCCAGGGCTGAGGAGGAGAGGAGACCTCGTTCTGCTGCCCAAGTTGTGGGCGACTCTTCTCTCTCCCCACACCTGCATCAGATCAGCCTCTCTCTCTCTCCCTCTCTCTCTCTTGCTCCTCCACCTTGAGCTGGCTCAGTGGGTCCTCGCCCCCTTGAAGGCCACAATTTGAGGAGTGCAGAGTAGGTTATGTGCGTCTCCTCCCTCCCCATCTCAAGAGGAAAATAATCTAAAAATGGGGTCCCGCGCAAAGCTGCCCCTTCTTCTTTGACAAAGATGATCGTCCTATTCGCCTACGTGGAACGGAGTTTGTCCAGAATCTGGCTTCTTTTACCTACCCAGCTTTTGCCCCCCTCTTTTCTGCCCCTCTTGCATAGGTTTCTTCAACTGCGCAAAGGGCAGAGAACAAGGAGGAAAATGTGTCTTTCCCTAATCGTTTTATCCCGAAGTTTTGACAGCTCTCCCTGACTTTTAAATGCTTAGTATTTGCCAGTGGCAGAGAAGGGTGCCTGAAAGGAGTGGAAACTGAGAGACCCCCTCCCCAAACTTTCACTTTCAAAGGGTGGAAACTGGTTTTGTAGTAGATCCTTTTGATGTTGGTGTTCATTCACATTTCCTTTTTTTGTAATCCTTCACCTGGATTGCAAAGGTTTTATTACTCCATCCAAAGATGCTAGTGCAGTAGGCAGGGAACACAAATTATGGGTGTGTGAGCAACAGCTGCCTTTCAGAGGAAGTAAATAAAACTATAAGCATGTGTGCATGCATTTTTTCTACTTCCCAAGAGGTTTGTTAAACCTACATTTTATTTGAAATCATAGATGAAATGATCAAGGGCTTATTTTAATGGGAGTAAGAAACTGAATAGAAACTTTGGCTGTATTTAGATCCTTAAGCTCATGTGATGGAGAGGGCTTTTTTTTTTTTTTTTAAAGATATTTATTAAAGTTTCACAAAAATACAGAAAACAAAGAAAAAAGTATAAATTACAGCAAAAAAGTATGTGATGGAGAGGGCTTTTTAGCTCATTTCCTGAGAAGAAATTCTCTCATGTTGAAATCTAAAGCGCTCTGAACTCTCTAGAGGGATAGTAGATAGGAGGAAACTCCCACCACCTTGGTTTCCTGTTTTAAAGTGAGAGGAAACCAAAAGTGCTGAATCTCAATTGCTCTTCCCTCTTATACACTGCTATTTTCTTAGTCTAGTCTCCATGCATGACAGCTAGAGAAAAAGAGTGAGTTTAAAAATATCTGAGATGATTTTGCAGCCAATCCTTCATCCGAATAAAGTGTGTGTGTGAGGTAGTATATATATATTAAAAGCCTTTTCTGAAAGTCTTGAAATGCCCTACTGGCTAAATGAGTGAGGTTTGATATGGCTGCTACAATTCTAGTTGCTTGCTGTGATTCCCCAGGGGGTATTATAGTAATAGATCATAATTTCCTTTTTTTAGTCCTCAACATACCCACCCTTGGTAAACACAAAGGATTGTTTTTTAAATAAAAAGTATTTAGTATATTTCTTAATCTGTTTTGAAGACTTGCCTGTTTACATACTATAAAATTCAACAATGATTACAATAGTCACATGTTAAATATTGAATAACAAAATGTGTCTAGGTTGAGTGGGGGTGTTTATTTTCCCTACATACTGTAGACTTTTATAATCACGATGTCTTTGTAAGCAAAATAGAAGCCACATGTTTAATACGTTTTTATAGATAATATGTCAAAATGCATGTCAAATGCTTTCCAGTTAAAATTCATTTACCAAGGGATTATTTTGTTTACAGTGTCTCTCAATGTCTTAATGCTTTTGGAAATCACACATGTTGCTTTTATGGCTTTTTTATCCTGGCCTTTCAGAAAGGTTCTTTGCTCCTTTGGGACATGTGTACACAGTGATGGCAGCTCTCTTTGTGAGGTGAAGATGAATGGATCCTGTTTATAACCTCCATTGCCTTTTGTGTTTGGGGTGTGTGTGTGTGGAATCTTGCTGCAGTAGGAGACTTAAGGAAGCCTAGTGCCCATTTCTGCAGGCAGCTTGTTGTAAAGCATAAAAAGGTTTATCTGTTTTCCTTCACACTTGGGGTTGCTTCATTAATCTTAGTGCAGTAAATACAGCAAGGTATTGGTAACAGACTCTTATTGGCTAGGATGCTACATTTATTAGGTAGTTGTTTTAAGCTTTGTTGATCTGGGTGGCAAAAGATTTCCACCTCAATCTTTTACCTCTTCCTTCAATGCCTCTCTGGAGAGAGGGAATACATACATGTGTGTGCAATTCCTCCTCATGAGAGCTTGATAAAATTACTTGATGAATTACTAGATTGTGTTTTTTAAATAGATGCCATTGTCGGAGGCAGCATGCCTCTAAATATCATCTGCTGGTAATCGCTAACAGGGAGAGTGCTGATGCTCTCAGCTTCCCATAGTCATCTGGATGGCCACTGTGGGAACAAGCTGCTCCGCTAGATGGGCCTTTGGCCTGATACAGCAGGGCTCTTCCTATGTTTCTTTTTAAAAACTGGAATTTTATGTTGGTCTACTTTGGCTGCCCTCTATCTAACCTCCAGTTCCTATCTGAGTAGGCAAGTTTTTGTCCCCTCCCTCTAATAGCTTTTCAATGCATATGCTAACTTTCCTTTCTCCCGATAATGCTTTATTGCTTATTACCCTTGCTTTCCCAAAAATCAGCATAAGGAAACTGAGATAGTTCTTCTCAATTTTCTGTCCTTACTGGTTTGTAGCCAGAAATGTGAAACTGACTTGTTTCATCAATCATGTCCATTTGTTTCTTTTGGAGAGGTGGGCAGGGGTGACCCGCAGGCATGGCATGATGAAGGTTGCAGGCTTAAAAAAATGCCTTCTGTTTTGTTATCGAGGACAATCCTTTGTTTAGATAAAGCAACTTTTATTTACTTAAGAGGTTCTTTGTAAGTTAGCAGTCAAATTGCTGGGCAAAATATTTTGCCTTTTGAAATTTATATTAAGTTTCCTGCTTACCTGTGTTTGACATATTCTTAACCAAAAATTGAAGTTCTGTGACACAGGAAATGTCCAGTCCTTCTGCTTCCTGAGTTATGGGAAGAGTAAAGGTTAGTTTGTAGATCTTGTGAAAAACCCTACTTCAGGTGTTAGATGGGGCAAATGCTTTATTGAGGGGTGGCAAGAAGGGGTTACGGCTCACTGTAAATTGTCATAGAACCATGACCACAGTTTCAAGTATTTAATATTTTCAAGGATGCTCACAAAGAAAGTAGGCAGGGGAGACTTTCCATCTTTTATGGCTTTCCAAGCCCTGTTGGATTGCTTTGATACCAAGCAAATATCCCCCACTGTAACTTGAATAATTATTTCTGCTAACATTTGTGTGCAGTCTAAATTGAAATATTTTGTCCGCCTCTTGTTAGTATTCTTAACAAGTAAGATAAATACAGGCATTAAAATAAATAATCCTGGCTTGGATTCAGAGTAAGTTGGTTGCACTTAGTACTCATTGAAAGCAGTGGGATTTAAATGGGGGCATAACTAACTTATCCCATTGATTTCAGTGGAACCTAAGTTTAGGTAACTTCAGTGTGGATCCAGCCCATTGTGTGTAAAACTGTCACTAAAAGCTGTTAAATTACAGGGAGATGTGTTCTTCTGTTTTGCTTTGTATTTTCTTAGTAAACATAAGAGCTGCCTCTTTTTGAATGTTGTATTCAAACTAAAACATTCTGAGGCATTAAATAGCTTGAGTGCCAGATAGTCAGAATTTTTCTTCTGTCATTGAAAATTTCCTGTGTCTTAATATATCATCTAGTTACTTTTTAAAATCAAACAGGTTCTGAAAACATTGGTTCCTTACCCAGCATTGTTCTTTTTTAGAGGGTTGTGAATTCCCCAGTTCCTTATTCTTATTCACCTATGAGATTTTGTGTGTGTGATGATATAATAGCTCATATTAAGAACATAAAATGAGCCTGCTAGATCCGGCTGGTGGCCCATCTGTATCACAGTGGCCACAGGATGCCTGTGGGAATCTTCAAGCAGGACCCGAGCACAAGAGCAACCTGGTTTTCAGAAGCACACCATCTTGGCTATTAGCCATTGATAGTCTTCTCCTCCATGAATTTGTCCAATCCTTTTTTTAAAGCTTTACAGATGAGTGGCCATCATTGCTTCCCAAGGGAGTGAGTCCCGCAGTTTATGCATTATGTCAGAGCTTTCCAAATTTTTCATGTTGGTTACACACTTTTTAGACATGCATCATTTTGCGACTCAGTAATTCAGTTTTCCTAGCAAACCGGACGTTAAACTAACCCCTTTCCAGCCCCGGGAGGAGCACGGGGAGCTTTCGTGTGACACCTACACACTGCAGCCAACACAGTAACATGTCGTGACACACAGTTTGGAAAGCTCTGCACTAAGTGATGGGGAAGCATATAAATAAACAGCTAGTTCTGGAGTAGTATGTTGTGTGATCTTTGTGTGAATGTCTTCATTACACAGTTCTAGGTTTTCATAACATTTACATATAGATCAGAGTTTAATTATTTCTAAAATTGTCATTGTTGATGCTGTCTTCTGAACGGATGTCAAAAGTGCATATTGAGAGGCTTCCGTCTTTACACTCTCATTTTAAAGGAGTGCCTTTGGGAACTGGAAAGATCCTTGAAGTGTTTCTTGTTAGTTATGTTTCCTAATTTTAAGGAGTGATGGTGATGGAAGCTAAAGAAAGATTTTGAATTAAAATATCTAGTCATGTGTTCTTCTGTACAGGTGAATTTATGAATGTAAATCTCTCAGTTGAAATCAAATACTAGGCTTGTTGGATGTGAGGAAACTGCTAACAAGCAAGGTACTTAGTATTTTTAGATGATAGTAATAATGAAGATTAGGTCTCCAAGGATGGAGAAACTTCATAATAGCGCTAGCAAAATAGCCAAATAAGCAGAAGCCACCATTTTCAGCTTTTAGTTATAATTTTGCTCAAACCATTTCCATTGAAGATCTATCTAAATCTCAGTGTTGGATACAAACAGAATAATTTCACAATTCAAATTGTTTTAATGAGCAGCCCTTACCATGCACCTTCCTATTTACAGTTTTTCTTCTTGTATAATCCACAGTGTTTCTTCAATGCGCTTTGAGAAGTCATCTATACATTTTTATTTCTTCATGCTGAAGCTGCAAAGATCAAATAAGCAGCTGTGCATCACTGTAAAAATAATAATCCAGCTCATGGTACTTAAGTATGTTTGCCAATAAAAATTAGATTGCAAATTTCATGCACACATAAATATGAATAGTGTATGCATACTTGTTTGTGAAGGGTTTTATACTTCATTAGGAGTTCTCATCAGTTATATTTACAGGGATATGGGGTGGAATTTTTATTCATGGATACATTAGTAACTATTTTCTAATAAAGACTGGAAATTCTTTTTTAAAGTAACTTCATTGGCTTAAAGGTATTGCATATAGACAGAAAATGTCAGTGGTGGTTGCTGAAGGAGGCATGAGTCATTTGTAACCATTAGGTTGGTATTATTTTAACATTTATTTAAAGCAATTTTCAGATGTGGTGCAGAACAGAAATAAGCACTCTCAGTCCTAAATGCATTGCGTGAAGTAAGCTGTATGGATGTCAATTGTGCCTGCTTCTGGGCAAGGCCTTTAGGATTAGGGCATATTTTGGATAGATGGAAGGTGATGGGAGATGATGGGGTTTGATAAAAGCACAGAGTGAATAGTAGAAACTGCAGAACAGATGAAACTGGTAGTCTTGGAAAGACGAGGAAGTGATGCATTGGTTGAAAGGGATTGTGTTGGAAAAGGAAAATGGAGCAGCAGATTTCATGGAGAGGAGGCGCTGCAAAGGGGACGGACGAAGAATGAGAAGGTTTGGTTTAAGTACAGAGCATAGCAGTCTAAACAAGGATGATTGAGAGGTTGGAAGTCACACGGTAATCAACTGGGAGCCAGTGTAGATACTTTGGGTACATGTGCGGTTGAGAGTGAGTCAGTCTTAATGAGTTTCCAGAAGTAATCTTAGGCATTATATTTTTTAAATTACAAACGTTGAAATTTTTAAAAACAATTACCAAGCATAAAGTCGAAACAAAATAAAAAAGTTCCTTCTAGTAGCACCTTAGAGACCAACTAAGTTTGTTATTGGTATGAGCTTTCGTGTGCATGCACACTTCTTCAGATACCTGAATGCATGCACACAAAAGCTCATACCAATAACAAACTTAGTTGGTCTCTAAGGTGCTACTGGAAGGAACCTTTTTATTTATTTTTACTACGGCAGACCAGCATGGCTACCTACCTGTAACTAAAGCATAAAGTGTTATCTTCCAGGACAAATGCATGTACAGGTGTTAAATCTTGTGTGCAGTCATCTGCATGGCATCAAAACACTTGGGAAATGTTTTACATTACAGATTAAGCTCACACACACAGGGTATACTTCAATCTAGAGCATTAAAATAATTTCTCCATAGTGCCTACTATGACAAGAGATGGGAGATTATTGTACTATAGTTAATATAAATAGAGACCATATCGAGTTAAACCCATCTTTCTTTGTTATTCCTCTTATCACCCTCTGATGGTGAGTTAAGTGCTCCATTATACTTACGATCATGCTTAGATTCTCACAGAATCACAATTCCCAGAATTCCTTACAAACGTGTAAAACACAGGAAAGTAGGTAGACCTTCTTGGCTGTGAGTCCTGGAGGACCTGTTCCCTGCCTTGCATGCCTTTTCTACCTGGCCTGGGAGGGTGGGGCCCTGACTGACTCCAGTTACGAAAGCTGAAGGATGTCCAGAGCACTGTTTAGTCCTGTTGCGTTGGATGAGTTTCAGTTAATAAGGCTCAAGGGTGTGGACAATGTGCTTGGATCAGTCAGGGCGACCACTTGCATTCTGGATCCTTGTCCCTCTTGGCTGATAAAAACTTGCAGGGAGGGGACAGGTGACTGGGCCAGGGGAGGTGATTAATAACTCAAAACCTTGCCAGCTGTTTTGTGACATTTTGTAGTTGGTCCTAATAAAATTGGGTTTTTAATATTTGCATGCTACAAACATGCTGTGCCACAGGAGTGACAGGAGAGGGTTCTAGAGGCATTTTGAATCAATTGAAGAGCACTGACCAAGTAGGAAGGCTTCCTGTACAACAAGAGATGTAAAATTTATGGAAATCTTGAAGCTATGGGAAAAATGGTAAATTTATGGAAAAAATAAAAAATGCAATACTTTTTAAAAGTACTCTTTACATATTGAAAATCCCAAGTTTTCATTACAAATGAAGCTACAAACTGCTGAATCGTAAGGAACCTAGCATATCTTTGGTTTTGCCAGTTTATGAGGAGCAGGCAAAAACAGTAAAAACAGAAATCAACATTATAGTATAGTAAAACAAATGATAATTTATTCTGAAAATTATTTGTATTTTCTAGTCCTCTACAGTATCAAGCAGACATAATGCACTTATTTCCATAAAAAGATCTGAAAAAAGAAAGAAGGGGGAACAGAACTAAACACTACATGAAATTTAATCAGTCTCTTTCTTAGCTATCACTATCTGTTTCTGTTTCTCTGTCTTTGTCACCATATTTATCATGGACCTCTAGAAACTGAAGATTTACACAGATTGAAGCAAGCCTATACCCTTTCACATGCCAATTTAGTTCTTGATTTCCTGTGAGTATTTCTGACCACAGACAAGTTACTTTCACATGCTGCAGAGAATGGAGGAATCTGAAGTAGGTAAGTATGGTGGCAAAGCCCTTGTCACCATATTGCGGAAACAATATGCTTGGCAGAATCTCAGATTGCATTCCTTGGCCAAATACCTGAACATGTTCTATACTCTGTAACTTTTGAAAGGAAGGACTAAAATATGCTACAGTGGCGACTTCCGGGTTAGCGCCTCCGACAATGGCGGAATTCCTCTGATCGGGAGGAATCCGCTCCGTGGAAATTAGGGTCTGGCCGCCACGGCGAAGGTGGAGACCCACTAAAAACCACAGGCAGGAGAAGCTTGTGGACGTGGGATTTGGCTGGCACCTTTCGCGCCTCCCCTACTTGCGGGGAAACCCGGTTTCGGGGATCCGGAGCGACGTGGGGTGAGTGGTGCGGTGCTTTGAATGGACTGCTTCTTTCACGGAGTGAAGCCGCAATGCTGTTGCCGGAGAGCGCTGACTTTTTCCTGTGGACAATTTGATCTTAAAACAACTACCCGTGAGTAGAACGGAAAATTGGATTTTTAAACGTCTTAATTTGGCACCGAAACGGGGAGGTTTCAAACAGGAAGTCCGCCTCCCCCTTTTGTAAATAGATTGAAGCAAAGAGGCTGCAAGCTAAAGCCTTGGAAAGTCTCTTATAAAGGATTAAACTTCCATCGGTTAAACCATCAAACCCCCCTTGGAAGCAGGAGAAGAGGGGGGAAATTTAAGATCGCGTAAGCCTGCAGGAGAGAGTGAAGAAAGTTAAATTACCACCGCTCTGAACCTGGAAACGGGCTGCTAGTAAGATTGAAGTTTCGGATATGCTCATTGACTGTGAATGGATCGTCTGCTGACAGTAAGTTAAAGAAGAGAAATACATTGTTTCCATTGTCTCCCTCTGCGTTTAAAAAGGAGTAAAAGTAACTGAAAATTGAAACTAATTTTATAGTTTGAACTGTGCTTAAAAGGATTGATACAAATAGAAATTGTTTCCCCCTAGAGGAAGCCTTTGAAATTGTTACAAGAGTTGAGCTGGGGGAATTTTCCATCTGCAAGATAAGACTGTGAGAATCTGGGATTGACCTTGAATTGTTGGGAATGTTGACAGAAGAAGCCTTAGTGGTTGCATTTTGTAAGATTAATGATGCACTGGAACAGCTTTGTAGGAAGACGGATGTGAGGACTATAAAAGTTGATAACTTGGAACAAAAAGTGACTAATTTGGCACAAAAAGTCAATATTAATACAGAAATTATTCAGGAATCGATACAGGGATCTATTTTGACATGGCAAATTGAGGAGAAGGCGGGGGAGAAAGTTTTTGCTGTGGAATCTAAAGTGGCACAAGTGGTGATGGAGAGAGCTCCAGCTTTACAGTTGCAATTTGATGATTATAAGTTGATGCCTTCCAAGACTGAATCTAGAGAAAGTCAGACTTTTAGGATTGGAACCCCGCTTGGACTGGAGAAAGAAAGTTGGATAGATCCCCGCATGCAGGGGTTTATTGACCTTTGGGACCTGGACTTGGGTCAGGAGGAGACTGGAGGTGTGGGGACTGCCAGACTTGGAGGAACTTTGAAACACGACTGGAAATATCTTTTGAATTTCAGTTCTAATTATGGAGATTTGGCTGACTTGTCGAGAAGGAATAAAAACATTGCTAGATGGGAATTTCCCGGAGATTTACTTTTCAGCATCAAAGGAAGGAAAATAAGAACAAGATCAGGAAAAGACAAAGTAAAGTGCATGTATAAACATGAAGAAGACTTGCAGAAGGGACCTGGAAAAGAGTTAAGAGCCTCGGACAGAAGATCACCAGGTTGATGGGCTATATGGAATTGACGGAAATGACTGGTAGAACCCGAGACCAGGGAGAAGAGATGGTGGAAGAATATTGGAAAAAGTTTAAAATCTATATATGGAAATAATGTAAAATTAATGAGTGTTAGAAAAATGTTGGAATGGAATTATACGGCTTTAGTAGAAATATTTTAAGGAATTAAGTATAAATAAGTATTATAGTATTAATAGAAAATAAGATTAAAATATGTTAAGATAATTACATGACAGAAAATAGAGAAAGATGGAAAGGATTTGCTGAAACAATTAATAGAAATAGAATACAAAAAGGGAGGTGAGAGGAGGTCGATGAAACAAGGGAATGAAAGAGAGGATATTGGGACGGTATGATGTGTGTTTTTTTGAATTGTTTTTGCTTTTGTTTTGTTTAATGTGTTAATGTTAATGTTGCGTTTTGTATTGTTTATATATTGTATTGTATTGTTTTCTTTTTTGCTTTTATTCTTCTTTTCTTTTCTTCTTTTCTTTTTTCTTTTCTTTTCTTCTGTTTGTAAGGTTTAAAAGTAATAAATATTTTTTTTTAAAAAATAAAATTAAATATGCTACAGTGCCACTCTTCAAGTTAAGGGCCAAAAGCCTGGAGAAAAAGAAAAGCCTTATTCTAGCAGTGGCACCAAAACATAAATAGCGTGTTCCTCCCTGGGGAGAGCAGTGCACAAATGGGGGGCCACAACTGAAAGGACCTGACCTCATGTTTCCAGCCTCCTGTTGGAAAGACTTTGGATAATAACCACAGGGTTCTGGTCCACAAAAAAGGCATCGTTTGACTGGATGTCAGTTCCTCCCCTTCCTTTGAGGGAAGTTCATTTGTCTGTCTTGCTTGAGATTGTGAATGTTCAATCATACTGATTTATGATTATTTTTTGTTGCATTTGGATACTTACTTTATCTTTGCACAATTTTTGGTAGTAGGATTTAGTTTTTGCCGGCGGGGCAATGACAAAACACCTAAAGCTGAAATATTTAATTGACTTGTCTTCTGAGAGAGCAGTCCAGTTCCTGTCCTGATAAGCATCTCTTGTAATCCCCATTGACTGAGCACCATCAGTGTATTTTACTGTGTATTTTGCACTCTTGCTAGGAAACAATACTTAGCATTTTTCTTTTTGGAAAAGAAAGAACAAGTGAAAGTTTCAAGAACATCAGGCTCCCAGGCAAAGGCTTCTAGGTGGGAGAAGATTATGTTTGTCTCCTCTGCAATATTAGCCGCTGGGTTTATTTTCTTTGTCAGATTCTTTACTATTCACCTTTGAAGAAGTGCTGCATTGCTTTCTAGGCCTTTGGCTGCACTGAGATTTGTTAGAAGGCTCCAGGGCATGTGGATGTATAGAACAGAATTCTTTCCAGATGACGATGGCTTTAATGGGTTATAGGCGTCATATAGATAAGGGAGAACCTAAATGTATTTCAAGGGGCTCATGCAATTTCCATCCAGATGTTGGACAATACATACTCCTTTTGTGAAGGGTAGTATTAAATCTTTGCAGGGCAATTGTTTCTGAAGAGAGGTAAAGGTATAGAAAAAAGCGAACCTCAAAATGAGGTTTCATAACAGTAGGGAGGGGAATAATCTTAATTGCCAACAAAACTTACAGCCTAGCATTGTCAGGCAGGTTCAGGTCACAGAATTTAAATTTTGTCATAACTGACAGTTTCCCTTTAAACAGTTACAATGCTTGTGAACATTCTGTGGCATTAAACCAGCCCATCCAGTTGAAAATGGGGTGAGAGATGGTTGGCAACCAATTAAGAGTGATTTTCCCTATACAGTCTAGAAAAACTGGGTCAAGAACTTGTCAGTATGCTTCTGGAAACTTAGCTGGGACTTTGTCAATCCTTGAGTGATGTTTTTCTAGCTGTCCACATCATCAGTCAGTTTAGAAAATGAAAAAATTCTCATCCACAAATGGAGGTAGGTTATGTAATAATGCAACATTTGTTATGTAGCAGACTAATCAATCTATTGACCAGTATAATAAGTTGCGGTGTATGTTGTTAGGCTTCTGTTTCTCTGAAGAGACAAGCACCTTCACTGAGATAGATTTACTTGATAGTAAGTTCCACTCAAACAAAATGAAATTCCACAAAGTGTGTGTAGAACTGCAGTGATGATTGCAGTAGTAAGCTGGCCTTCCAATCTGCCTGATGGATGTAAACTCACTGTAGCTTGAATGTCCATATGCATTTGCACCAACAGAAGTTGATCCAAATGAAAACAGCATTTTAATTTGCAGTGGTTCTTGATCTGATGTTTTGAGGGACACCAAGGCAACAGCTGTTTGTTCATCTGTCACATACTATTTTCCTAAACGTCAGGCGTATCCCTTACTTCTAAGTTGTATTTTTAAACTATGGGTATGAGATTAAAATATTGTGAGGGGTACAGTATATTGATGACCACTACAAAGGACCCTCGCTGCATGTTAGAAAGGGTGCATGCTGGATAATGAGGCTGGAAAGAAATATTGATGAGCTGTTTCACTGAAATACCTTTTATCACTTATACTGAATGAGGTTGGGGTCTGGCAGGGGAGGCTAGGGAATGTATAATTCAGCCACCTATAAGCAGTTTTGCTTGTGCGTTCCCCCTTTATTTCCTGCTCCAGATGCATTGCTCAAAACCATACAAGGCTATTCATTTCCCCTCCTCAAGAAAACTGGACCAAATCTCTGTAGGGTAACATTTTAAAGTGTTTTGCACTCATTTCAGAAGCACTAATTAGCACTGCTATAGTTGCAGTAATGGTGATAACCTGTTGTGTGCTGCTTGTACTTAAAATCAAGACATTTTATGTTGCAACTGAAAAGGCCTTCTAGCCAAAGACCTAATGATGGTAGAAAGCCAGCAGATGCTTACTGGGGTGTGTGGGTGTATGTACGTTCACTGTCCAGTGTTTTTCCTGCTGAGCAGAGTCACAGGTATTTTTTATTTTATTTATTAAATTTGTATACCATCCTTCACCTGAAGATCTCAGGGCAGTTCTCAGTATGTGGTCAGTGCAAAGAGCTTCTGACTTTTCATGTTGAGGCCAAGATGGCTAACTTGGATAATTTGAGAGGTAAGGAGAGATATAGATGAGGCTTTCAGGGGTGTGGTGGTGTTCATTTGATGTCAATTTGATGTCACCTTGTGAGTTTTCTGGGATGCGGGGTCTTGGGACAGATGGGATCATAATGAGGAAAAGAGCACAGATGTCTAAAAAATGTGCATCCCTCTGGTGATGAACTGATATCCTCTCACAACAAGGATGTGCCTCTGAGGGTAATGCCATGGGGACTTCCCATAGGCATATGGTTAGCCACTGTGAAAATAAGATGCTGTACTGGGTGAGCCACTGGCCTGATGCATCAGGTTCTTCTTATGTTCTTAATTTTAGATTATTTACTTAGGGACCTAGATTTGTAATGGGCATACTAACTGCAAAGTTACTTGTCTGCTTGATGCAAAGGTCTCAGTTGTCAAAAGTATTGGGGGGGGATTTGTACCTATGCATGGATAGTGACTGCATTGTTGCAGTCCTGGAAGGGAAAAAACAAGTTGTTAGATAGGATGGTAAAATTCAGATGATCTAAAACAGTCAGTTTGGTGTAGTGGTTAAGAGCGGTAGACTCATAATCTGGTAAACTGGGTTCGCGTCTCCGCTCCTCCACATGCAGCTGCTGTGTGACCTTGGGCTAGTCACACTTCTCTGAAGTCTCTCAGCCCCACTCACCTCACAGAATGTTTGTTGTGGGGGAGGAAGGGAAAGGAGAATGTTAGCTGCTTTGAGACTCCTTAGGGTAGTGATAAAGCGGGATATCAAATCCAAACTCTTCTGCTTCTTCTTTTGAAGAAATGATATCTGTTCTGCATGCAAAGTTAGCTAGGCAGGCAAAGCTGGAGATTTAAGTGTGTGAATAAGGGAAGGATGTTGGGAAGAGGGGTTTAGGCTTGTAAGGCATGGGAACATTTTGAGACAGGTCAACCTTGTATAGAAAATACTCTACTTGTGTGTCTAAACTGTTATTGTATGCCATCAAAAAAAGAAAAAGGCTTCCATCAGATCACTGATGGGATCTGCACTGATGTTGGCTCACCATGGAAGAAATCCTAAGATCATGCTCAATAGCTCAATGAACAATTTGAGGCAGAGTGTTGTGACAGATAAAAATGCAATCTTCAATACTTATGCAACTTCCTGTTGCTGCTTTTGCATTCTAGTTGCTTCCCCAACACACCTCAAGGCCCAAATAATTTTTCTCCAGACAGAGGCATGCTTTTGCTATGGGATGAAATGATGCAAATCGCAGAGTGTTCTCAAGAAGTATTGAAAGCAGAGTTAAACTCTACTCCAGATTATTGTAGTCATGTTTTCCAGTTAAAGCCGAGGGTAGAATGTCTTCAGCATTGGGCTCTTATTTGTAGATGACAAAAAACTGTGAACTCTTTATGGGCATAAAAGGATCCTTGATTATGAAGAAGAGAGTTGTTTTCAGGGTCAGTTTAAAGGCATTGTTAGCAGTTGTGAGATTAAGGTCTTTAAAAGTATTTTGTATCCTTTCCAATGATTCATTGTCTTCCCACCAATACCTGCTTACCATCACTCTGTCTGTAGGGCCTCCTCCATATCCTTGCTCTTGACCCTTTGCTCCTCAGTTGTGTCTTTCCCCTCCACCCCCATTGCCTTGAATCTGTTGTTGCCAGCTTTATTTCTTGTCCTCCCGTCTCCCTCCTTATAGTTCCATCTGCCCTCCTAATCCTTAGTGCTGGCTCACATCCTCTGTATGCTTCCTGTGCTCTTGCTCAAGAGCAGCTTTGAATATCTTTGGCAGAAGTCTGTGTCTGTCACCACTCTGAGTTCCCCCTGCGTGTAGCTCTGCTACCTTCTTGCCAAGCAGAGCTACTTGCCATCTGGTAGTCTCACAACCCCTGCCCTGGACTTCTTCATCTTCCTTCCATAAAAGCTGTTTCCTTCTAGGGAGAATCCACTTCCCTCTCTGACCCAGGCCCTAACAGTCACCATGGTCCTCGCCCCACCCTCTTTTCTGCACACCATCAGTTTCTGTTCCTTAAATTCTTTCCCTCAGAACAATCTCTTCCCTTCCACCCAATAACATTTCTGTTTCTTTACTTCCCCGTTCCCTCCAGTGTTCTTGAACAAGCAGTTTCTGTTCACTGTCCTGATTATCAATCTTCAAATTTACTGGGCGCATCCAGGTAACTTTTTGGATCCTGGCCAATGCATGGCTACAGGTAGCCTCGTGGGCAAGATGGAGGCCAGACTAGAAATGCTAAATGTAAATATTGACTTTATTCTTAAAGAATTACCATACACTGCCTCGCAGGGTGGTACACACTTACAATGCATTAAGTACATACTTATTGAAAAAAATCTATCAAACCTTAAAGAGCATTGCCACTGAGAACTTCACCTATATTTGTGTTTCCTTCTTCCATTTCTCTCTGTAATGAAGTACGGGTTGTTGGTTTTCAACTAGTAAAGGGACAGCTTTCATAGTGTTTATAACCTACAAAGAAAACTATATTAAGATAGCTACCTAATGGCACTGGACATCTTGGAAAAATAAATAGTGTGGGAAGTGGGAAATTGTCATTGTTGGTTTTTGTCAATACAGTAATCTTTTCCCCCATTACATGTGGTAAGGTAAAGGTAAAGGGACCCCTGACCATTAGGTCCAGTCGTGACCGACTCTGGGGTTGCGGTGCTCATCTCGCTTTATAGGCCGAGGGAGCCGGCGTTTGTCTGCAGACAGCTTCTGGGTCATGTGGCCAGCATGACCAAGCTGCTTCTGGCAAATCAGACCAGCGCATGGAAACGCCGATTACCTTCCCGCCGGAGCGGTACCTATTTATCTACTTGCACTTTGATGTGCTTTCGAACCGCTAGGTTGGCAGGAGTCATATGTGATAGAAATGTCTCAATGTGGAAAGTTTCTGGTGTTTGCTAACTGTGATACTTGCATTTCTTTTAAATTGAAATAATTATGGAATAATAATTATAGTTATGTTAAGTATTAGTACAGTGGTACCTCAGGTTAAGAACCTAATTCGTTCTGGAGGTCTGTTCTTAACCTGGAACTGTTCTTAACCTGAGGTACCACTTTAGCTAATGGGGCCTCCCACTGCTGCCACGCCGCCACCACATGATTTCTGTTCTCATCCTGAAGCAAAGTTCTTAACCCGAGGTACTATTTCTGGGTTAGCGTAGTCTGTAACCTGAAGCGTCTGTAACCTGAGGTACCACTGTATACCAAAAGACACGGGTGTTGTGCATATTTTCTTCATAGCATGGTTAGTGCATGCCAGATGGTAAAAGAATAGGTGAAAACCAAATAAAGTTGAACAGATTAGAAAGTAATGGGAACAACCAGGGATAATTAAAGTGATGGTGATGATAATAAAAAGGAGTATAAGGAAGTGCTTAAGTGGTTGGGGTCTTGTGGTCAAATACATGGAGTTGTATTTAATGTGAAGGCATGGTGTATAATAAAAAAGCAGAATTATGATAGAAGTGAAGTTGGAGCGAGTGGGGAGTGTTTGTATTAGCTTAAACTGTTTGTAAAAGTGATATATTAAGTGTTACTATAATATTAGACAAGCCATTCTAGTATTTTCCTTTATACTTGCTTGCATTTCCTTTTTTGTACACTTCAGTAATAAAATAATTAAAAAATTAAGTAATTTAAATAACCTGGGTGTCTGTGTCTTTAGATACAAAGAAAGAGCCATTAATGTGCATCTCATCTCATGTGGGAATTGGAGAATGGGGGAAATCAATGTTGAAACTGGCTCTTTCAAATTACTTATGGACTAGTAGACTCCAGTGATGGTTGCCAAAGTAATGACAACATTTCTCCAGCTGAATGGAAGGGAATTTGGGAGCAATCTCTTTTTTAAATAACAAAAGGAAGATTAATCTGACAACCCCTTCTTGACTCCCTTGAAATATGTCATCTTTATTTTTTGCCTTTTGTCTTGATTCTTGCAAGCACTTTTAATTCTCCTCTAGACACTCCACGGTATACACTAAGACAGTGTCTAATGCTAATGTATTTTTCTGCAATTACTTGTCTTTAAACTAGGCTAACAAATAGCAATGTAAAACAGCTCCCATCTGCATGACTAAACACAACACTGGTAATAAAGATGGAAAATGCCAGCAAAGATGACTTTATTTTTCTAGCACTGAAATAAAGAATACTGTTAAAACCGACAGCCTTGTTTAATACAAAAAATAACAATAAAATTCTGACAGAAAATAAATCTCAAACATCTTTCACTAGCATTACTCCCTTTCATTTCAATGGGGCTTTCCCCATGCCTATAAGACGTGAGGGTATACAGTGGTACCTTGGGTTACAGACGCCTCAGGTTACAGACTCCGCTAACCCAGAAATAGTATCTTGGGTTAAGAACTTTGCTTCAGGATGAGAACAGAAATCGTGCGGCGGCAGTGGGAGGCCTCATTAGCTAGAGTGGTACCTCAGGTTAAGAACAGTTTCATTTTAAGAATGGACCTCCAGAATGAATTACCGTATTTTTCGCCCCATAGGACGCACTCCCCCCCCCCCCAAAAATGAAGGGGAAATGTGTGTGCGTCTGATGGGGCAAATGCAGGCTTTCGCTGAAGCCTGGAGAGCGAGAGGGGTCCGTGCGCACTGACCCCTCTCACTCTCCAGGCTTCGCGCAGATCTCCGTAAGCCGTGGGAGCCTGCGCCGGGCTCCCACGGCTTGCGGAGAGTTGCCTGCATGCCAAAGGCTGGGCGTGCTGAGCTCATCGCGCCCAGACTTCCCGCAGCTCTCCGCAAGGCGCGGGAGCCCTGCGCTGGGCTCCCGTGGCTTGCGGAGAGTTGCCTGCATGCCGAAGGCTGGGCGCGGCTTCGCGCAGCTCTCCGTAAGGCGCGGGAGCCCGGCGCTGGGCTCCCACGGCTTGCGGAGAGTTGCCTGTTCTGGGGGCTGGGGTCGGGGGAAGCTCGGGCTTCCCCCGCCCCAGCCCCGCGCCTGGGGGGGGAAATAATTACCCCCCCTTTATTCCCCCCCCCAAAACTAGGTGCGCCTTATGGGACGGTGCGTCCTATAGGGCGAAAAATACGGTAAGTTCTTAACCCGAGGTACTACTGTACATCCTCACGTCTTATAGGCATGGGGAAAGCCCCATTGAAATGAAAGGGAGTAATGCTGTGTAATTCATATGTTCCATTAATTTTAAATGAAGCTTAAAGCAGAAGGGTTGGTGGGTAGATTGTACTAAAAAGACTGGCCTGATCCTGAGGCATACTGAAGACACTGTCTTGGTTGCGGAATTTGGGGTACAAGTTTTGGAGACATGTATTTTTGGGCAACGTGCATCAGCTCATTGACTCCAGTCTCTTGGGCTGATGGCACAAAAGAAAACCATCAGTTAAAATCAATTTCAGCATATTTACAAGTGAGCATATAGGTCACATACCTGTTTAAATAAGAAATGTCTTTGTTTGCTGGCAGGAAGTCATTGGAAACAAGACTAGTTGGGCCTACCTTGGCAAGGAGTTCCCAATCCTGGGAGCAGTCACTGAGAAGGACCTTCCTTGAGTTCCTTCTAAATTTGTTCCAATGTTGGAACAAAAAAGAAGGACCTTCCCAAGAATCTCAGAAAGTGGTCTTTCAGATAATTTAGTCCCATGTTGTATAATGCTCCTGTAAGCTGTATAACAAGATAGTTGCATGATTCCTGTAATCCATCATCAGTCAGTTATCTGATTGCTGTATTCAGAACCCACTGAAGTTGTTTCTGTTTTGTTTTGTAGGAGTTAGTGCTCAATTCATCTAGATTTTGGTCTCTGAATTTTGCTTACAGTTGCCTTGCTGGAGTTTTAGCTTATATTGTTAGGAAATCATCAGGATTGTTCTGTGTGCTGTCAGTGTTACTTTGATAATATTCTAAGGGAATTAATGGATTTCATTTGTTTTCCTGATTTACCCGTGGGCTGCTGTTGGACTTTGGTGCTCTGTTTTGGATCTCCTGTGTGTACGTTGGTAAAATCCTTCTCTTACACCTCCTTCCTGCCTCCTTCCCTGCGTCATCCTTGATATGTGAGCTATGAACTAAGACTAGGAGAGAACCAGCCAAAGCTCTGAACAGATTGGCCTGTTCTGTTCTAGTTTTATAACTGCAGGCACACTTCATTGGATGGAGGAAGATGATGTTCTTTGGAAAGGAAGAAAAATGTGAATGCTCTGTATCCCAGCCATGGTGATTTGGGGTGGGGGTGGGGCGTTCTCATTCTGTATACAAAATCTGAAAGGAAGAGTCCTTTCCTTTCAGCTACCTGAATAGTACTTAAAGGTGAAGCTATGTGATACATTTGTTTATACATTCCCTCCTCCCTCACATTAGAACAACCCTTGGCTTTTAGCATTCCAAAACCATAAGGTAAAATGAAGTAAGTTACTGCCTGTCTGTCAAGGACCTGAGTGTCCATGAATTTTTCTCTCTCCTGCTTTCCTTTCGCAGTTCTGCAGCAGTTGGATGATGATAGTCTTATAATCCCTTCCTAATGGGATGCTTCGGTTATAATCTTATAACTGGAATTTAAGGCAAGTCCATATATAATAGCCCAGGATCTCTATTATCCTTCATGAACCATTTACTGCTGTTCTCAGTGGTCTTAATATGAATCTCAATTTCCACCAGTTTGTCTTCTAAAACAATGAATGATGGAGCAAATGTTAGTCAAATTGGGGGGGGGGGGACAAGTCTTGCTGCAAGTAGGATTTTTATTGCATTGCCCCATGATGTTCTCTCTTCATTCACAGTTACTTCTATATTAAAAGTGTAGTACACAGGTGCTTGAAGCATATTACTTCCTGGGCTAGCCTTCCCCTCCAGATGTTTTTATAATCCAACTCCTATCATACCAGACCATTATTATTTTTTGTTGGCTGGCTCTGATAGGAACATCAGTAGGGTATAAGGTTGAGGAAAATGTTGGGTATTTCAGCGCAGGAAGTTATTTTCCCTTTCTTCCTTCCTTGATTAACCCCCTTACATACCATTTGCCATGCTGGCTGGGACTGATGGGAGTTGGAGTTCAGCATCTGGAGAGCTGCAAGTTCTTAGCCTCTAGCCATGAACAAGTTGGAGGGAATGCTGTGCTGCTTATTCAAAGTTGCACTGCACTGATCCCAAAGTAACATCAATCTCATCATGGGCATTGTGCTTCTTTGTTCTTATATGGGCAGCATTACACATGTCCTCCTTCCAGACCAAACAGCTAGCAAGGGCGGAATATTCCTTATCTGTGTATGACAGTTCACTGGCAGCATCCTGGACACCACATGCTCTGCTTCTCTAAGATTGTTCTTTGTGGTTTGGATAGAGCTATATCAGAATGATGGCATCTGCTGTAGCCTCCCTGTCTTGACTGCAACACGTGTTCAAGGCTTTGCAGCGCACTATGGGCAAGACTCAATCAGATTGGGTGTGGGGTAGCCTTCTGATAAGGTTTTTTTAGGTGTTCCTCCTTCTTTCTACATTGAAGAATCTGGATGGAAGGCTTGTCCTTCTAGCTATGTTGCAGAATTTGACAGTTTTAACAAAGTAGTGCCTCTTGATGGAAACTTTTGGATGACACAATGCAACAATTTATTGCGCAAGATAGAAGTTCATTTTCTCCAAAACAACATTACACACCTGTGAAGATTGGCACTGCACAGTTGGAATACAGTTCCCTTTCCATGCCCAATTCTTAGAGATACAGGAGGAATAAGAGAACTGAATATTTCCCAATCCAGATACAGTGGTACCTCGATTTATGAACTTAATCTGTTCCGGAAGTCTGTTCTTAAACCAAAAACCTTTCTTAAACTGAGGCACGCTTTCCCTAATGAGGCCTCCCGCTGCCGGTGCCCTTCTACCATTCAAATTCCGTTCTTAGACCGAGGTAAAGTTCTTAAGCCAAGACACTATTTCCAGTTTTGCAGAGTTTGTAAACCAAACTGTTCTTAAACCAGACTGTTCTTAAACTGAGGTACCACTGTACTTCTTTTATTTCCGTGAGCATCCTCATATAAAGTGATGCTAGATGACTTGGTCAATAAAGAAGATGCACATGATTCATGAGGTGGGGGCTGAAGAAGGCAAGGTTAGGTTCTACATCTGATGAGAGTCATGCCATGAATAATGCAGGCAACCACCACATGGGAATTAGTATATAAAGTAATGTGGCCAAACAGGAAATATTAGGTTCTTGCTTACAGGCTAATTGGTAGTCTTTAACTTTATGAGGTGATGACAGAGTGTAAACAAACAATATTTCAGATAGAATGAAAGGACCAGTTGAAACTATTAGCATTTTTTTTTACTGAGAAATGGCTTTCCATCTCATTCTCTAGTTTTGCTTCCTCAAATATTATATTAAATATGATTTTGTGTTTTTAATATATTATATATTTGGTGTTAGCCGCCCTGAGCCCAGTCTCGGCCGGGGAGGGCGGGGTATAAATAAAATGTATTATTATTATTAATGTTTCTAGGAAGTTCCAGAATCTGGGTCCAGTCACTGAGAAAGCCCTCTCCTGTGTCCCCACCAAGCAAAATATTTGAAAACATGTTTTGTGTATGCCATATCACATAGAATTGTAGAGTTGGAAGGGTTATTGGATCCAACCCCTTGCATAGGAGGCTCATCAGCATTTTGGGCAGTTGGTGTACTTCTCCTTACTTATTTACAGAACCGATTTTTTAAAAAGAGCTTTCTTGTGCTCTTTGAATTTCTTCCAGAGATTTTGGATTTGAATTTTTGGCTAAATGAAGACGTGATTCACAGACAAACCATTTACACTATATGCCGCATTCTGTGATACTGGGGAGCAGCTTCATGTTGTCAATGGCTCCTTGAACAACAGAGAAATTTAAGGGATATCTGATGGTCCCAGTGAACGCTAGGAAAAATTCAAAAAATTGAGGGGCAGACTATGTACATAACTGAGGGAATACTGAATTTCAAGCTACTACTCAGGAGCTTGGGAGTCTAGGTGCCTTGTGTCGTTTTCTTAACCACCATGATCTCTTCCATATAAGTCCAAAGTAAACTCTTCTGTTGAGATTGCTTTAAGAAAATGAAGGTAGACAGCACAGTCTATGTTTAGGGATATATTTTACAATTGTAGTAATAGTTGTGCTTTATTCAGTTTCTAGTAGGAATTAAGTGAGTTTGCTGTATAAATCACTTGGTTATGATGCTTTAAAATGTTTCATTGAGGCTTGTTTTATCAAGGTGAATGTGGCATTCTTGAATACTTTTTTAGACTTCACAATCCACAGTTGCTCACTTTTATTCCTTAGGTTTTATATTTTCGTCCATTTATTAAGTTTTTTTTTAAGGATTTGTGTATCTTGCTGCACAACATATAGAAGAAATGGGGATAGATCCTCAAACAAGTTTTTTGGGTCTAAAACACAGGGTAGTTTTAAGTTGATTTAAAAGCCAGTTTGCTGCCTTTGAGAGTGTATAACCTTTTGAGCTTAAACTCCCCAAATTCTGGGCGTGTTAAGTATACTTTCGTAGATGGAAAAATATTTCAGACTTGTGAGCTCCACCCTTGTTTTTCTGGAAGCCAGTTCTGGAGATTTAATAAGGCTCAGCCTGGCCCAAAGAGGTCTAGATTTTTCATATTCATAGGTGTCAGTATAAAACTTCTAGGGGCTGGAGCAGATGTAATGCAACCATTTACTTGAGAGTTGCAGGTTATATATTGCGTCAGCATTCCTCCAGCTCCCAGTTCTTTTGTAGTAACCCTCAGTCTTTTGACAGTTTGGATGTTGTGCAAATATGATGCATCATGCAACCTTGAGGGGGGAGTATAATGGAACGATGGAAAAGTAATTGTTTGGGATATGAGGCTATACGCTGTGTTAGATACTGGAAGGATGGGCAGGAGCTTCTGCATTAGCCTTGTCTATTAAGAACAGAAGCACACTATTTATTTGTGACATTTGTATGCCTCTCCATAGCATGAAATTTTCTGGGTAGCTTGCAATAAGTAAGTAAAAAGCAACTAAAATACAAACAAAACAATTAAGGGGATGGGGATGGGGACGGAAACCTACTTTGATGCAGCGAAAGCACAACAGAACTTGCCACACACCCCAAGTTAAAGACAGATTTTAAAATCCCAGAGCTCTAGACAACCTAAATTATAAAAAGGCCCAGGTGAACAGAAAAGTCTTCACTTGGCACTGAAAAAACACCCGAAATGACACCAGGCAAACCTTCCTGGGAAGAATTTTCCATATCAGAGAAAAACCAATGCTGAAAAGGCTCTCTTCTCCCTGGTGGCTGCCCACCTCGCTTCATTTGGCACCCAGGGCAGGACCTCTAGATATATTCTTAAGGTTTGGGTAAGTATATCTGGAAGAGTGGGATGTTCTAGGTAGCTTGATCCCAAGGCACTGAGAAGCTAGAATGGGTAGAACCATTTTTAGAGAGGAGGAGATCTTAGGGCAAATTGACTTATGCCTGCAGTAATGAAAGTGTTTATCAGGACTTCTGCCTCAAGTTTGAAGAACATTTACAATCCACTGTGGATGGCTGCTTCTCAAACCTCATCCAAGTTAGTAGGGACATGGCATTTCATTCCAAAAGGGCTTGTAGGGAAGTTGTTTTTTTTCTGCAGCCTCTCATATCTGGAACTTTTTCAGAGAACAACTCTGTGGAACCACTCTGTCCCTTCAAACCAATGTTCAAAGCCCATCTCTTCTGTTGAGCCTTTGACTTAAGTCTTTATTCCTCACCCATAGCCCAAATGATGCCTAAATATGTGGAATTGCATTTTCTTATGTGTGTTTCTTGTTACCCTGGCCTCTCTCCTCCCTCCTAAATTATGTTGTAAATTCCTTGGGGCAAGGTTCTGTCTTGCTTTGCTTATTCTGCAAAACACCTTGTACAATGATGGTGCGATATTAATAACACTTATCTTGGCTTTTTGTTTGTCTTCAAGCAAATGGTGATGAGCCTCCGAGTTTCTGAGCTGCAAGTACTTCTTGGATACGCAGGGAGGAACAAGCACGGCCGCAAACACGAACTCCTTACGAAAGCCCTGCATTTGCTCAAATCTGGTTGCAGTCCTGCTGTCCAAATGAAAATCAAAGAACTGTACAGGCGGCGGTTCCCACAGAAAATCATGACCCCTGCAGACTTGTCCATCCCCAGCGTCCACTCAAGCTCCATATCTGGTACTTTGTCACCATCTACCATTCCACAGCTTGCTTATGACAGCCACCCTGCAACATCACCTTTGCTCCCTGTTTCTCTCATGGGACCTAAACATGAACTGGAACTGCCCCACCTTACCTCAGCACTCCATCCTGTCCATCCAGACATAAAGCTTCAGAAATTACCCTTTTACGACTTGTTGGACGAACTGATAAAGCCAACCAGCCTAGGTAAGGACTCACCTCTTTGCCCTGCCTTTGGCACTTGAGATGTGTATTTTAGGACCCACCCTATGCTTCTAATTGTCATTTGTTCTAAACGGTGTTTAATGTTAAATTTTTAATTGTTGTGACCCACCCTGGTGGTGAAGAGCAGGTAATAAATCATATTAATAATAAACAATGATTGTTACTTTTTACAAATGCCCTCATTGTGCATGGGGGTATAGGCAATAAATACAAGGTCATTAAGCTATACTTTTCCTTCCTTGGGAATGCTGGTGCATAGGTCTGTCGGTTGCCTTATCCAGTCTTTGTCTTAATCATTTGCTAATGGGAGGGGTGGGGCGGATGGCCCATTGCAAAAAGTTTAATCTGCAGGCAAACAAGAGGGAAATAAGGTTACAGATATTGCCAGCATATGTAATTAAATGTCTTGAAGCTACTATGGGTGTAGCCCACAGTTTTGTCAAACATTTCACCCAGAGATTGTTTGAAGGAAGCAGTCATTTGGATACCTTTTCAAGAATGCAGTTAACCTACTATTTAATAATGTGAAGAGCAGGAAGTTTTGTCATAATCAGTTTACAGTGGTTCATTCACAAATTATTCTCCAAGGAATGTTTTATAGGAAGTTAGCTGTGGAGTACTACCTTAAATGTTGGTAAACATTTAAGTCTGAAAATCTATGAATTTAGCCTTTCACATAGATCTACAAAAGTTGGCAGTTCACAAAAGTCTGTGTGTTAGCTTATAATTTATTTTAGTCTTTTGGGAAACTCTTTAGTTCATACAGTTCAGATCTGGCAAGGCGACCTCAAGCTTGAAAAGGTGCTCCTTAAAAAATAGATGTGAAGATAAGCATTTTTCAAAGTTATTTTGTATTGTCATGGATAATGTTACAATGCATTTAACTGTCCTTGTCAGAGCATTGTTCTCAAATATTCGTTAGCACTGTCTGTCTCAAGGTAGTAAACAAATGGGTCTGAAGCACTTAGTATTTTGAATGTGCCCCTCATTTTTTTGGAACACTTATTCAGTCTCTAAAAGGCTGATGTAAATTCCAGTCACTTGTGACTCTTCCTGCCTGGATTATAGCCAACCCTGCAGGGTCTCTGGCTTTCTATCTCTAGGCCCTTTCCTAGCACAACAGGAATTTTTGTTTTCATGCTGTCATCTTGGTGACTTGTGGAAGAGCTCAAGAAGAGTTGTTTCCTTGGGAAACAGATCCTAGGTCATTGTTACTCTTTGGATATATTTTATTTTGTCAGTGGAGTTAAATACTTTCTGGACAGGATGATTCCCTTTTTGAAATACTTACATGGTAACCATTCGAATTTCCTTCTGATCCCTCCACCCCACCCTTGTTTGGTGATGGCAATCATTAATGGCTTAGGGATTTGACCTCTTTGATATCTTGAGAAACAGTGTTCTGCCCTGATAATTGTGAATGACACTGTGTACGTCTCTCTTTTAATGCATGTAACGAGGATGATAAGTTGGTTTAGTTCCAATGCTTACCTTGCCTGATAGCAGTTGTCTGTGGATTATTGAGGCACTGGAACCTCTAATTGTTTGAAAGATGATCAACTCACTCTTGATTGTCTAAGAAACATGGGAATAAATTTCTTGCTAGTCCTGGCCATATTCTGCCTAAAACATTTGCAGCATCAATCTCACCCCATCACCATGCCAGTTCTGTTAATAAAAGGGCATGGTTACAGTGACTGCAACAAAGACAGATTTATACTCCTTCTGGCCCCAGGAGAGCTTTGATAGACCTGGTTTCCAAATGAGAAGGCAAGACAAACATTCCTGATTTGGTGGACCATAGTATCTGGGACACAACTGCTTGACAATTTCCTTAACTGTAGCAAAATTATAGCTACTTCTAACTTTAGCAACTTCTGGCATCCCTCTCTGATTCAAACTGATTAACAACATCTAACAACTTTTTATAAGGAACCATCTGGGCTTCCTTTTTCTCCTGTAATTTACATGGGAGTTCATTTGTGTTGAAAACTATGTAGCGGAAAATGTCATTTAACTGTTCTTTGAAGCAGTCCTCATTTTCCATGGGTTCTGTTGTGTAAGTTGATTTGTTCTCGCTTTCCAAATTACTTGCTTGTGTAAAGCAAGTGCAATTCAGCCTCATGCATCCCTACTGTAGAAAGTGTATGAAAGACTTCTGTTTCTATTTTGCTGATAAGGGCTGTTAGAAAGAGTGTTGTGGTGACACCTAGAGATGGAGAACAGACATTACAGCACAGTTTTAGTACAATAAGCATCATAGATGAAAAAGCAATCTTTTAGTCCTAAGAGGTTCCCAGATAGCTAAGTGTAGAAAAGCCATTGCATGTATGCTTGTAGACCCATTTCAATGTCAGTGGTGTTAAAAGAATGTACGTTTGTGCATGAGACTTTTCTCCAAGCCATTCAAGGAGCCTTTGGAGAAGATGTCTTTATTTTCCACCCCACTCCCTAATTTGAATATGCTTTTCTTGCAGATTTATCTAATGAGGTTGTACATAAATCTCATAGGGTGTCTTGTTGAGAACAAACTGAACTGAACCTCCTTTCTTAATGCCCCAAGGAATCCCGGCTTGCCACATCTGGGTGTAATACCTTTAGCTATTAATAATAACCCAGTGCAATCCACTTAAATGATTCACGAGGATGAATGGGAGTGAAACCAATCTGTTTGTATTCTAGTTGATTTAAAAAGACGAGCTGATCTGCCTCAGGTGTACATCTCTAACTTTGCACAATGCAAAAGGGTTGAATAAGGCTAAGGAGCATTTTCCACTGACAATGAGCATTTTGTAAAGGGCTTTGAAGAAGATTTCAGGGTCTCAGGCATGTAGACCGTCTACCTGCTGTTTTTCTTTCTTTATTAGGGCACTTATACCCCACCCTTCTGTGTCTGACAAATGAGCCACTCAAGGCACTTATGAATGATGTTTAACACATTTAGCAGTACAATCGGAAGAGAGTTTTTAAGTTCTGTTGAACATGCTTAGAAATCCTCCCTATGACCAGAGACCCTGATAAGGTGGAGTTTCGGCTTACAGTGAGGGTTCTAAGTATGTTCAACACACTCTTCAGGCATTGGCACTAAATGTACAAAGGTCTGGAGAGCAGCCAGCATGTCTGGGGGCATTGGGGCAGGATTGCTTGCTCCTGTCCCCATTTTAATGCAAATGCCAGAACATGGCTATAGAGATGCATATTATCTGTGTGCTAGTGACTGCCAATTCCAGATCCCTGAGTGATCTTTCTCAGCAGTTTCATGTAGATGTTGAAGCTATGTGTGACACTATATATATGTTGTAGGTCACTTTGAGTTAACCTGCTGAAAAAAGGGCCAATAAATTAAAGAAATAATAATATGCACCAGGAGGAACTAACAGGGTGCTATGTGGCTGTTGTGCACTGCAACTCTGATCACCCCTGAGTGTTCATCTTGCTGGCTGGGGCTCATGGCAGTTGTAGTCCACAAAATCTAGATGACATCACATTGGCTATGCTTGCTTGTTTACACCAAAGGTGAAAATCTTGAGCAGGTATCTCCCAGCACCAGTTCTGAAGTCCGTACTCTGTGAGGGACCAAAGCCACTGTTAATAGAGTGCTCTCAAGCCCCATCCATGTATGCCAGTAGTAGGGAACTTTTGACCCTCCAAATGTTGCTGAACTACAACTCTCATAATCCCTAGCCATTAGTCATCTTTGCTGATGGAAGTTGAGGAGCAGCAACATCTGGAGGGCCAAAGACTGCCCACACTTGATGTGGGCACATTCCTGAGGGACACAACCCTAGCTAACGTCTTGTACCTATTGACCACAGTTTTGGTTGGTCAGGCTAGGTTTGCTATAAAAATATTCTGATGTATTTCAATCTTCTGTAAACATTTGTATCTTCAAACTGCAAGAAAGAGTTCCAGAGATGGGTTATCGCCAGCTCAAAATCTTCATATTGAAGACCTTGGCTAGATTTAGAAACTTCTGAGAACAGGCAAGTGGAAACATGCCATATTGGGTTAGACAAGTTTGGTCACTCTAGCTAAGCTCCTTGTCTCTAAGAGTGGCTAATATTAAAATGCTTGAGAGGAACAGGACAATTATCATTTTAACGTCATTCACATTTTGTTCTTGGCAATCAGAATTCATTTACAGTTTTAAAATGAAAAATACTGTTTCCCAAGGAACCTGCTTGCACAAGGTAACTTGAAACCTAGGGTTCACAATTACATTTGCCAGTGAGCACTTTATTTGGGTGGGGGGTGTTTAGCAGAGGAAACAGTTTTTTAAAGTTGGCAAAACAAAAATGTAGAGAGCGCCTTTGTTGTTGTTGGTGGGATTAGTATCAGGGATTGCTACGCAAACACACTATTCCCTACCCCAGTAAAACCCCTTTTCTGGGCAGGAAGTACCAAAGGGATGTTTTGTTTTGAGAGGGATATTTGAGAAAATCAAGCATTATGGGCTTCTAGAAACTAGCTGGCTACCTAATCCAGGCCAAATTTGTGGGACCCTGCTTGAAGCTGTGTGAATATTTGATATTTCAAGTCCATAAACTTTCGGCACTTCTTGTTTTGTCAGTAAATAATACTTACCTTTTTCATAACCAATAAAGATTTTATTATGTGAATGGCCTGTGGCCCAAGCATTAATAAACTACATGTACATCAAACATTTTATTAGGGAAACTGAGAAACTCTTGTGGGGGGGGGGGGTAGGAAGCAATGGAAGAGAATGCACATACAGTTTTATGTTTTGTGATAGGATTTCAAAAGTTTTTCAATTGAGTTGAAAGGATTTGCTGCTTTCTTCTGCTCTGTATATGATATTCTAGTGCAATAGCTACTCCTTTCGTACAGTTTAAAAAAACTTGGAACACAATGAATTTTTTTGTTTTATTTTTTGTTTTATTCTTCATTGGTATATTTTGCATTTCAAAGCTGAAATTCAAATGAAAACTTCAGTTTTACATTTTGAATTCTGGCAGACCACATTCAGATTCCACCTTCTATTGTTCTAATATATTTTGTTCTAAATCTTTCCCTATTTTTAAAAATGAAATTAGGATCTTTTTAATATCCTCTTCACCTCCTCTACTGCTGCTTCCCCTGCTCTGCTAGCTCCTCTCCATCTTGAGGTAACGGGCTCTAAAACTGTGGGGGTTTCTCCACGCCACTCATTACTTGCGGCCTACACTCTGGAAAAATCTGAGCCTCATCTGTTTATAGACCGACTAGCCATAAATCCAGCAGGCATTTTGTGTCCCCAAAACCCTGGGCTGCTTTTCTGTTTGACTTAGTGGTGTTTTGTTTGGCACTTTAAGAAGTATTGCTTCAAAGAAAAGTCCTCCTCAAGAGGGAACTGAAAGATCACAGTGAGCCAGAAAGCAGCAGTGGATTTTCATTGTGTGTACCCACAATGCAAGGCTTTCTTTAGGCATTAATGCCATGTCAAAGAAGCATAAGTTTTTGGTAGAGTAGTGCGTTTTTCCTTTGTGTCTGCAGTTTGTGTCTTTTGCATAGAGCAGCTACCATGTTGTCTAATGTATTCATGGCCACAAGCATGGCCACATCCGCTTACCAAGGCCAAGTGTCCCAGCCCAACAGCATGAAGGTCACTTGTTGAGTGCCTTGCCTCCATTAGGCTCTCAGATGCCTCATGGTATGAAGAGAATAAGAGACAAGTGTTGTTTGGGGTGTTACAGCTTTTCGCAAGTGACAGGAAACCATGCCTCTTCCATATGAGCCCTTTGCTCACCACCAATTATCCCTCAGTCCTTGAGCATGTGCAGAGGGCTTGAGAAGGGTGGTGGGGGTCTGATCTCATTTGCTCTGAGATTTGGAGAAGCTGAGAAACATCAAGAGTGTCTTACACTGTTTTGGTATTTTTGAGGAAAATCTCACATCTCTCCCAAGCCTTCTGCATTTTCGCAATGACTCTCTGTGCAGAGAATTGGTGATGAGCACAAATAGGAGCTCGCTAGTAAGCCAAGTGGAAATTTTGGAGTCTTTACAAAACCATGCTGCCTTATGCCACCCACATTGCCTTCCACTATGCCGTGGGTGATCCTCAAGAATACTACCTTTTTTCAACCAGTTCTAAGAGTTGATGCCTCTATGGCTCTTATTTACAAATGCTGGATTCTGCTAGTGGGAATTATGGCTGGCTTCATTCAGCAGAACCCTTAGGAGTTGCACCGACCCTTCTCCAAGGGCCCATGGCAGAGAATAGTATCTGTACCTAAATATAGGATCTTTGTCCTCAAAATGACACGCTGAAGCTATTTAAAGGTATGGAGGAATGAGTGGAAATGAAAACACACACACACACACAAAAATAACCACACAAAAGGGAACAGTTTCTCTTGCCCCTGTTGAGTCCACAGTTAGCAAGTGTCCATGGCCATGATGTTGCTATAGGTGTGCCATAGGCTGTGCATTATCTGGATGCATCAAGCCCTGGCGATCTACTTCCGTTGAGCCACTGCATCTCTTACGGACCTTAATATGTTTGCTATAATGTTGTGCTGTCTCCAGGAGATTCCTTTTGCATCACTTTCTCAGAAAGAGAAATGTAATGCATCAATTCAGCAATAGAACTTTCTCATTTTAAATAAGTCGGAGTTTATTGTACTATGAAACCTACCCAGCAGACAGTTACTTCTCTATACATTTTATCCTTGGTCATTGCAGTGAGCTCTTTAATTATTTCGCAATGGCCAATTTGCTAGGGAAGATGGAAGGCGTTCTTAGCTAATAAATTGAGCTGATGACCATTGAAATAGAGTGGTGCAGTCTGCTCTAAGCTGAATAGTACAGTGTTCATCAAAGGCAGTAGAAGAGCATTTCTGAATGATTATCAGAGGGGAGCTTTTCCCAACACGGCAAGAAATATTTTAAAAGAGAAAGATTGTGGTGCTATATTTAGCCACTGGCTACTACCAAGGGAGAGAGAAGCACATTCTTTTTTTTAAGCGGAAGGAAATAGAGGTATCCAACTAGATTTTACAAATTTTCTTTCATGCCTTCACATTTGAAACATTTTCTCCTGCAGCTCTAATTGCATCTCTTAACCCCAGTCTTCAATATACACAATTTACATACACCTTCACTTGGCCAAACACTTTGTGTGTGTTTCACATGCATATCTTTTAATGTGCCTAAAAAGGAGAGCCAGGCAGTGTGGTGTTGTGTGTTGGACTTGCATTTGTCCATTCAGCCATGGATCTCCTTGGGCTCTTGTGGACTTATATACTTTGCGTGGTAGTTGTATGATCTAGGGCAGCCTTTCTCAACCTTGGGTCCCCAGATGTTGTTGAACTACAGCTCCCATCACCCCTAGCTAGCAAGGCCAGAGCTCAGGGATGAAGGGTCTTGTAGTCCAACAACATCTGGGGACCCAAGGTTGAGAACCGCTGATCTAGGGAGAATCACCCATGTGTTGCTGTCAAGCTCCTGAGGGGAAGAATGAGACGTAAAGTATACGTCAGCCTTTCCCAGCTTTCTGTCCCTCCAGATGTGTTGTATTCCAAAAGATCCCAGCTGGCACAGTCAAGGTGGCTGGGGCTGATGGGAGTAGGAATCATCCAGCGCATCCGGAATACACCATGTTGGGTAAGGCTGATATACTCACTAAATGAAAATAGATGATAGAAACTTTTATCTTTCTCCTCAAATAAATACTTTATATTAAAAGAATTTCTGCATTTTAGTACTGTAAAATAAGCCAGGACCCCAGAATAGTCTGGAGTGTTAAAGAAGAAGCAATAACTGAGCCATAATCCTTCCCCCCTCCCCCACTATAAAAAGGACTCCTCAGCCATTTCCCCAGGGGAGATGGTTTTGGTTCTAGAGTTCTGGCTAGCTTCCATCTTGATGAATAATATATTGTTAGTGATATATTTGGCTCACTCTCAGTTCCCACTTACAATCAGGAAAATTATTTTTGCTTTCAGTTCCTTTAAATGGTGCAGCTTTCCAGCCCAGTGTTGCCAAATCTGCTGTCGCACAAAATATGCTGGTGTAGTGGTAGGCTCTGGGGGTCGCAGGTTGTAATACATTGTGGTGATTGTTAAAAAATCGCAGCTTGGAAGGAAACTTATTTAGTCACTGCAGTGTTGCATCCTTCATTGAAGCCAACTGAGAAATGGAAAATGAATGTCTAGCTTTTCCCAGGATGCTTTTTTGTTTTTTGGTATTTTAATTAAATTACCCTGTTATTTGATGAAACATAGTCCATTTTTTGTTGAGCTAATTCTTCATTGCCTTGTACTGCAAGCACTTGTTTGAACAGATGTATACTAAAAGCCTCACAGAATCAAAAGACCTAGGTATTTTGGAAGCAGATTAATTCATTGTGAATGAGTTGATATGCTTTGGCTCCGTGAATTACTCAGTGAATAGATATGTTGAAATGATTTACAATGTTACAGGTGTCAGTGTTTTTAGTGGGAAGAAATGCAGTTTAAGAAACTAGTCATTTGAAAAATGCTAAAGTCTATACAGCAATTACCTGATGACATCTATAATGGAATAATAAGCTATTCTGATATTTCAGAAAGAGACTGGAAGCATCTGAAAATTTATTGTGTTGGCTACTCTTAAGGCTTACCTCTTTGGTTCTTATGACCACTGTTTTTAAGTTCTGTATCAAATAGTCACTTTTTGCATGGTTAAGGCCTACATATAAATTTAAGATTTCAATAAATATTAAGACTATGGAGATTGGCATGGTGTGGGCAGGGGCAGGGAGGAAAGCCTGAAATATAAAGAGAATACATAGTCTCCTGTCAAAGCTAAACTTGCTTTATTGCACTAAGCAACATGTTTCCAACAGCACAAGGATTTTCCCTTCTCCCCTGACACAGGATGTGTTACGATAGAGAAGCAATGCGGCCACGAGCTGCTAGCTTGAAAACAGCACATGATGGAATGTTGGGACTGTTCCGTGGGAAACAGAGGGACAGTCAGTTCACAGTGCAGAGGGCACCGGAATTAGCTCAGAGTGTAATATGAGCTGTACAGGAAGTACAGGAGGAGTTTGTCTCTCGACTGCTGGAGCTTGAAGAGAGCAGTCATGATTTTTGTAACGCTGCAAAGACAGAAATAAAGGAATGTAAATATGTTTCTGTCTATCTCTTTCCCCTGCCTGGGGGGGCAGGAAAGAGGGGTGTGTGTTCTTCTCACTCTGAGAAGGATCGCCTATCGCGACCTCTGCCTGGATCCTGCTGGGGAATGCAGACAGGGAGGTCAACAGGAGATCAAGCCGGGTGCCTGGAGAGTGGCCAGTTTCTCCTGATAAAGGCTTGAATCCCAACAGGATGCACGCGAGTGAAGGAGAGTGGGGATATACTGCTACTGTATCTTGCACCAGCACAACAGTTTTGTTGGCTACTACTGATGTACCAGATTTTACTGTTTGATATATTTATGAAATTTGTAAACCCATGCATATTTGTACAAGCAAGGTGGGGAATGTATGCAATGCTAGCTAGAGAGATGGGTGCAGACTGCTCTGTCCTATGCTACTTAAGTGCTTGCATTAGTGGAAAATAGAAACCACAAAGTTGGTAATAAAGTAAAGTAAGTATAGTATTGGGGCTGAAACTGTTTTGTATAGCAAGCCACCAAATCTCTGCTAATCCTTAATATTGTATGTTACACTTTATAGCAACATTGAAAACATTTGGATGTTGTGTATGCCTTTACCATAGTGTCTACACAGGATTAACATTTGCTGATATTGTAGGTCAGGAGTGGGGAAACCTGTGGCACTCCAGATATTTTTAGCCTCCCAGCTCCCATCAGTCCCAGCCAGCATGGGCAGTGGCCAGGGAAAATGGGAATTGGAGTCCAACAACATCTGAAGGTTAGCTACCCTGCTGTAGATTGTTTTGCACAAAGGTTTATGCGCTACATATTTGTAGTGAGGAAAACCTTGTCTTATGAGCATTCCATTCATTCCAAAGTGTATATATTTCATAGCAGTTCTTTTTTTCTAGTACAGTGGTACCTTGGTTCTTGAACTTAATCTGTTCCTGGAGTCCGTTTGACTCCCGAAACGGTTCAAAAATCAAGGTGCAGCTTCCGATTGGCTGCAGGAGCTTCCTGCACTCAAGCAGAAGCCGTGTCGGATGTTCGGCTTCCGAAAAACGTCCACAAACCAGAACACTTACATCCAGGTTTGCAGCATTCGGGAGCTGATTTGTTCGGTAACTAAGCCGTTTGGGAACCAAGGTTTGACTGTATTTCTCAATCGGAAGCATTGAAAAAATACTCAAGTTGGTCAGGGGAGAAGGTAAGGGTGCATTATTGGGAGAAGTATCCAACTCTAGAATATATGTGAGGTTGTGGATCTTCTTTCTGATTATAGATGAAACATGGGCCTGGCATTAAATTGGCCTTCTCCAACCTGGTGCCCTCCAGAAGATGTTGGACTACAACTCATATCATCCCTGACCATTGGCCATGTTAGGTGGAACTGATGAGAATTTTATTTCAACACCACCAGGTTGGGGAAGGCTGTGTTCATGGCTTCTCAGGAGTGGGTGGGGTGTCTGTATTTTCCAAAATGGATGAGTAGAGTGATCCTTCCTCTTGCACACTCAAATCTCCTCTTATTTTCCCATAGCATCCGATAATAGCCAGCGGTTTCGGGAAACCTGCTTTGCATTTGCCCTGACTCCACAGCAAGTGCAGCAGATCAGCAGTTCCATGTAAGTGGTAGTGATCTTTTGACACCTTTTAGTCCTGTGCATCTGAATTCTGAAATGCATAAACCATTTTAGAGTGTGCGGGCGTGTGCGTGTGCGTGCGTAACTGTAAGACTGAAAAAAAAGACAGATGTTTGGAATTTAATAACCGAAAGTGAGCTAAAAGAGAGTGGTTAGAGTAGAAGTGCAAGGGAGAGCTACAGTAATTTGGAAAAGGGTTTTTCTGTATGAGTAAATCAGGAGGGATTTGGAGATGGAGTGTGGGTCATGGGAGCGAGGACATATTTTTATTTATTTACATGTTTTAGGGGTTTATACCCTGCCTTTCAACAAACCAAAATTAGAAGAAGAACTGTTAAATCATGCAACACAGTGACCCACTGGTCCCATAGTATAGTCTGAAGGCACGTGAGGCCACCACCTGTCTGCAGCTAAGCAGGTCCAGGTCTGGTCAGTTCCTGGATGGGAGACTACTTGGGAGCCGCAACTTTGCTCCCTTGGATTCCATGTCAGAAGAAAGGCTGGATATAAAATGTAAGAAAATAGGTAAGTAAGTAAGCAAGCAAGGAGTGTCAGAGCAATCAGTAGAATTAAAATAGGTTGGATTAAAAGGCTCAGGAAAATAAAAGAGTTTGCCTGGTGAGCCTCCCAAGATGGATCCCAGGCTTTTTGAGTGTGTTGAAGTGTAGGCCTGTTTCCCAAAGCAGCATATGAAAGCCATTGCCTGAGTCGTTTAATGAGTGCTGGCCCAAAGCTGTCTTTATGGAATTGCTATTATGTGTTCTGTTTGTATAATTGGGCAAAGTGATACAAGTTACAGGAAGCACTGCAGAGGTCAATTGCCCATGAGCTACTGGATCAGATCAAAGTTTCATTTGCTCTAGCATCCTGCAAAGGTTGGTGTGTGTGTGTGTGTGTGTGTGTGTGGACAGTAAGGTATGATCCTGGCAAATAAGGCCAGTTCTGGTCAGTGACTCAGCATAGACTGTGAGTGGCATGTTTAACTTTTCAGACCTTTAAATACTCAGATCTTGCATTGGTTTATTGTAATGTACAGTCTTTAACTGATGTCTAATGTCTTTGCTAGGGATATTTCTGGAACCAAATGTGACTTCACTGTGCAGGTCCAGCTAAGGTATTGTTTCCCTACAATTCAGTCTTTGTTTTGGTGGACTTTGCCCCCCCCTTCGCTTAAATTCTCTACCAAGGAAGGTTGAGATTTGCATATATGATCATGCTTATTTTACATAAATTTTATTTGCTATACCTCCGGGTATAGGGTGGTATATAAATTATTATTATTATTATTATTATTATTATTATTATTATTATATTACTACTACTACTACTCTGTTTCCAATAATTGTGGAAAGAAGCACAATAACTCTATGCACTGTAAGCTCCATGCACCCCCCCTTCCTGGTAATATTGGTAAACAGAGAAGCAGCAGCTCCTCATTACTTCCTATGTTGCTTTTACTTGCCTGTGGCAGAAGAATTGGCTGCTGCTTTGATTAATTCTGTCATTATCTGCCAGAGGAGGACTTGCACCTTGGGGTGTGTGTGTGTGTGTGTGTGTGTGTGTGTACGCACGCACCTTCAGGGGAGAGGCTGTATGTGTTGTGGTTGAGAGTGCTTGATGCAGCCCAGTGACCATTTCTAAATCAATGAGACCTAAAGCCCCAGAATGATGCTCTATGCTAGTAGCTATGCCTCTTGATATCTGTGTGTCTTAATTGCATCTGACACGCTTCTCACTTTACTAGCCCCTGATTCACTTGTGGCCCCACAACTCCTCTTCCCTCTTTCCACCCTGAAACAGGATCTGTGTTGAATGGATTCAAGAAAGACAGAGACAGGGAAAGATTGTTCGCTTCTACTGTGCTTTCTGCTTCACACCTTCATGTGCAAACATTAGCCTTTTATATCCATGTCTGAGTTTCAGATTGAACTAAAGGCAGGTGATGGGGGAAATCTAAACTTCACCCTCTTTCCATCCCCCAATTTGCTAGCTGTTGATTTATTAATGTGGGGTATAATTGAGTCTGCTCAGGGCATGTAATTTCATTCATTCTGTTTAGTGATGTTTGTGAAAGGGTTGTAGCAGCCTCTTCCTCTGAATTCAGCCCTCTGCCTCTTGAGGTCTGATCTTTCTTTTGTCAGCATCTTGGATAGGGAGGTGCCTGCAGACCCACAGAGGAGAATCTAGCTTGTGCAGCAAGCACTGATATCAGGAAGATGAATGAATTGGAGTGTGGCTGAACTGAAGCTCTAGAATCTTGACTGTGTGCACCAGCAGTAATTAGAGAGAGCTTCAGCCGCGGCAGCTGTGGAGGTGGAAGAGGGAACAATAGGAAGGAATATCGCCATTGGTTGTAAGCAGCTTTCATAGGACTATGTTAGGTGGAAGAAGCCTGTGACAGGCTGCCTGCGGCACGAGCCCTTAACCACAGGGGTTACATGCAGGATCCATGGTGGAATCTAGGGGATGGCTCAGAAATACTTTTTAACGGCTTTCTGTTTTACTCTGTAGTTTAGTTGGGTGCACCATCCAGAGAAGTTTTATGATATGAGGTGGCATACAAATGACATAAATAAAATTTGGTTGGGGGCTTTAAGCAAATCCTCTTCCCAATGGTGTCGATACCTTTTTAGGTCATCCAATGATTGAACTAGAGGACATGGCACTCTGATGTGCATACAACAGGTGTTTCCCCATTTTTGTCCTGGGGTGGGGACTGCTCCACACAATCTGTGGAAGCCTCCATACATGGATAAGAGTGTGTCTTTTCAGAAACATCTGTCATTCAGGGAATGAAGCTTTTGTGCTCCCCCCTGGGGGACCCAGTCTTGCTTCTCTTCCAATAGGAGTCTGTAGCCTGTCTGATTTATTAGCTTTTGAGCTCCCCAAGTTTCAAAGTCTGAAATATTTAATTCAGATTATACCTTACACACTTGGTAATTGGATGCAAAATAAGATGTATGTAGATTTTCTTAGCTTACATAATTGTGTTTTTCTTTCTTTCTTGGAGTGGGGTCTATGCCACCATACTGACTCACGTAAAGTTGTGATTGTGTATGTAAAGTGAGAAATTGTGGGCTTACTGTACAGTGATAGAGCTGGTGGAAGCATAGCTGTCTGGCCTGGGCTGATGGTATTTGTTGTCAAAACTATCTGGAGGGCATCAGATTAGTGAAGGCTGCATCAAAGCACTATGGGACACTGGCTCACAGATAATGATATTTCCCCATGTCACTTGTAGTATTTACAGACCCTGTATAGAATTTAATATAAAATGTCTGTGAACTCACTGTCTTGTCTTTAGGTTTTGCTTATCTGAGACCAGCTGCCCACAGGAAGATCACTTCCCACCAAATCTTTGCGTGAAAGTTAATGGAAAACCATGTAGCCTTCCTGTGAGTATCCTCAGAAATTTGGCCAATAGTTAAAGATGCTTTCTTGGGGGGGAAAAAGAAATTGTTTGGGGGATATTGAAGTGAATAGTGGCATCTTGAATTGCACCGGATAATTCAAGGCAATGCTACCGAAGTCTTGTATTGAAAGATTCAACAAGTGACATACAAGAAAAGCAAATGAGCTCTTCTGTGACTCCCACTTATCAATATTTCATTGCCATTTGCCATTTACACCCTCACTCACGTATAGTCTGGGGTCTAGGGAAATTTAAAGAGAGCAGGAGTGGGAGATCCTGAGAGGGACTTTGGAATCGTTTTACTCTGTCCTTCCTGCCCAGTTCGCTCCTCCTCCTGAGAGGTTATAGGAGGATATCGGGGGCTGGATGTTGTTTCCCATTCATTAAGAGATGGAAGGCAGTGAGTAAGGGGAGGCACTGGTCATTGGGCATCATGTGCCTGTGTCTCAGCCTCAGTTCCCTATCAATAAAAGGGGTATGACTGACTTCTGGAAGGTCGTTCAAGGTCAAACAAGGTGGCAAAAGAGAAGTTGCTTTGCATATTCATGGTGATGTGTGTGTTGTTTCAGGGCTATCTTCCACCAACCAAAAATGGGGTTGAACCAAAGCGACCTAGCAGACCAATCAACATCACCTCACTTGTGCGGCTGTCCACGACAGTACCAAACACAATCGTTGTCTCGTGGACTGCAGAAATAGGAAGAGTGAGTTACAGTTGGCTATCAGAAGGTTGGGTGCGGGGGTGTGGTGGGGCTGTGGCTGTATGCATCTGGAAAAAAATCATGGAATTTGACTAGAACTGTCAAGATTTAATGCCTTTGTGGAAATCTTTCTGTAGTTTCTTACGCTTTTATGTACTGACTATATCTTAGTTTACCTTGCTACATTTGAGTAGGGACCCTGAATGGACTGTATGTCGACATGTAAGAGTGATATGGAATATAGACAGATTTATTTATTTGTTAAATTTGTTAGTTGTTTACGAAAAAAGATACATAAATTAAAACCAGGGTGGAAAAACCATTAAAACGCCCCGTGCATTCTAAAAGACCACGTACAGTTAAAAGTCAAAGATCTGGTTAAAATGAAATGTTTCTGCCTGGTGCCTGAAAATATTCAGCAATGGCACCAGATGAACTTCCCTGCAGAGAGCATTCCACAGATTGGGAGCCACCACTGAAAAGGCCCATTATTTTGTTGTCACCCTCTGGACCTCCCATGGAAGTCCACGGAAAAGGGCTTCAGATGTTGATTGCAGGTTCCAGGTTGGTTCATATGGGGAGAGGCAGTCCTTGAGTTAATGGGTCTGAGCCACATAAGGCTTTGTAGGTCCTTGATTGAGGAACAGAAAGCTGAGATAAAGAGATGGAGAAAGGATGTCAATACTGGATTTCCAAAGACTTACTGTAAGCAAAAGAAGAAGCAATCCCAATGCCATTGCTTGACTCCATGCAGTTAACATTTAGAGCCCCCACATCAATTAAAGGGTCATAGAGCTGCATGGCACATTCAGTCTGGTAGCCACAAGACTCAAAACATGATTGCCTTCCGGAACTTGTAATTAATTCTACAAGGTCTCATAGTGGATGTTAGTATTTGCAATACCATCTGAGACTTTCAAACACAGATTTCCAGTCTGGATCAACCTAATTCAGGTAAAGGCATAATAACCTTGTTCCAGCTTCTATGCCATGTGACTTCTCTTCCCCACCCCCCAAAATTTGCATCAAAACTTGCTGTGGGCAAGTTCCACGCTCTGTAGATTCAAGCTGTCAGTAAATAATGCTGTTAATTAGCAGCTCTTGTCTTTTGCCCTAATTGAAGCATTAAATAAACATGTAGCCCTCTACAAGTTTGATGGGGAAAACGTTTTTAATAACATACTAAGCAATGCTTAATAAAGAAAGGTATGAGTTTGTTATATCTGGCACTTCTTTTTTTTTTAAAAAGCAATGGTATCTACAATTGTGGAATCATAAAGCTGGACAGAATTGGATTCAGATTCCAGCAGGATCCTTTGTGCTTCTAAAGACCCTTGCCTTGAGAGATTTGAGCTCAGGAGAACAAGGCTTTTAGATCAGAGGATGTAGCTTCTAGGCAGCCCTGAGTCCCCAGGTTAATTTTTTAAAATTAACCACTATCACCCTCCTCTGCTTTCAACTCGTTTTGAGGCTTTCAGGCAGGGCAGCAGGAGATTTAGCTCTAATGTCTCTAGCAAAGACAGCTTGTTTGGAGTTCTTAAAAGTACCGTATTTTTCGCCCCATAGGACGCACCGCCCCATAGGACGCACCTAATTTTTTAGGGGGGGGAAATAAAGAAAAAAATTTTTTTCCCTCCCCAGGCACGGGGCAGGCGCGGGGGAAGCCCGAGCTTCCCCCGACCCCAGCCCCCAGAACAGCCTGCTATCTGCAAGCCTAGGGAACCGAGCCGATCTCCCCAGGCTTGTGGAGAGGTGCGCGAAGCCCGGGCGTGCTCTTCAGAGCGCACCAGGCTTCGGAATGCAGGCAGCTCTGCGCTACTCTCCGGAGCCCCGCGCGGCTTCGCGCCGGGATCGGGAGGGTGGCGCGGAGCTGCAGGAAGCCCTGGAGCGCAGGCAGCTCCGCGCTACCCTCCAGAGCCCCGCGCGGCTTCGCGCCGGGATCCGGAGGGTGGCGCGGAGCTGCAGAAGCCCTGGAGCGCAGGCAGCTCCGCGCCACCCTCCGGAGCCCCGCGCGGCTTCGCGCCGGGATCCGGAGGTTGGCGCGGAGCTGCAGGAAGCCCTGGAGCACAGGCAGCTCCGCGCCACCCTCCGGAGCCCCGCGCGGCTTTGCACCGGGATCGGGAGGGTGGCGCGGAGCTGCAGGAAGCCCGGGAAAGCCTGCATTCGCCCCATAGGACGCACACACATTTCCCCTTCATTTTTGGAGGGGAAAAAGTGCATCCTATAGAGCGAAAAATACGGTAATTTCTGCTACACAGAACAATGCACTGTTGGTCAAACCTTCATAGCATATACAGAGGGAGGAGCACACCAACAACAGAAAGGTGGGAAAGCCAATAAGGTGCACACATATTTTGATAAGAAATCAGCATCTTCAGCTGTCTTTATTGGGGCTGTGGAACCCAAGCTTTAAAAGTAAATAAACTTTTCGACTTCATCACTAAAAATTCAATGCCTCCTTTAATGGAATGTCATCACAGCCAACATCTTGAACAGAAGGAGTGACGATAGGAACCCACTAACATACCAGCTTGCCTCAATAGCTGAGTCTCTTGAAGAATCAGGTTTTTCTGTTTCCTGGAAAATGTAATTGGCAAACTAAGAGTACTGTGATGTCCATGGCTTCAGAATTGGCTAATTTTATATAGGTGAATTCAAAGAGAAATTGATTTGTTCACCTGACAATCTATTCATTGACACTGTTAAATGGTGGTGACGTATATAGGTTTTTCTACTTTGGAAGTGGATGTTTCTGTACCATCTGCTTATTGTATTTGGATTAGCTGAATAGATAATTTTATTTTTCGCTTCTGTTGTATTCTGAGAGTAGCCAAATTATTTTTAGATGTTTATGCCAAAAAGAATGGCAGATATAGATAATAAATAAATGAAACTGCCAATTTCTTCTTTGACGTTACAAATCATTTTCCATATAGTCACTATTTACAGCATAGGAATTCTGTAAGACAGTGCTAGCAGGCTTGCATTTGGAGTAAATCAATATATTTATTACTTTGTTTCTGATGTAACAGATTTACTTTTTAATTCCCCCACATTGAAGAGATGTTTAAATTAACTTTGCTGTCAGTGCCAATACATTTTGAAGCTGTTTGTAAACCACAATTTTTACATTGTTCAATGTTAGTGTTGCATCTGCTGGTACAAGAATATCTTTCTTAAGCACATTATAAAATATAAAATAACTTTATGTTTTAAATGTTATTAGAGATAATGGGCTTGTTTTGCCCTTGATTGTTGTTAATTTTTTTTACAAAGTGTTTTTATAGGAATATATTGTAGGAGTAATACATGCTTATGGTTAGTATTTTTAAAGCTTCTTTTACATTTGTGATATGCTTGTAACTGTACTTACACCTTATGCCTTTATGTCTCCTCCAAAGATTTCAGTATGCCATTGTTCTGTCTGCCTGCCACACTGTGATCAGTTGGTAGATTTTGGAGTGGGGAAGGGGAACATGCTGAGTTTCCCTAATGGCCACAATTGTTGAGTTAGTCATTGCAATATTATTATCATTGGGCGATAGTAAGTCTCATTTGGATGGACTTTTTTTGGTGTTCTCTTGTTCCAAATTCACTGCCAACTGTGAGTTGATAAGGTTCATGCAGGGCATGCTTACTCTTATCCTGATTTTTCACACAAGTTCTGTCTTTCGACCCTGAGCAAAAAAGTAAAAGTGCCTGCCATTTCCCCCCCTGCTGGAACTGTGTAGACATAAATGAGAGTTGTGTTACACACGTTGCCAGTGAATTTTGCCTTTGGTTCCTGAGGGCTGAAAAAACATGGGTGGGTGGGATTTGGACACATTAAAATAAGACACATCCTCATTGGCCAAGCTGATTCTCATTTGTTCTTGCTTTTTTTCTATTCAGAATTATTCTATGGCGGTCTACCTTGTCAAGCAACTGTCTTCTACAGTCCTGTTGCAGAGGTTACGAGCGAAAGGCATCAGGAATCCTGATCATTCTAGAGCACTAAGTATGTCCACTTCATGCATATTCCTAATATAAATGTCCAGATTGATAGACACAGTGATAGTTAATGCTGCCATTTGTGATGAGGGCTTGAAATGTTCAAGGTGTCCAGAATGAAGGTTCTCTCCACGCTCTGATAATTCTGCCGCATCTGGGGTCCACAGTTTCTTTGGAGCCCAGCTCTTAAGTTTCCTTTGCAAAGAAAAAACCTCAGAATATAAAGCCTCCTGAACTGGAGTGGGCTGGTCTGCATGCTGTTTTTTGGGGGTTGCTGAATCTTGGAAGTGAATGTTTGAGTGTGTGTGCTGGATTTAGGATTACCCTTTATGCAGCCAATGAAGTGGACTCTGGTCCACAAAAACTTAAGTCATAATGAATTTGCTAGTCTCTTAGGTGCCGCAAGATGCTTTATAGTTCTTTCTGGGTTGGTGTTCATTCCAGACCTTTCTCTCCTTTTGCTCATTAGTTGGTCTCAGTCTAGGACCGTTTCTGCCTCCATGACTTTCTCTTCCTTTCCCACCTTCAGTATCCCATGGGTGAAAGGTCAGTGCCTGGTGTCTTGCTGTTCTTCCACCTGCCAGCTGATCTTGGGGCTTCTAAGGTGGCAGAACTTCCTAACTCCACCTACAGCAAGTGATGGTTTCTCCAGTTAGGATTCCTGTGCTGCTGATCTTTCCAGCCTTGTTAACCAATGTGCCTGATGGACCTTTTAATAGTTTTTCTGTTCCTCTCCCCACCCCCATTTCTTCTTTCCTTGACAGTCAAAGAGAAACTAACTGCAGATCCTGACAGTGAAATAGCAACAACCAGCTTAAGAGTTTCTCTTCTATGCCCAGTAAGTCTTAACTTCCCTAAAGTGGCTTTATTTGCTGTAGCAATGCCAATTTGAATAGAAGTTGAAAACCCAAGGTTAATTGATGCAAAGGGTCTTGGTGTTCAGAAGGGCAGAAGTCTGAAACTGGCAATATCCTCTTGTGAGAAGGCCAGGTAATTGGTATGGAGCAGTCTCCCATAGCCTACAGCTCTTGTCAGCCTCAGCTGCCTGTAAAATGGGGCAGAATGTTTCAAGTCAAACTTTAGCAGGAAGGATCTCTTTCCACTGTGAATGTCAGAGACAGCCTTGTCCAAGTTGCTGTGCCCCTTGCTGGACGTTGCAGTCCAGCAACATTGGGGGGGGGCGCACCCAAAGGGTAGCCAACCCTGTCCTAAAGCAACCTCATTTTCCTGCTACCTGATAGTGGGGCATCATTGCCAGTTCTTGACTTGTAAATGGGACAGATAATTTAGCTTAGATGTATCAGAGGCTGTCTTTCTTCATGCTGAATGTGACTGATAATTCTGTAAGTTGCTTTACAGAGGTGAGAGGTATTTTTCTCAGAGCACACAATCCCAGAGATGAAACCTGTGATCTCTGAGGCTGTGAAAATGGTTCTGTAGTGTATGGTTTTTGAAATAGGACTTGGACCAAATTGTGACTTGAGATATTGGACAATATTTACACCAGAGGTGTTGATCGAAGAGACTCCACTGGGAAGATCATATTGGGGAGGTGGACTGGATTGCTACTCATGCAGACAATGGAAGGAGAGTGTGCCTTCCACTCTTATGTGTAACCTGAATCTTTTGCTTGACTTACCTGGAGTTATATGATTTAAAAATGCACCTCTCTTAAGCAGAGTCCTTTGTTCTTTTTTTGTAAATCATGGCATAAAAAGAATGCTTTCGCTTTTTATTTTAATAGCTTGGTAAAATGCGGCTGGCGATACCCTGCAGATCCCTGACTTGTTCACATCTGCAGTGCTTTGATGCCACTTTGTATATTCAAATGAATGAGAAGAAACCCACCTGGGTTTGCCCTGTGTGCGACAACAAAGCTCCTTACGAACACCTAATAATTGATGGGTAAGTACGTTTTGGAAGCCAGTAAAAGCTGGGTATAGTGAAGCAAGTAATGTGTCTGGAAATATTTTTGCCCTTTTTGTAAAGGTCTGAAACCACTAAAGTTGTGCTTGTGTGTTTTTGCCACCTCTGAGGGATTTCAGAAGCATGAATGTTCCTTATGTGCAAATTCCTCCACCCTTTCTGGGTGAGTTTCTAAGGAGGCTCTTTTTTAATAGGTTGTTTATGGAAATCTTGAAATACTGCACAGATTGTGATGAAATTCAGTTTAAGGAAGATGGAACCTGGGCTCCTATGAGATCAAAAAAAGAGGCACAAGAGGTGACTGCATCTTTTAATGGAGTGGAAGGTGAGTTACTGAAGTCTATTTGCTAAACTGTTGCTCCCGCTTTCTGACTTTTTCATTTTCTCCTCTTTGTTCTGGCTCATGATTTTGGTGCTTTGTAAGTGTGTAATTCGTAAGTGCAGACCTTACAATGCTATCAAGTCCTCTTGAGGCACACTGTTCTGGAACAGGTTGATTATCTAGATCAGCTTTGGGTTGATTTGGAGACCTCCAGATGTTTTGGATTACAACTCCTTTCAGCCCCCAGCATCGTATGGCTGTTTAACTGTATTTTAACACACACACACACACACACACACACACACACACACGTTGCAATTACCAATTGGGACTTCAGCACTGGACTGGTCTCTTTCTAGGTTGCTTAAGTTCTTCTGTGGATCATCAAGTGTCCTCTCATCAGTCAAGCAAAAATAAGAAAGTTGAGGTGATTGACTTAACCATTGACAGCTCATCGGATGAAGAAGAGGAGGAGCCATCGGCCAAGAGGAGCTGCCCTTCCCTGTCTCCTGCATCACCCATTAACAATAAGAGGTGAGGAGACACTTAGCTGCCCTGGGAAGTGGTGGGCTGCAGCTCAGAGCCCTCGATGTGATGCTGTGTAGGCAGAGCTCACTGTTTCATTTCATGGAACTTGTAAGCCATCAAAACCTTTCAACTTAAAAGCATTGGATTGCATTCAGCTGAAGTTATGTTCCGAGAAGACTCTCTGAAATTAATGGACCTTGGTCAGTCAGATCCATTCATTTCAATAGGCGTGTTCTGATTATGAGTAACATGGAATGCAGTCAGTGGCATTTTAATGGCAAATGTGACCCTTCTGTTGCTTCTTTTTCCCATAAGAAAGAAAGTTGTTACGGTTCTGGCAAAAAAGACTGTATCCAATGCATTTTTACAACAAATAATAATTGAGAATTTCCCTGAGGCAGTACAGTTTCTGGACCTATAACAAGTATTGGGGCAATTGTGGAAGCTAGATGACACCTCTGACATTGTAACCAAGGTGATTAGCTAATCAAAATACAATAGGGTATTGGCATGACTGTATTTAATATAACAATATATTTTGTTTTGGAAAGCGTGGAACTACCCTACTTCAAAAAATTGCCTTTAAGGATGAACTAACTGTACAGAGTCTTTTATGGCTAAGTTGCATGAGGGAGGGGGGTGGTTTCTGTTATGTGTGACTTTTTGTCTTGAGTTTCTATAAACAGGAAGTCTGAACTAGTTCACTCCCTGCCTCTACCCCTACCTTGCTGAAATTACAGTGCCCGTTTCCAGTTGCTGGAATACTTAAAGGAGGCTGGGAGTATAAAACCAAGTGAGATTTGAACCCCAAGCCTTCAGAGGTGCTCTCAGATATCTTCAAGTATTTCATTTCTGAGCTGTGCATAAGAGCTTGCCATTGCTTGCTCACCTGTCCCTTTCTGGTGAATAAAAATTGCCCCCAGGTGACTAAATCCTCCACCAGCCCCAGTTCTGGAAACAGAAGCACGTGAAAGAGCTCTTAGGTTCTCCTCTCCCTGCAGTTAATGTTTGGCAGAGGCCTGTGCTGCAGAAATTATTCATGAGGGTTACATACATCAACAGGATGCTGGACAAGGTGAGCCATTGGCCTGATCCAGCAGGCCCTTCTTATGTTCTGAACTGTGGGCCTCAGGATGGCAAGCAGGCGGTGCAAAAGCAAAAGGCAGGGTGAAAAGGACTTTGCAAGAGAACCTCAGGGTTATTAGTGGCAGTAGTATATATGAAAAATCTAGCTGCATCAAACATTTGTCAGAAGGCATGAAGTGAAAGGACCACAAATGCCCAGCTCTGAACCCCAGGTTCTGTCTGTCTGGGATACTGCAGGAGGAGTCTGCAGGCCCCATCTTCTAAACTCAGGCTTCTGCTTCTGCTTCTTAGCATTTCAAGTATGCCGCATCAAGTCTCTCCTGTTTCAAGAACCCCGAGCCTTCCGGCTGTTGACACAAGCTACATCAACACGTCACTTATACAAGACTACAGGCACCCGTTCCATATGACACCCATGCCTTACGACCTCCAAGGTAGGTTTCTGACAGGACAAACATCATAGATACAGTGGTACCTCGGGTTAAATACTTAATTCGTTCCAGAGGTCTGTACTTAACCTGAAACTGTTCTTAACCTGAACCACCACTTTAGCTAATGGGGCCTCCTGCTGGAGCACGATTTCTGTTCTCATCCTGAAGCAAAGTTCTTAACCTGAAGCAATATTTCTGGGTTAGCGGAGTCTGTAACCTGAAGCGTATGTAACCTGAAGCGTATGTAACCCGAGGTACCACTGTAATAGTAATACCTGAAATTACTGTTTGGATATTTTAACTGTTTAAGAATGTTTCAATTGTTTTCAGAAGGCTTTTAAACATATTTCATATTATTGATATGTTTGCTGCCCCGGGCTTCTTTGGGTGGAATATAAACTGAATTAGTTACTGTAATTAGTAGTAGAGAAGCAGCCACCACATTACTGAGTGTGAAGTATTTGCCTTGAGTGATGGAGCCTTTCACAACCTTGCTACTAATGTCCTTTTAAACTGATGGTGTTGGGGGTTGAGCCCACAATCTAAGGTGTGCAGAGCATGCGCCATACAAGGTTTGGCCCCTTTTCATGGCTTCACAAGGCCTGTCACCAAAGGTTTATAGCAAAAAAACCAACATGCTTAACATATTTTTCTTTTTCCTGACATAATTTTGCATAGGCTAGTTTAAGAGAAGCACTGTTTGAGGAAGGCTGGAGGCTAAGCAAGAGTGATGAGGATCTGTGCTATATTCTGCTTAAAGCTGTTTGATTTTGGGGTGTGTGTTTTGAGAAAATGAACCTGTTTCATTTTGCCTTTTTCATAGGACTGGACTTCTTCTCTTTCTTACCAGGAGACAATCAGGTAAGCTGCTAATGGGAGGCAGAAAATGATTCTAGAACAGTCACAAAGGGTAGTAGTTTTGATCCAATATAGGGAGAATTTCTTCTTAATACAGTATCCCAAATTGAAAATGTCAAGTGGCTGAAACCACCAGGCAGTACTATAAATTATTTTTGATGTGCTAGAATATCTTTGCCAGAATACATTATTCTAGCATTGATTTCCATCACTGAGGGGAGCAAGCCTGCACAACTGGGATTGCACTGCAAAAGTATTGCTTAAAACTGAACATTTAACTTGTTTTTTTAAAAAGCATTCAGGTCTTTTTCTTCCTTGAGGAAATGCTAAAGGACTCTGCATGCATTTTGCCAGTAAAGTCCAGTAAATAGGAAGTGGGACTTCTCCCCACAGTCAAGGTCTCACTTCCTCCCCATTATACTGTCTCCTCTGATTTCAGTAATCCTCTCAGTGAAACCTTGAGCCTGACCTTTTTCCTCAAGCGTGACTGCAGAAAACCAGTATTCTTGGGGCACTCGGTTCTGTGTCCAATTACTGCACCCAACAAATCCAACATGCCTGTGATCTGCATGCAGGAGTTTTGATGACCCTTTTATTTATTATTTATTATTATTTCAAAAAAATTATGCACAAAATCAGCAACAATCTGAAACCAGTTTAAAACATGCACCAACATTCTACATGTCTGGGTAGACTTGCCAAAACAAAAATGTTTTTAGTGGGTGCCAAAAAGAATACAGTGAGTTGGCAGGGAGTTCCAAAGTGTAGGTGCTGCTATATTAAAATGCAGGTTTCATACAAATGTGGAGCAGGTATTGTTACATGGCACCTGTAACAGTGGCAGTTCTGGAAAGAAACTGAGCTGCCCATAAGTACTTGGAATCCCCTCTTTATTGGCCTGTAGCCCCCTGGCCTTTTAACCCTTGTGGACCCACCTCTTTTGTTTTATCTGTACTGTGCTGGTTTTGCTTGGAACGGGTTTTACTTGTGTGAGCATATTGCTGCAACCCACCCTTACGGTGAAGGGCGTGAAATAAAAACAGTGGAGTAGTAGCCAAAACATGCATGAGTGCCGTTTATTAAAACCTGCTCTCCAGTGCCTCACAGCTGCCCTTTGTCCTCCTTCACATCTCCAGCATTATAGCACTTCTCTTCTGGCCGCTGCAGCCGCCGCCGTGTCTGCTTCAGATGACCCAGAACTTTTGCACTCCCGGTTTTTCCCCTATGCTTCGTCTCAGATGTTCCTGGATCAGTTGAACGCAGGAGGGAGTGCCACCCTTCCAGCCACTAACGGCAGCAACAGCGGCAGCAACAGCAGCCTCGTGTCCTCCAACAGCCTGCGAGAGACCCATGGCCACCCCGTGGCCAACAGAAGTAACACAGACCCAGCCTCTCTCTTTGGCGTCATGCCGGATATCATTTCCTTGGACTGAATCTTGTTGAGTTTTCACTGGACTAGCTAGAGGAGAGATCTGGGGTTTTGTTTTATCTTATTTTGTTTAGAAATGCAGACGAGCTTTTCCTTTTTGTAGGGAAAAAAATATTAAGATATGTACAGAGAACAAAACTATATTTTCAGTTGTACTTTTGTATATAAACAAAATATGGTTTGACTGGTAAAAAAAATGACAAAAGCTCCCAACCTAGATTTTTGGATACGGAAGATTTTACACCACCCTTTCTGTCTCAAGTGTTCGTTTGTTTTAAGGCTTTGATTTTTAACTGCATCACTTTGTTTCTTCACAGTGATATTAATGGAAAACTAATGGAGTGATTGAAGCTTTGAAAAGTTCTGGGAGGCTTCTAGTTCCAGGGAAGACAGATGGCACCCACAATAACTGGAGGGAATGGTTTTCCTCCTTAGGGCACAATCCTCTGGGAATATTTTTCTGCACAAGTACAATTTAAATGAATTAGTCTTGTGCCAGTGGATCAGGCCCTCTCTCTTTCTTTGTAATTTATGTCAATTCCACAGCATTCTCTGCCTGCTAAACTGGTTGTGTGGCTTCTTGGAATGTTCTTTCAGCTCTTCCTTCTGGTTCTGAACATCTGTTCGGAACCTTCCTTGTTCCTTCACCAGACACCATATTGTTCTGTTTGTGTGTTCATCAGTTCTCCTCATGGGGGGAAAAATACCCACACTCCTGCATGTTGAAGCATTACCATTGGAAAGTCTCTCCGCTTTTGCATGAGGCAAAATGGCTTCTTAAAATCCTGCTGCCATAAAGGCATTGGTGATCCTTTCTTGTATGTTAAATGTTCTGTGTTAAAGACTTGCTTTCTTGAGGTCATTCGACATTGGCCTAACACTCAAACTTCCTTCCCCGGGACTTTAAAAATCTCTTGTGAAACTCCTACATCGTACTGTGCTATCAGGACTTAAATGAGATGATATAATTTGAAAAAGATGTATTTTGCAGCGGATAATGACAAATAGCATGCCAGAGTCCTTTCTGCAAGCATATTTGAACTATAGGCTCCAATCCTACGCACTTGTGCTTCAGAACAAACCTACATCAGATTGGGCTATATTAGTGGCCGAACCCCACACAACTCTTTTTTTAAGTTCAAAGTCCTTCCCCCTTTCCTTCAAATTTACCAAAATTTTGTTAAAATCTTGAGGGTGATCCATCCCCCTACCTTCTTATTGGCTTCAAAATAATTATTGAATGATTTTTGCTTCTTCTGACTGAGCATGTGAAACTATATTTTATTCTCCTTTAATGTTTGTGGGTCCCCCCCCCCCCACTACCTTGAAACCTGTATGATTAGTTAGGAAAGAGTCTTTTCCAGCTTGGGGATTATTTAAACTCTTCCTTTTTTACTAAATGACAGAACATGTAAATAGAGAGAAAGGGAAACTTCATAGTACATGGGAGAAAGAAGGGGAGGGCCAAGCAGCCATGTTGATGTATCCCAGAGCCCTCATTGGAGTGCAGATCTGTTCTCTGCTGTGAAAATACTTTATAGCTAGCTTTTAAAAATCTAGGTTTACAACAAATCAGGAATGGATAGGAAGGAGGGAGGTAGCAGGGTTGGTAGTAGTTTTTTCTTTTTTTGCTATACTTTATCAAAGACCATGTTAGCGATTTCTTTAAACCATAGCTGCAGAAGTTAGTATATCTTGTCCCCCCAGCTTTGTTTTCAAAATCGTTTTTAAGATAAACTTTGCATTGATATCAAGCCACCACTTTTTAATAGGAAACAATCATTTCTTTTCAACTAATTGAGAGACAGTATAAATGTTCTAAGTGGGTTTTCAAATGTCCCCTTCGCCATTTTAAAAGCTGACTTGAATTTTTAAAATGTTTGTTCATATGTATATGTGTGTGTATATATGTATTTATAGATCTCTCTGTGTGTGTGTCTCAGTGTGTCTGTTTCATGCATGTGAATTCCATTACTGTCTGGCTGACATGTTTCCTTCGACTAGTTTATAATTTATTAAATGTCAGGAAAATCTAAATAAAAGGAACACAAAAGAGGAATCCTTTCTAAGTTCAATCTAGCTTGGAGGCATCAGAAACTGATTTCTTTTTTTAAAAGTATAATGAAACTGGCTCAACTTAATATAAAATGTGGTCCCATTTTGTTGCAATTGGAAGGATCATTCCAAACACTGAAACAATCGGAGATTTGCTAACTTTGGAAAGTCTGGTCACAGTGTAGTTGCAGGAGTCAAAATTGACAAGTGTTCTGATGAAACCCTGTAGCTGATGCTCTGCTTCTTAGCTTAAGGTGAATCCTTTTTATCAGGCAGTTAAACGTGAGTCTGGGTACCACCTGCTAAATACATTGTAAGATATGGGTCTTGTAGCTTGCTTTGAATGCAGATGGCTCCAGCTTCAGTCTCTGCCAACATGTAGAGCTGGGAAGGCCCCCTGCCTGGGACCCTGGAGAGCTGCTACCAGTCAGTGTTGACAATATTGAGCTATATGGACCAATAGTCTGACTCAGTATGAGGCATCTTCCTATATTGTTACCTGGAATATGTGGTACAGTCAAGTGCATGCAGATGATGGGCTGCAATTGAGTGTATTTATGACCCATGTATTGTCATGCAATGCAAGCATATATAAGTGTGCACTTGGCTACAGCATCTACACAAGGCTCCCCCCTACTCACCAAATGTATCTACTGCAACTCAAATGGTTTTTATCTGCATGTCTGTCAAGATTTTTCTACATCTGACAAAACAACTGTCGAGTCAGAATTTTAGGAGACTTTCCAACAATTCATCAGGCTTCAAGGAACGCCATACTCTGCTTTCAGTGCTGTTTGGTGTGTTTGAATGCTGGAAGTTATATTGTGCTTTACAGTAAACGGGAACTGCCTGAGAGTGCAATTATCTTCAGTGTGACTTGCCTGAATGGTGTTTGGGGTGGGGGAGGACTTTGCCCATCCTCTTTCTTAGCCTGTGGATGCTCGATAAAGATCTAGAACTGTGTAAGACTAGAAATCTTCTAGGACTGGTTCAGTTTTTTTAAGTCCAGTTAATTGTGAAATTAAAAGGTACCTGCTACATTGAACCCACGGGTTTCCATGTTTCTCTCTCACTGATAAGGTAAATGACACTTCTCACCACAGTGGGCAGTAAGGGGTGGGCATTGTGCTTGCAGTTTGGGAATGAGACATTTAAAAGCATTACAAATGAGACAAGGCACATAAAGAGCAAAGGTCAGTCAATTAATGTTTAATGTGGAGAGCGCTTGAAAATTTAAGGTAGCAAACCATTTTATATGTCTTTTCCTGCTCCTCCTGTCCTTCATACTAAGTAAAACAATGAATCTTCCCAATTCAAAGTGAATAGTGTTTCCTGGCCTCCCTTAACTTGGGTTTTGGGTTGGGGAGGGGATTTTTGATGTATTTAATTCCGGGGACCTCTTTTGAAAAGCTATTTCCTGGCCAGTGTGTGTGTGTTTTAAGTTGTTTGTGTTTTTTTTAGCCAACAATAATAGTTAATTGGGGAAAGGTTCCATTTTGGCATTACCTGCAGTCTATCAGTTTCTTTAAAATACTAATTTTTAAGAATTGCAGAGATTTTTTTTTTAGTAACATGGAGTTAAGGGGTGTTTTTTAGTTAACACACAAATCCTGTTAAATTTGAATATGGAAAGCGTACTTCTTGCATTTCATAACTTGTTGGCTCACTTTTTTTTGTCCTTGTTTTTCCAAAAGAGAAGTAGAGGGATGTGTGCTGCTTGGATGTGTGTCTCACTTTGTACAAAAAATTTGGGTGAGTGAGTGAGTGAGTGAGTGTCTACACAAGTACACACAGATGCAAGATCCTTGTATAATAGCAGGGGTAGAGTGATTCTGAATCACTTCTGTGGGCATTACTCGATGCAGAGTTTGTTGTTGTTTTTACCTAAAAGCAAAACCAAATTAAACCTTGCTAAGACTTAACTAGCAGTTTGTTGCAAAGTCTTGCAATATTTTCATTACTGCATTCCCAGATTTTCTTATCCCTATCAAACATATACCATACTCCCCTGGAAGAAGGCACTTTTAGAAACCTTCCACCGAACTTGTAGCTAGTCCTTGGTTTTTTTTTAATGTGGTTAATCTTTTTCATTGCATTAAACATTTCAGGGTGTTTTCTTTTTCACAATACATTATGTCTTGCTTTGTTTTTATTATTTTCCTTTCAATGAGAGCTTAGATTTTTATTGAGAGAGAACCTGCCAGAGGCCCCCGGCTTGTGCTGCTGTTTGTTGCTCTAATTAACAAAAGGGAAAACAATATGTAAATAAGCAGAAACTTTAAAAAAGTTATTAATTCTGTAAACTCAGATCTGTGATTCATTGCCTTAACTTTCTCTTAGTTTTCCATACAGCATGCCAAACAAGTTTTAAAAGTGGCTTTTAAATAAAATGTATAGTAGACCAATGTCAGTTTGTATAAAAGTATCAAGTGAAAATATTTATTACATGCATTGCAAAAAAATGGTTTACCCTACTGAATGTTACCTGTTTATGTAAAACATCTTTAGATGTAATAAAAAGCATTATTACGTTGTCTCTTCTGGAATAAATGTTGCTGAATTTGCACACTGTAAATTTACATCAGCAGGAAAGCTTTTAGGGATGTGTGCATGTCTGTTGAGAAGTCCTATAGGTAACCAGCGCAAATGTGACACAACTGGACTCTACTGTCTCTCAATTTCTGCCAGTGGGTGCTGGAAGTACTCTTAAATCAGATCTGCTCAACTTGGGGGCTGTTTTTTGGCTTGGTAGATCATGCCCCCCAGAGACAAGAGTGGTAGCCACTGGTTGCGTGGGTGGTGGCTGCTCAGCACCTGCTGTGCTGTTTAGTTTTTAAAGCCCACCTTGTTTTGAAACAAGATTTGAATGCACTTTCTCAATACAGGGAAAATAACCACACATCTCCTGACAAGGTCAGGAGACACAACCCTGCTGAATAATCCTAGTACATAACCTGCATGTTCTTCCTGTACGCTACCTTAAAATTCTTGGCCCACCAACACAGGACTGAAAAATAACCCAAATTCCTAGGCACCTTGTTTTTAAAACACTGAAATTGAAGTGAAATAGGTGGTCCATTTTATACAAGCCCAGTTCCACTGGTTTGTTTGAACCAACACTTTGGGCCTGGGAAAAATTGGATCTCTACTATATATTTTTGAGGGTTCCAAAAGACAAAGCATTTAAGGCAAGTAAGTGGGAGAGATCCCAGTTGTTCCATCAAGCACCTGAAGGAGCACTGCAAGCCACAAGGACGACGGTTGCCCTTCTGTTTCCTTCCTTAATGATTCAGTAGTCGGCAACAGGGAGAGTGATGGATTGGACCAGGTCTTCATACCTGACTATTCCATTGTGGCCCACTTTGGCTTCCTTCAGGAGGTTGTCCACTGTAAACAATTGCACAGTAATTGTGGCATGTCACTTTAGTTGTACATTATATCTAGATTATTGTCTACCTTTTTTATTTTTCACCTGTGTGTGAAATAAGTGTGAAACTATGTTACAGTGGGTCCAAGGAGTTTTCCCATTTCAAGGAATAGGTGGGTTACATTGTGCAAAGGCAGAAGCCCAACAGTTTTCCTTCCCCATCCTGTTGGTCTCAGAAATTGACAACTTGTGTCTATTCCACTCACCCGCCTGTCTCTCTGGTGCTCCATATATTTACATTGGTGCTGTCAACCCAGTTTTCTCAAGAAAAGTGTGGGAGCCAGTGCCACTGCTAATTTAGATAACTTCCTTAAGAGAAGTACCATTTTGAAAATGGGAAAGCAAAGGGGTCTGAGAGAGCAATCTAAATATAGGATTAGTTTAGTAATTAGCCTTTTCTGAAATATCTCCAGTCCCCAGTTTGGTTATGTCAATAGAAAGGAAATGCTTTTAAATATAACCAGTTGTTGTTGCTATTATGTATTGTATTTATATCCCACTTTTTCCCTCCAAGCAGCTCAAGGTGGCGTTCATGGTTCTCAATTAATCTCAGGAACCCTGTGAGGTTGGTTAGGTTGAGAGGCAGTGACTGGCCCAGGGTCACCCAGTGAGCTTCATGGCTGACTGGGGAGTTGAACTCTGGTCTTCGAGGTCCTACTCTGACACTCTAACCACTATACCACACCGACTCTCAAGTCAGACTCTGTGAAGCAGCTTTCCACAACCTGGTGTCCTCCAGATACGTTGCACTGCAACTCCTGTCAGGGGCTGATGTAAGTTGTAGTCCAACGAAACATCTGGTTGATGGTAGATAACCTGGAAATTGTTGGAGAATTTCTGCTTCACATAGTAAGCACACCCTTTACCTATTACTCCTGATCAATACAATATTATTTAAAAAAAACCTGTTCGCTGGAGGCAAAATTAAGATTGAGGGGACACGTCAGAAATGCATGCCTGCCAAGAGAGAATCTCTCCACTAAGAATTTTTACCTTCCTCCTTAGACAGTTTCTCTCCTAGATTCATCAGCTTGGCCCTCAGCTCTGCCACTGAAATGAATCCCGTCTTCTTCCTGTCTGCCATCAACAGGGCCAAGAGGATTTCATTCTTGGGATCTTCTTGCTGCATTTGCCTGTACATGATGGTCAGGAAAGTTGAAAAATCCATTTCTCCAGTCCTGTCTGGAAACCAGAATAAAGATTGGGTAGTCTGCTTGAATTGGTGGTTTCTTGTGCCTAACAGGCCCCTTGGAGGGAGGGGATTAAGCAGTCCCTCATGGCTCATCAGCATTGGGACCTGAGGTTTTCAATTTGTTCATAAACTACCAAGACTTGGGGATGGTCAGTGAACTGGGCAAGTTTGCTAATGACACCAAGTGGTTCACAGATGTAAGGAGAAAATGGGAGCTCCCAAAGGACCTATCCAAACTGACTGGGCATTAAAATGTTGAATGCAATTCAAAGTAAAGAAGTGTAAAGTGATGCACATTGGAAACTTTTTTTCCTGAATTTCACATAATAGGGTTTGAACAGGCAGTGGTGGGGAAACCAAGCCTTGTGAGGAATAGTGGAAGGAGTTGGGGATGTTTAGCCTGGTAAAGGGGGGACTGAGAGGAGACATGATAGCCATCTTCCAATATCTGATGGGCTGTCACATAAAAGAGGGAGCAAACTTATTTTCTGCTGCTTCAGAGGGTAGGTATTTGAGTAACAAGAAAGGAGATTCTGACTAAACATTAGGAAGAACTGTCTGACAGTAAGAGTGGTTGGACAGTAGAATGGACTCCCTCAGAAGGTGGTGGACTCTACTGGAAGCTTTTTTAAAAAAGGGTTTGGATGGCCATCTGTCAGAGATTATTGAGCTGTGATTCCTGCACTGCAGGAGGTTGGACTAGACAACTTTAGCTCCCTTCCAACTTTGAAATTCTATGATTATTTGACTCCAAAACAGCAGGAGAGAATCACCTTAGCTAACACACTAGCTCTCTAACCCTTGGAAAGAAGCACCTGACCAAGAAATTTGGGGTGGGATCTAAATAATTTGTACAGGCTGCCTTTGCTAGAGAGTGTTTATTAAAGCGCTGACTATGCCTACCGTTTACTTACCAACTTTCTGCAGCTGAAGGTGCCTGGCCACTTCTCCGGGGGTGGGGCTGCTCCCCAGACAGCGCATAACAGTGATGAGATCACTGGCATTGATCTTGCCTTTATGCTTCTTATCATAGAGAGAAAAACATTCTTTGAACTCTAGTTGGGAAAAAGGAGGAGAGGAAGAAACCCAGTTTCACTGACACATCCTAAAGAAGGTGTGTGTAACCTTTGACCCTCCACATGTTTCTGGACTGCAACTCCCATAATCACCCCTGGCCATTATATATGCTTACTGAGGCCCCAGAGGGGCACTCCAGTGCTAAAGAGAAATGATGGACGCTAGCTACCTTCTTGAATTATGGTGCTGGAGGAGACTCTTGAGAGTCCCATGGACTGCAAGAAGATCAAACCTATCCATTCTTAAGGAAATCAACCCTGAGTGCTCACTGGAAGGACAGATCGTGAAGCTGAGGCTCCAGTACTTTGGCCACCTCATGAGAAGAGAAGACTCCCTGGAAAAGACCCTGATATTGGGAAAGATGGAGGGCACAAGGAGAAGGGGACGACAGATGACGAGATGGTTGGACAGTGTTCTCGAAGCTACCAGCATGAGTTTGACTAAACTGCGGGAGGCAGTGGAAGACAGAAGTGCCTGGTGTGCTCTGGTCCATGGGGTCACAAAGAGTCGGACACGACTAAACAACAACAATAGCTACCTTTTAGGAATAGTGAAAGTCCCTCTCTATCATTTCATTATATATTTTTTTCAGATTACTATAACCACTGCATGAGCAACACTTGGAAAACAACTGGACAAAACGGCAGGAAAACAATAATATAATGCTAACCCATTTCAAGGTAAAACAGCAACTTTTCCTTTGGAAAGCAGAGGAACCACTATGAAGCTGCGCTTAACTTTTCACATCAACAAGGACTTTGTGGCTGAGAACAGGCAGCGGTTCTTGGTAGCTGAAGTTATTTCTTTTATTATCTGTTTCTAAGGTAGTAGTAGTAATTATTTATACGTCACCCATCTGACTGGGTTGCCCCAGCCACTCCGGGTAGCTTCCAACAAATTATAAAACCACAGTAAAACACCAGACATTAAAAAACTTCCCCATACAGGGCTGCCTTCAGATGCATCAATAGACAAGCCGTCTATAAAGAACTGCAAAAGACATTAAACTAGCATTTCCCAAACTTGGGTCTCCAGCTGGTTTTAGGTTGCAACTCACATAATCCCTAGCTAGCAGGACCAGTGGTCAGGGATTATGGAAAGTAGTCCAGAAACAGCTGGGTACCCAAGTTTGGGAAACCCTGCATTAAATGGTGGCATCCTTGGTGCCATGATACCTAGTGAAGATGTGGGCACTTGCTTCCCCGATATTTTAAAGACTTAAGTAAGAATGACCTTCCTCAGTGCTTCGACGAGAAACTTGTTAGAAGGAATTCCTCAAAATCTGCTTTGGCATTCTTCCAAGGCAGAGCAGGACACACACAATAAGAAGGTAAGAAAATTTAATTAGTTGCAAAGAGTGTTTTGTTAAAAGGTACATACCATTGATCTGATCTTGGGACAGGAATTTTGCCTGCAACACACAAAAGGAACAAAAGAGAAAGTTTGATAAATTAAACTGTAATCTGCAAAGCAAGAAACATCACCCTCCCAGTCTTCTCCAACACACATAGACAAACTAGATTCCATCCCCCTTCATTCACCATTGTTGGGTATTAATTGTCCTTTTCAGTGGGGTGTGCCACTCCTTTTGCCTGCCAGCCTGCTAGTCTCTTTGCCTTCTTTGTCTGACTTAGTATGGTCGAGGTCTAAAGTCCACCTGTGCCGACGAGTAGCAAGAAGCAGCAGGTGTAATAAATACTCTTTGCTGTCATGGATACAGGACATGCTGTGTGTTGGATTTCAGCAGCTACTAAACAGACAGTAAGTAGGCCATGGAAATGTCGATTTACTAGAAGCTGTTTTTCACCTCTCCATAGGTGTTTTTAAACAAACAAACAAACAAACAAACAAAAACAAACAAGGGTGACAGTTGTTAGAAAATGCCACCATGCTAAAAGCAGCAATTACCACCCTGGAATCCCCCAAATGATAGAGTGCCTCAAAGGCTTGGTAATCCCAAAAAGATTTCAAGACACCTCATGCTGTGTTTAAATACCAACTAGTGCCCATTTGCTAATGCTTAATGCGATTGTTTCAGGAGGACACACGGAGGTCACTCAACCACTAGCAGTTAGCATGGATGAATCTTCCAGCAGAAGAAAGCAGGGCAAGAGATTCCCCTGGATGCTTAGGCCTCACTTTAAAAATTTGGTCCCCCAAATCGTGCTTTTTTTCTGCTGGAATGTGCCAGAACGCAGTACCCTTTCTCTTGGCCACTCCTCTCGTGACACCTAGCGAATACTCTCCACACAGGCTTCAACCAAAGTTGGGTGTGTGGGTGTGAGTTGAATTGCCCCTCCTACCTTTTCCTAGCTTTATGCGCTCAGAGACGGTAGGCACCCACCTGCTGGGGCCTTGCAGGGTGCTGTCATTCACCCTTTTTTTTCATTTTTTTAATTGATTTTCCAAATTTATAACAAATACAACACACAAAGAAAAATACATTACATTACTAAAAAAGAAAAAGAAAAGAAAAAGACAAAAATATGAACCAATATTACTCTAGGACCCAATTTCATTATCATTGTTAACTGACTTCCTCAAATTCCCCCCATCTGAATTTCATTGAATCACCTTGTAACAGTTTTCCAATATCCTCTTTCTAATAAAATTAATTCCTTCAAATAATTATCTTCCTTTCTTTTCAACATGTCCTAAATCCATAATGTTTTACAATACATTCATACTCTAATCCTAAGCTATTTTGATACTTTCAAGTGACTTCTATTGAAGTTTGTATTACAATGTTTAAATTTCTTCCAATCTTCTTGATATTCCTCTTCTTTCTGATCGCGGATTCTCCCAGTCAGGTCGGCCAGCTCCAAAAAGTCTAACATCTTCTTCTGCCATTCTTCTACTGTTGGTAGTTCTTGAGATTTCCAATTTTTAGCTAGTAGCAATCTTGCCGCTGTAGTGGCATACAAAAACAATCTAGCATCTTTTTTAGGAAGTTCCAGTCCTATTATTCCAAGTAGAAAGGCCTCTGGTTTTTTAATAAATGTATTTTTCAACATTTTTTTCAACTCATTATAAATCTTTTCCCAGAAGTCTTTCACCTTGGGACATGTCCTGTCATTCACCCTTTGCTGTTCGCTGTGATGATGCACAAGCTGCTGTTGGTGCAGTTACACCAGAGGCCTCTACATCACCGCTGGCGCCTCTGCCTCCCACCCTAACCGGCTTCTCTTCTCCCCTTCCTTAGGTGCCTCAGGAGCTGCTGCTTCCACCCTTCTTGCACCCAAGCAAAGCCCCCTTCCTGCCCTGCATCTGCCTCCTTAACACCTCCTACATTTACCTCAGCATTTCGCTGCCAATCACATCCAGCCACTGCCCTCGTGAGGAGGCCCCTCGCAGGGTGGCTAGCCCCAGCAGCAGCCTCCTCCTGCCACTGCAGCCTCAGGTGAAGGCTGAAGCGTCTGTGGCGGTCCGCTGAGCATGTGCAAAGTGCCGCCTCATTTTCCCCACTCAGCTGTCCCTCCTCCAGCCATTTCTGGGCAGTGAGTACCGGCACCTCCCCCCCCCCTAGAAAATAAGCCCTGCCCAAAACATTGCTAGGATTGAATAGGTTTTTCTCCAGAGGAGGCCTTAGCCATGAAGGTAGGAGAGACGGTTAATGGTGGCAGAGCGAGAGCTCTGGTCAGACCTCACCTGGAGTACTGTGTCCAGTTCTGGGCACCACAGTTCAAGAAGGACACTGACAAACTGGAACGTGTCCAGAGGAGGGCAACCAAAATGGTCAAAGGCCTGGAAACGATGCCTTATGAGGAACGGCTAAGGGAGCTGGGCATGTTTAGCCTGGAGAAGAGGAGGTTAAGGGGTGATATGATAGCCATGTTCAAATATATAAAAGGATGTCACATAGAGGAGGGAGAAAGGTTGTTTTCTGCTGCTCCAGAGAAGCGGACACGGAGCAATGGATCCAAACTACAAGAAAGAAGATTCCACCTAAACATTAGGAAGAACTTCCTGACAGTAAGAGCTGTTCGACAGTGGAATTTGCTGCCAAGGAGTGTGGTGGAGTCTCCTTCTTTGGAGGTCTTTAAGCAGAGGCTTGACAACCATATGTCAGGAGTGCTCTGATGGTGTTTCCTGCTTGGCAGGGGGTTGGACTCGATGGCCCTTGTGGTCTCTTCCAACTCTATGATTCTATGATTCTATGAGAGACAACTAGGTCTGCCCCAGGTGGTCTCAAGCTGCTTTTTTTTTAATTACAAACCAGTTGAGCTGAATAGTGACTGTGCAAGGATAACTTCTCCTGGGAATTTTGCCCTGTATTTATTAGGGAGCGGAGGGCTACCATTTGGATCTTCCTTTCAAGCATCAACAATGCCTTGGGACAATTGCTCTCAGCACCTGAACAAATGCAGTACAGTGGTACCTTGGGTTAAGTAATTCGTTCCAGAGGTCTGTTCTTTACCTGAAACCGTTCTTAACCTGAAGCACCACTTTAGCTAATGGGGCCTCCTGCTGGAGCACGATTTCTGTTCTCATCCTGAAGCAAAGTTCTTAACCTGAAGCACTATTTCTGGGTTAGCAGAGTCTGTAACCTGAAGCGTATGTAACCTGAAATGTATGTAACCCGAGGTACCACTGTATGTGGAAACAAGGAAGTTTGGCTAAATAAATAAATATGCCGCATAACCTAAAGTATGATACCCTTGAAAGAGGTGGAAATATGACCACTCCTGAGAATGTCCCTGCTTGGTTGCAAATACCCCCTTTAGGGGAAAGGGGATTGAGAAGGATGTGGCACCCAACCCCACATGGAACGAAATACTCATGGATGAAACTGATCAGATTGACCCATTCCAATTAGGGTTCAGGCCTGGGACTTTTATAGGATTGATTTAGGCTTGATTGCCTTAGGGATGACTTTTATTGAGAGGACAGGGGGAATGAGACCCCGCCATTCTTTGTTGTTTTCTCAGCAGCTTTTGGTACCATTGGCCATGGTATCCTCCTGAATAGGTTCTGTGAGATGGGCACTGTTTTGCAGCGGTTCCACTTCTATCTCAGGGTTGATTTCAGGGTGATTATTTCTTGACCCTCTGACAACTATGCCGCTGGGTGCCACAGGGCACCATCCTGTACCCAGTGCTATTTAACACTTGTATAATGCTGCAGCTGAAAGACTTGTACTGGCTGCCAGTTAGCTATCAGGCCAGGTTCAGGAAATGGAAACTTGGGACTCAGCTATGTAGCTGCAAATATGTTTTAAGTGCATTATACAAATGTGACACTAGTTGGCAATGGTGAGCTTATGGCAAATTCAATATATTTCTCAAAATGCTTTAAAAAAGGCATTTCACAGTGTTACTTATATGTGTCTAGATTCCACCTTGGTCTATATCAATTTAAAAAAAAAAAAAAAAAAATCTCAGCCCACAAAGACTTTAGCAAACTTTTATTTCTCTGCCAACAAACTCTTTTACATCCACTTGGTTTGGATCACACTCAGGATAAATGTACACAAGGCAAAGTCATGGAAGGCGAACAGTCAATGAAGGTTCGGTCCAGGAATTTGAGGCTACAAAGGAAAGTTCTACTCAACAAGTCCTTAAAAAGTTTTGAAGAAATAACCGTGCACCTCCCTTAGAATTAAAAATTTTCTACCTGAGTATCAAAGGGGAGGAAAAGCATAGAGGACAACAGACAGTGGAACAAAGAGGGCATGCGGCAAGGAGGAAACATCCATTTCGACAAGTGGCAGAAATTTAGCCTTCCTGATCAGAGCGTGATCAGAGCGGTGCAGTATGCCTCAGGGGCCATTCTTGAGGTTCTGCTTTAGGATCAGATTCTGAACATGGCTGTGTGTGCGTGTGCACGCACCTGCCTCTTCTACAGCCTTCTCCAACCTGGTGCCCTCCAGCTGCTTCAGATGGTGTGCCCAGCAGGGCTCTATGGAGTGATTTAAGAAGTGGGGTCCCCAGTGGGATCAACAGTATTCTTCCTCTTGCAAAATGATCAGAGGGCATTTCAAAATCCATTAAGATAAAGAAAACAAAAACAAAAAAAAGCAACTCCCACTGAAATTTTCAGCAGTAGCTGCTCTCAAAACCAAAAGCAGACATTGGTGGGCCTCTCCCAATCCTGGGCTTTAATAAAAAGGCAGCGAGAACTAAGCTAGACTGTACAGAAGAAGCAGATTCACTTCTCTTTTGCATAGTTTATTCTGCAGGACACAGGAAGGAAAACAGGGAACAAGTGGGTATGCATAGCGCTGAACCTGCCCTGACCATGGGAGGCCTGCTGGAGATGATCCTCTCTGGTTTCTGAGATCCTCACAGACTCTGCTGATGTGTTTACAAGGTTACCTTATCAGCCATAGGAACCAGAAGGATGAAGAAACCTAGAGCTCAAGCAGACAAATATTTCAGGTTCAATGGTGGGTCCCAATGGGTGTAAATAATTCTCTGTACAACCCACACATGCCCTTATTACGGACTAAGGCTGTGATCCTAAACAGACATAGGCTGCAACCCTAACCCAATTTACGTGGGCATGAAGCCTCACTGAATTCAACAGCATTTATTTCTGAGTAGGCCTGGCTTTATTTGCGAGTAGGCCCCAATGAACTCAGCGGAGCTTGTTTCCATGTAAACCTGCATAGGACCACAATGCAGCACTTTATCTGAGCTACATTAGGATTAGCCATTGAATTTTTTTTGGTGGTGGGGGGGGAGAAAGGAACTTCTCTTGCGCTGTACTGTGGGCCTGATCCACTGCACACATCATGCCCTCTTCAATGGTGCTTGCAGCAGAGCAGACTGGGGCCAAGGGTTGCATTTTCAAATTCTCTCTCTCTACTGCCCCCCAACCAAAGAATCAAAGTTAAATGCTCTCCCCCTTTGCAGAGTGCAGGTTACTCATGTGCAAGGTGTAAAAAGCCCACGGTTCCGGAATGTAGATGACGCCGGGGTATTTCTTCCTGAGGATCTTGTCGTTCCAGAGCCAGCCGACCCACAGGGCAATCAATACCAGTGTGATGATGAAGGAATAGAAAAGGAAGCGTCCGTTGCTGTCCATGAGCAAGCCTTTCCGCTTCTGGTGCATCACCAGAGCCATCAGAGCAAAGAAGGTGAAGATGAAGAGGATGAAGATCTGCCCTTCTGTGACAAGGTACCTGCAAACAGGGGAGAAAGGGACGCGGGTCAGTGAGCTTCTTTATACAGCAGGGAAGAGAAAGCAGGCAGATGGGGAAGGCGACGACATTCAGCACTAGAAGAAGATGCCTCTCAGGTAAGAGGTCTCCCAGGTTGGCTTCCCAGCACACAGTTTATTTCTGACATTTGTGCCCTGCCTTGCTGTAGGAAATCTGAATCAAGGCAGGTTGCAAACAATTGTTGTGATAACTATTGAAATGATCTAGACCAGTGTTTCCCAAACTTTTTCGGGCCACCGTCCCCTTGATTCCATAAACTCATCCCTAGTGGGCCCCCTACCCTAGAAAAAGCATGATTCAGAATAGCGGTTTGCATGACCCTTCTAAGGAAGATAAGAACACAATGAAATTCAAAACGGTAATTAATTGCACAATTATTTTTAAAAAACCAAATAAAGCTATCTAGCTTAATTAATTCATTCAACAAAACTGATGAATTTGATTCAAGGATCCCAGCTTTTCAAGGTCTGATAGTCATTTACACCTCCAGTGCCCCCTGTCTTTTAGTGTCCACCCCCCCCCCCCCGCAAAGGGCTGTACCATGCTCTTTGGGAACCACTGATCTAGGACAACTTTACACCACAGTTAAAAGCAGCACCAGCAAAACCTTGAAGAAAAACAATATTCCAGAAAAACAATTAAAAACAGATATGTGTTACTTAAGAGGAACAAATTCTACTCTTCCAAGTTACAACTAGTGATCTTGGTTAAGATTCAGGATGTTCGCAGTAGCCTTTGAACACTGGCTGCCCACCCCCCGATGATGCATCCGTGGCCTCATGTAGCTGTGTAGCATCTAAATGACTTCCCCCTCCTCCCCCTCTCCAAAGCCACACCTGGCTCACTTACCAGTAATAGAGGCTGCTGGGCCCAATGAGGAGTAAAGCAGCCACAGGTATCCTCTGCTGCTCTTCTTTAATGGGGATGAAGCAGCCGGAAAAATAGATGCACAGGATAAGGAAGAAAGGGATGTACCTGCGAGAGGGAACACAATTGCAACGGAGCCATCAGCAGACACTGTCAACAAGCACCTCCCCAGTTTTAATGTAGAAAAGAGGGGTTCTTTGCTTCAGCTGTAAGAGCATGAAGACTGGGTGAAGTCTCTGAACAAGAGGATTGTGGTAGTAAAGGTCTGTGCTCTGTCCCCTTTCCCAGAGATCTGACCAGGTTCTCTGCAGATGGTTTCAAGCTGCTCCTTACAGCCCTGAGAGCCAGAAAGTTCATTCATTCATTCATTCATTCATTCATTCATTCATTCATAAATAAGGCAAGCAAGCAAGCAAGCAAGCAAGCAAGCAAGCAGGCAGGCAAGCAAGCAATCCTTGCCCAGTGTGGTGCCCTTATAAGAAGAGTCTGACTGGTTCAGGCCAGTGGCTCATCTAGTCCAGCATTCTCTTCTTACAGTGGCCATCCAGAGGCCAGTGGGAAACCTACATGCAAGACCTAAGAAAAAGAGTCCTCTTGCCTCCTGTGGTTTCCAGCAAGTGGCATTCAGAGGCATTGCTGCCTCCAAATGTGGAGGCAGAGCACAGCCATTGTGGCCAGTAGCCAATGATAGCCCTCTCCTCTGTGAATTTGTCCTCCGGATGTCTTGGACTACAACTCCCGTCATCCCCAGTTGGTGGGGGAGGCTGTTCTAACTAACCGCTAACTTTAACCCTAGCTCTTAATCAAGTAAAAGCAGAGGCTGGCTTAGATGCTCGGTTTGTTATCTAATCGCAGCTGGCAACCACCCATGGCCACACGAACCAACGAAAGCACAATTGATTGGGGAGATAACACAGAGCTTCTGGGGAGGTCAGCGAGAGAAGTCCGGGTGGAACTGGATGCGAGGAATGGCTTAGGGAGAAAAGCGCAAGGGGGCCTCTCATGCAAGCTGCCATCTTCCAGGTCTTATGCAGAAGTTAAGAGGCAGCAAGGACATTTCATTGCTCCCTCTGCAGCCCAGGGCAGTGGCTAGCATCACAGGTCAATAACCAGAAACCAAAGACGTCAAGTCTCTCTGAGCCAAATTCTGCCGCATATTAGCCAGGGATAAATGTCACCAATTTTACCAGGGAACACACGCAACAGAAGAAAAGGTTATCCATTCAAGCTGCCTATCGCTGTTAAATCCAGAATGCTCATTTCATTTTGGGTCCTTACTGCTGCTCCCCCCTCCACTTCCCAGTCGAGAATCATTTATGTATGTGCCTTCTAAAGTCACGTCTTCCTCCTGTCAGGACTGTTTGAGAACGAAATGCGGACACAACCAGAAACGGACTTCTTATGCTACTGTTAATGCAGGGTGAGAAAATCCCCCCCCCCCAAAAAAAAGTGGGAGAGAGAGATCTGAAAATGCACCTCCACAAGGGATCAAGCCAAAAGAGATGTGCAGAGTTTAATTAAAAACCTGTTGTGGAGGAGAGGGAACCAAGCCAAGATTTTAATTGTCACAAATGATTTTTGGGAACCAATTGCAAAAGAGACATAAGGTTCAAGGTGTTGCTATATATAAAGCCCTTAACAACCTGGGACCAGTTCACCTGCAAGATCGCCTTACCCCTTAAATGCTCACTCAACTGCTTCGATTGGTGGAACTGGCCCCGTTACAAGTGCCACATCATATCAGTTCCACATTTGTAAGAACTTGATCTTTTAGTATGGCAGCACCTGCACTTTGGAACTCCCTGCCGATAGACATCAGACAGATGCCTTTGCTGTAGTCCCTTTGACACTAAATGCTAAAAACATTTTTGTTTAGACAAGCCTACCAAGAGATGTAAATGTTGGTGATTGATTTGATCTGTTTTTAGTTTATTACGGATTTTATCCCTTGAATGTTTTAAAGAGTTGTTTTTACTGATGACATTATTGTTTTATTTTCTTTGTAAGCTGCTTTTTTTAGTTGTTGTTTTTTACAATTAAATGGTGTATAGATTTTATGAAATAAAATAGGAATTATTATTGAGTGGCATTTTCTCCTCCAAGAAAAGTGGGGGGAGCGAGGAACACCAACACAATACTCCAACCTGATGTGTGGGAAATGCCCTGCAGTTTACTTACCACATTGAATGGCCCAGATATTCATCATAATAATACAGCAGTTCAAATGAATCAATCTGGAAAGGAAGGAAATGAGAGTCAAGCCAATGAAAGTTTCCTAGCCAGCAGCAGAAACAAAGCAGGCAGGAAGCACCAAAACCTCTCGTTACCAGTGTCTCCGGCTTGAGGTTTTTGATGATGGGGTTCTCCCGGACGGACAAGTGGAGCTGGTAGCCGCTGAAGATCAGCCGGTGGTTGACGGAGTCCCCCACCAGGTGGATGCTGGCTCCCATGACAAAGGTGATGATGCAGATGTACACCATGGACCGTGGGAGAGTCTTGGGGGACCTTTCGATGAGCTGCAATGGGAAACTCCTCTCAAGAACACGGAGAGACAATCAGACCCTGCCCTATACCCACCCACCCACCCCTCTCTTCCTCAGGCAAGAGCTGGAAACATCCTGTAGACAGGACTCACAGTTCTTGGGTTCCAATGATTTTCTTAATGTCATTTGTTTTTAATTTCATTTCTTTCCTAAAGGAAAGGACTATTTTTAAAAATAAAAATTAACGAGCAGAACTGCAGCCTCCACTGACCTGCAACTAATCCAACCACCCTTTCCACGTCAAATCAATTGATTTGTTATTCATTAGCCTGAAGGATCAAAAGCACCACTCAGTAGAAGCGGCCAATTCCATTGCCTCCACTGCACTATTTGAGAGTGTTCCTGTGCCCCACAACCAGTGGCTGATTCCACCCCCACCCGAATCTGCAAAGCTCTTGAAATGCAATTTCATATCAAATTTAAATGGCAATGTCGGCCATTAAGTCATATAAGGCAGAATAAAACGATAAGACTGGTTCCAAATTAACTTATGTTAGAGTTGAAGCCAAGGAAAAAGAGTAATTCTAGTTCCTATGGTTCAGAAACCTAAACATTCACACTGACCTAACTACTGCAGAAAACATCCTCACTAGTTTCAAAGACCTGAATGTGTTTATACCTACACCCACCCCCACCCACACATCCTATATAAACTTAAATGGGCATCTATTCAGCTCACAAGCAATTGTCACCCACCTGCTTGCATGTCAACAAAACCCTTTGTATATGGTTATTCTGACACAATTGTTATCTGAATGTTTTATCTCTGAGAACAGACACTCAAAAGCAGGTTGCTCCGACAGCTTATTTTGCTGAATCATTTGGGCTGCATCGCATAGCTGCTGTAGGGATTACAGCAAGATCACATATGTGATCACTAAAAAAAAGCTAGAAAAATGCTAAGTATTATTAATTGCTTAGCCCCCGTTTTCTGCCAGAGAAAAGCTGCTTTACTTATAGCAAGCATTTGCAGTTATGCAGTCTAATATTTCATGGACCAGTTTTCCCAAACCAGGTGCCTTCCAGATGCTCTGAACCCCCAAAACCCAGAAGATCTGGCCACCATGGCCAATGGTTAGGGATTATGGTAGTCAGAGCCTAACAACATCAAAAGCTTGGGGAAGGTTGTCATTGGTGAATGCTACCATGGCTGAGTTTACTTTGCTGGGCTCTGAGATGCCAACTCCACGCTTGACACTGCCCATTAGTAACATGCTTCTTGGAGAGCTATTGTCATTTTTTAAACCGATGATGCAAAATGCAAGCAGAACTACCCAATGACATCCATCACAATCATGAAGCTCTACCATGTTAACTGTGACATTTGACTGTATCAGTGTGTGTTCTGAGAAGCACTGTGCCAAAATCTGTCCTTTGATTTCGTAAAAGTTTTCTTCCTTAGCCACAAGAGTCTTCCATAGTTCTACCTCATTAACATGGCACTTTAGAATTTCAACAGGTGTGGGGATTTGAGCTTACTATGCCATTGAGAGGTGGCATTTGTGTTTCTCTATCCAGTAAATGTTTCTGCAACCTCCCTGCAGCCTCCTGATCTGAAGAAGCTACATAGGAGGAGTTACTTTATGATGTTTTCCCCTGAACTTTTAACCAGAGAGCGATCACCTAAGAAAGCTGTGAAGTAGACCACTGGCAAGATGATTTGCAGAATGAAAGAACAGACTCTCATGAACAATCTCAAGAGTAAGGTGAGCACAACAGAAACCCTGCATGCCACCCATGAGAATTTTATTGAAATTTCCTCTCCTCTGGTGCAATTTCTTTTCTCATTAACTGGTGGCACGAATAAGTGAACATGATAAAAATTTTGGCACAGCACTACTTCTGAGCACCATCGTTTCAGAGAATTCACTTTCCACTCTGATCATTATTCCCGTTATTCAGCCTTCCAAAACACACAAACAGATCTCAGCAGAAATGAGAGAAGAACACAGCTCAAAAATTTACCTTCAGAAGAATAAAGGGCGTTATGACATTGTAAGCCATGTGAAAATAATCTCCAGCACTTGGCTTGTTCAGGGGAAACCATTCCAACGGAAGAACGATCTGAAAGAATGGAAAACAGAAGAAGGGATGAGTTTCATCACAGGCAGCCCACAATGTTTTGTTTTATATTATTATATTGTCTTTTTGTCAAGGCTGGCCACAAAAGCCATTCCTTCCTGCTTTTGTGCAGCAAAACCCAAGCAGAACAGAGATTGCAGTAAATGAAAAAGATACCACCACAATCATTCATTCATTGCATTTACACCCCACTCCCCCCACAAGGAGCTTAAGGTGGTATACTTGGTTCTCTTCCCATTTTATCCCCACAACAACCCTATGAGGTAGGTTAGGCTGAAAGGCAGTGACTGGCCAAAGGTCACCCAGTGAGCTTCATGGCCAAGTGGGAATTTGAACCCAGGTCCAAGTCTGAGACTCTAACCACGATCAAGAAAACACCAGTTCTCAACCCCATGTTGCCCCATAAATGAAGGGCAGGGGCAGTGGGGGAGGATTTCCAGGCACAAGGAAGGATGAACCCCCACCCCACCCCTTACAATTGCCCCCTGCATTCCTGCTAGCTAGCAGAGCTTTTTCGGAAGTTTGTGCCCATATAATACACAGCTGCAACCCTCAGATCTCATATATTTGTTTGGAGGCAGAAACCTGGTTGGAGGCAGGAATGCTTCTGAATACCAGTTGCTGGAAACCACAGTGGGGTGGGGGAGTGCTTTGTGCTTGGGTTACTGTGAGAACAAGATGCTGGACTAGATGGGCCATTGGCCTGATCCAACAGGCCTCTTCTTCTATTCATATTGGGAACAGGTAGAGACACTGCACGGAAGGCACCTTGAGAGGCTTCTCCCTCTCAAGGGATATCAGATCTGCTGCTTAACAGGAGCACACAGCTTACCTTCATGTAAGCATACTTGTAAATAAAGCATGCATTTCAAAATCTCTAGCGTTCTCTCTTACAAAGAAAAGGCAGCCTGGGTAATGCTGCCCCAGGAATTTATGGATGGAAGAAGAGCCCTGCAGTTGGATCAAGCGCGTGGCCCATCTCATCCAGCTGTTCTCACAGATGCCTCAAAGGGAAGCCCCAAAGCAGGTCCCTGGCTGCAACAGCACTCTCCCAACTTGTGATTCCCAGATGTTGGCATTCAGAGGCATGCTGTCTTTGAAACTGAGCACAGCCATCATGGCTACTAGCCATGGGTAACCTTACCCTCCCTGAATTTGCCTAATTTCCTTTTAAAGTCAGCCAAGTTGGGGTCCATCACTGCATCACATGGAATTCCAGAGCTTAACTAAGGCACTGTGTACTTTCTGTTGTCTGTCCTAAATCTTTTAACATGTGAGGAACTCACAATTCCTGGTTCTGGGAAATTCCAAATGCTGCGACCAAAATTTGTCGTTGCTCCCTGCCCCCTGGTCACATAGAGTGACCAACCTCTTTCTGCCTGGAACCCACATTTTTAACAGCCACAGGATGGCAATGAAAATGCAGCGATACTCACCATGGCAATGGGGCGCCCAAAATCCAGCACCCAATTCTGCAGAGTGAAATAAAACCACAAGTCAAAATGAAACCGGGGGTTCCTGCAGGCGTCTTCCTCTTGAGCCACTCCATGCCTGCCAAGGAGAACAATTATTCAATAGTAAAGAAAGGGCTTTAAAAAGTGTTTGGAAGCTTCAGCCGGCCCAGAATGCTGACTCAGACCAGTGACAGGAAACAGGTTACTCCACTGCGAAAACAACTTTCTGGGCACAATTCAAAGTGCTTGTTAGAACCTATAAAGCCCTATATGACTTGGGCCCAGGCTACCTGAAATCTCGTACCTCCCTACATGAATCTGCCTGGGTGCTAAGATAAGCACCTTCTCTCAGTCCCATCACCATCAGAGGCAAGGTTGGTGGTCACATGAGAGGGTGCCTTTTCTGTGGATGCCCCCATATTGCAGAATTCCCTCCCAAGAGAGGCCAGACTGGCTCCTTCTTTGTAATCCTTCTGCCAGCCTTTGTCATCCTTCCACCTTCCTGTTCAGACTGACCTTTGGAAACTGAGGAGCAGGCGATGCTGATCACTGGGCAAATTGTCCTTGAATTGCTGGTTCTAAAACATGTTTTGATATATTTTAATGATTTTTTTTTTTAGGTAGGATTTTAAAAAAAATAATTTTGCATTTTACAATGTTTTAAATGTTGGAAGCTGCCTTGGATCCCAGCTTGGGAGAAAGGTGGGTTATAAATATATTAAATAGTAATAATGTTACGTGCAGCTTACAAACACAACTGCAAACAAGAGGAAGTTTTCACACCCACGCAGGGTTAACCTGTGGTACTCAATGCAACAGAGCAACCTTCACCAAGCTGGCACCCTCCAGATGTTTCGGACTACAACCCCCATCATCCCACTGGCCTTGATGTGGGCCTGATGGAAGCTAGATTCAGAAACTTCTGGAGGGGAGGTGTGTTGGTGAAAGTTGCAGTAGGGCTATGTCAAAATAATGGGGTGGTGGGTGGGGAAAAGATTATACCCTGGCCAACCAAGAGTGGAATTGATCACTTGCTGGACCACCTTTGGTTAACTCAAGTTCTCCCTATTTCTGCCAGTTAACCCCAAGGTCCAGGTTTACTGGGTAAAACCAGCTCTTCTCTACAAAGAATTCAGAGCATTTAGTGGGCTCTCGTCAACAAAAGCCTTTGGCTACACTGAGAATGTCAGAAGGGCCTTGCAACAGGGGCCCCATCCAGCATCCTGCTTAGGGGCCAAAAAGATGCCTGTGGGAAGTTTGCCAGCAGCACCTGAGCACAAGAGCACTTTCCCCTCCTGCAGTTTGCAGCAACTGGTATTCAGAAACATCGCTGCCTCTGATGGTGGAGGATCAGGGTTAGCAGCCACTGAGAGACATCCTCTGAAATATACTCGGTGTCGAGTGTGGATTTCATGCTCTTTATTCAGCTCATAGTAGTGCGGAAATGGAAGTTCCCCCAAAATATCTGCTTTATATACATTATTTACACAATGGGCCGCACGTGATTGGATAATTCCTGGATTCTCCTGTAGGCCAATCAGGTTGCGGATTCACTTCCACCTGGAGCTGGATTGGGTGGCTCCTGCGGACCAATCATACTGCTGTATTGTTCTAGGACCAATCAGACTGCTGCATTCTGAATCCTATTGTTCTAGGACCAATCAGACTGCTGCATTTGGATCCTATTCAACTCAGTACATAACATCTTCTATCTTTAAAGTGCCACAAAACTCATGTCTCTTGAGATGGCTGTCCCTCCCCATCAGAGGTCTCTTGTCTCAAGAAGCTCATCATATAAGAGCCCTGCTGGATCAGGCCCATTCAGTGGCCCATTCAGTCCAGCATCCTATTCTCACAGTGCCTGTTGGAAGCCCACAAGCAGGACCCCAGCATAAAAGCCATCTTCGCTCCCATGGTTCCCAACAAATGGTTTTATTCAGAAGCACTGCTGCCTCCTACTGTGGAAAGTCAGCTTTAATGCATGCTTTATGGGGAGACAAAAGAGAGGGGCTTTCTGGGCTTAGATGCAACCTTTCCCAAACTGCTGCCCTCCAGATGTTTTGGACTACAATAAAGCTGTGCTGGCTGGGCCTGATGGAAGCCCCAAAATGTTGGTGGGGGGCACTTAAAACTAGGTTGGGGAAGTCTGCTTTGAAGTAGTCCCTTTGCCCATAAAAGCCTTCTTGTCATTTCTTTAGACACAGATGCGCTCAGATAAGATTGTAATTAAGCAGTACACAAATTGTCTAGAATGAAGAATTAAATTAAAATATAACAAGTGAGAGAGTGACACTTAACAGATTCATTAACTAAATATTTGGGATGGTTCTGGAATTCTAGAGCTGGATCTAGTTTAAATTTGAACTCCACAGAGAAGGTCCCAGATACTACCCTCAGAGGACTGAAGTCTTCTACAGAACTTCAGCTGGTTTTTAAAAAACGTGATATGATGCAGTTTCTTCTATCAAACTGGAAATAAAGAATTTTTCAGGGTGCTGGTGTAAGGCTTTCAAAAATGCATACAAATTTATTAGTCAATTCAAGGAATTTATGCATCAGCTTTCATTCCGAATAGGAATTACCAAGGCGGTTCACAAACAAATTAAACAACCACAAATTTTCATAATAAAACAAAGTTAAAATATACATCAGCACCAAAACAAAAATGTTTCCGTTTAGAAACTCTGCTACAGCGTGGCAAGTGGGTCGCAGAAATTTATTCTAGGAAAAGCATGAGATTTTGTCTCAGAACACGGATTAAATCCATCCAGTATTAAAAAAAAAAAAAAATCAGCGAGGAAAGTCGTTGATCCTCGGGGCTTATAAGAGAGGCCTTTCATTAATTCCTGCTACTGTCATGCCTTGCACGATATATTCCGCCGCGAGGGGACGAGACCTGCCTGCTCAGGGAAATCCTTTTTTCCCCCAAAGTACTGTACTGTAAGGATTTCACCACAGATAAGAACCAGCCTTGCAAAATGTGGAGTGGGCGGGGGAAATCCTCCCGCACCTAAAACGATTCCATGCAAAGAAGTCGGCGTTGCGAAACCACGTCTAAACCACAAGCAATGATAGGATATTGAGCTAATGTGCGGAGGGTCCCTGATCAAAGGCCCTGATTCTGACCGCACTTTGGAGCAAGTGGCCTCTTGCCTGCGAGGCTCCACTCTCTTTACCCTGCCTGCCCCTGCGCGGGCGGCTTCCCGAGGCGCCCTCCTCAATCTCTGCCCGGCGCAACAGAGAAGCGCTGCAGCGCCTTCGGGGCAGAGACCTACGTCTCCCCACGCTTGCAAAGCCCGAGGGCTGCGCTGCAGCCCAAGCAGCCTCCTGAGCGGCTGGACCAACGGGCAGCACCCAGGGTGGTGGGTTGGGAGCATCTCCCCTTTCCCGAGGGGCGACTCACCTGCCCGACGACGAGACCCCCGCGGCCGCCTGCCGCCTCCGCACGCCCGACATGGGGAGGGCGCTGGGGCTGCCTGGCCTAGCGCGTCTCCTGCGGGCGCCCCCGAGCTCGGGAGCCTTCCTCTCCGCCGCGGCTCTCCATGCTCGCCCGGGAAAGGAGGAGGAGGGCGGGGAGGGGGCGAGGCGGGGCCAAGCGGCCGGGGCAGGGCCGGGCCCGCCTCTTCCGAGGCTCAGCAGCGCCCGGCCGCCGCCATCACCAGCAGCAGTGGTTGCGCGCCTTTACGCACGGGAGAGGCGCGGGAACGCCAGGAGGCGGAAAGGAACTCTGCACATGCTCTAGGTCTGCTCGTTGCCCGCCAGGGGTGGCCGGACTCCAACTCCCATCATCCCTCAGCATTAGCTGTGCGAGGAGGCTGTTGGGAGTTGGAGTCCTTGGCAACCGCTGGATAGACCGGTGACAAGCACGTCAGACGTTTAAAAGCACTCTTATGCCACTTTAAGATTCGCTTTAAAAAGCGGGCTTTATCACAGCACAAGCTGCCCCTTTGGATCCTAGCATTTTTGTCATCCTGTTATTATTTTGTTATTCAGAAACTGCCCAGCCACTTTCCCACAAGGATCTCATTACTCACCTGAGGGTTTCTGCACTGCTTACTATTGCAAGGTATTGGAAGACTCTAAACGCAGACCTGTTTGAGATCGGGATCTCACAGCTCCAGGATTTAAGGGACAAACAGACGGTCAACGTCCAAAAGAGTCGAACAGACAAGAAAATCCCTACTTTTCAATCTGCCTGGAACAGTTTTACTGCATATGCAAAATTGATAGAGCATGGTTATTGGCCTCCAAGGACACATGGCAACTTGCGGAATGATACCTTTCTTTAAAAACTGAAATGATTAAAAAAGTTAAATGCAATTAAATTGACATTTGGTGCTTCTGTGTAGGGTGGGATGGATTGCTGAGTATTGATTGTTGCTTCTTGAATAAGTAAGTGAAAACGATAAAAAAAATTGTGGGATAAAAAGATTCATGGCTTTCCCTAAACAATCCTAGAAACTGTGGTTTGTAGTTCAGTAGTACTTGGAGGGCACCTGCTTGGCAAAGGTGGCTTTAGGAGTTAAGAGGATAAATCTGGGAGAGATTGCCTTGTTCCTATTGTCCTGTCCCAACCACCGGGGCTTGGAACCACCATTGCCAGATGCCCAGAGCAGAAGCCTTGTAAATACTTTGATGATTACACAGTGCTGATGTGCTTTTTTGTGCATGAAAGCCTTGGCAGACTTCAATCAATTAATTCTTTTATAGGAGGGAGCAGTCAATTCTGATACAATATATTAAAATGCAAACTTGGAAATATTTTAATATATTTGTCCTGCTTACGGGATTTCTGGATGCATCTGGGCAACCACTGCTGGCAACGGGAGCTCCAAATAGATGGACTTTCAGTCCGATCCAGGATGGCTCATGCTTTCTTGGATTCAATTTAAATTAGGGCTGCCATACGTCTGGAATTTCCGGGACATAGCTGGGATTCAGTCGTCGGAAACAATATCTGGGTGGAAATCGCTGAAATGTCCAGACGTATGGCAACCCATGTTGGAAGTGTAGATTTGGGCGAACTTCTTTAAAAATAGCTCCAAAACTTTCTTTTTTAAATTAGATTTTTGGCTCAACAACTTTGGCCAAACAAACGAACAAACTAACTAACTAACTAACTCGACAAATCTGCCAAAAAAAAGGGCTCAACATTAGTGTCTGGATTTTCACTTTCTGATATTTGGCAACCCTGTTTAAATGGCACCCTGCTCCATTTCAGCAGTGAAGCATTTGCTGGTATGGAGAGCAGGTGTGAGAAAAGGTCTGATTACTGTATATTTCTGTGCAACTATTAATGGCATGTGAGAACTGCTGGGAAAATAAGGTTGGCAACATCTTAGCCCAGGCCCACCAAGACTCTTCCAACTACCCTCTACAAAAAGTGTGGAGAACTAAAGGCAGGGTGGGGTGAATGTGGGTTTTGGGGCCACCCCCTCGCTAACTGTTCCACCCATTCCTTTTTTCTGGCTGGTGTCCTTTAAAATGCATTTTGCTTCTCTGAATGGAGGATGGAGAGAGATGTGGGTGCGGGGGGGGGGGGGAGTAGAAGCTTCTGACTTTTGCTTAGCTGGCATGTAGCCACAATAACATCTCTTGCTCCAATTGCTAACCTGCCCATCATGAAATCACAATCCCAAGGCAGGTTGCAACAATCAAACAAAATGCTGCCTCACTTTGCCTAATGGTAGGGTCATCCCTCACAACACAATAAGGCCTTTCAGGGGCTTGGACTAGATGACTCTCATGGCCCCCTCCAACTGTACGATTCTATTACTTAAAGGGATTTCATTCTAATTGGAGCAGTCAGTCCTATGACCAAAAACAAGATTTCTGGCAGACGGAAGCTGTATTCGCAGTACGTAGATCAAAAGCGTGGAAATCTTTTGAGTCTGTGCCCTGCATCTGTGACACAAGGTCTCTGCATGCCGGGCTGAACCTTTGAGTGATGGATTTGATGCCTCTCGGGATAATCACCATCAGATTATCCACCCTGGGAGATTAGGGGAAGATAAGGGAGCAGAGGGCTATGCACACATTGCAGCGAGGTCATTCTTTTTTTTTTTTTTTGCAATTTAGATCCAAGATGGTTTGTGGGGAAACACATCCAAGTGCAGTATTTCATAAGAAGCAACAGGATAGATGCAGGATAGTATAGCTCATAACACAGATATGGGGTGTGGTTAATGCTATGTGAACACCACTTCCCAAAGCAACACTGGGCATGGAGAACATAAGAGCCTGATGGATCAGGTCAATGGCCGATCTAGTCCAGCATCTTATTCTCACAGTGGCAAACCAGATGGCTGTGGGAAACCTGCAAGCAGAACTTGAGCACAACAACACTCTCCCCACCTGCAGGTTCCTGCATCTGGTTTTCAAAAGCATTACTCTCTCTGAAGGGTGAGGCAAAGCGTAGCCATCGTGGTTGTTAGCCACTGATGACCTTATCCTCTCTGAATTTGTCCAAACATTTTTTAAAGCCATCCAAGTTCGTGGCCATGACTGCCTCCTCAGGAGCGAGTTACATAGTTTGCACTGTGTGTACTAAACAGGATTGTGTACACAGACAGAGGAGAATATACACAAATGCTGTGTGTTTCAGGAGGGCGACTTGTGCTCACCATCCCTTCCTCCCGCTGCCACCTCTTTGATGCGCACCCCATCCAAAGAACCACATGGCGCAACCAGTCCATTCCTCCCATGCATAATGCATGGCATTGCCCTTGCGCAGTTTCCACAGCTGACAGCGGCTCCTGTTGCATGACTTCCAATTAACTATTAATTTTGTTGTTACTGAAACCACGGCAAAACAATTGCACCAAACAGGCCCTGGGTCCAATTAGCAAGATCGCATTACTGACCGTGTCAGCTGGCTCCAGCAAATGACTAGTTCGTGACAATAGGTGGGTCCCCCTGAAAGCCTCGGGAAACAAAGACCGGCGTCTGCAACAAGAAAGCCGGAGGGAGGGCTGTTTCTCAGTGGCAAAGCATTGGCTTTGCATGCAGAAGGTCCTGGGTTCAGTCCCTGGTATTGCTAGATGGGGCTGGAGAGTCCCTTGGCCAAAACTTGGAGTCATTGCCAGTGAGTCTTGACAGTACTGAGCTAGATGGATTCATTGTTTGACTCTGTATAAGGCAGCTTCCTATGTTCCTAGGAGAGGAGGAAGAGGAGCAATGCCACCAGCCAGTGTCTGCAGAAGGAACACCACTGCCTGTTCAAGGGGATATCAAACCTGTCCCCACTACATCTGGCAGGTGCAAAGAGGTGCAGGTGTTTGTTTATACTGTGGTGGTCTCATAAAGCCAGCAAGGACCATTCCAGCATTCACCTGCCAGTTTCCCTTATTCTGACTTCCAAATCTTTTCTGGCACCTTCAAACCTTTAAGACAAATGTCTTTTAGACTTCTGACTGCAGTAGCATATGGTTTAAAATGAGAGACACATTTCCCTTTTTTACTCAAAATGGTTTTAAGTGTTTGAAAGAGTGTGACTAGCCCTTGGAGGAGCCCTCTCCCCCTGCTGTGTTTTTGTGGGAGTCACTGCTCTGGGCTTGTCTGCTGACTGGATGGAAGCAAGCCCAAAGGAGGGGTTTACAGAGAAAAGGCAAGCTTTACACTAATGTTTACACCAACGGATAGGGACGCGAGTGGCGCTGTGGGTTAAACCACAGAGCCTAGGACTTGCCGATCAGAAGGTCGGCGGTTCAAATCCCCACGACGGGGTGCGCTCCCGTTGCTCGGTCCCTGCTCCTGCCAACCTAGCAGTTCGAAAGCACGTCAAAGTGCAAGTAGATAAATAGGTACCGCTCCGGCGGGAAGGTAAACGGCGTTTCCCGGCTTAGTCATGCTGGCCACATGACCCGGAAGCTGTACGCCCGCTCCCTCGGCCAGTAAAGCGAGATGAGCGCCGCAATCCCAGAGTCGGTCACGACTGGACCTAATGGTCAGGGGTCCCTTTATTTTTACCTTACACCAATGGACAGTTCTAGTTGAGGAAGCCGAATTTACAGAACCGAGGAAGAGAGGAAGCTGCCTTTGAAAGTCAAACCACTGATTCATCTGGCTCAATATTGTCCGTACACATTGCTGTCCCAACAGATGTTGGCAAAGGCAGTAGCTCTCCAGGCAGGGTTCTGTCCCAGCTCTGTCTGGAGACGTTGGGGATTGTACCCGGGGCTACCTTTTGCATGCGATGAAAGCATGCATTCTCTCCATAAGTTACAAGGTGTAGTGCCTGGCATTAGTGGAAAAATTTGCACAAAAGCTTCAGAGTGCTGGGAGGGCAACAAAAATAAAGTTATTGGTGACTGGTTTCATTTTACTACATACTCAAATGAACATCATGTAACATCATGTAACCTCTCCTCCACATTGTTAGCCTTTGGAATTCTTAGTACCCCGCCCCCAGTCAATCTCTGGTTAATTTGTGTGTTGTTACAAGCCTTCCTTGTCCTTGGCTTTTGTATTCCATCATTGTGTGATTCCTGTCAAAACCTGCAGGCATCCCTGCAAATACGAAAAACAGAGTTTAATCTCATGCTTATTGGACCTGCTGTAACCTAGGCTAACAGATTGCTCTCAGCAGAATGCTGGGTTTAGCTGGTTCATATCTGTTTTTTATGTCATTTTTGGCATGTATATCTCAATATGCTTGTATCTTGCTTTCCTGTTGTATATGTTTCCAAAAATAAAATAAAAAATATACAAAACCCAGTCAGCCTGGGAGTTATCCTGGATCTTTGCATAAAGAGCACATGAATAATAGGTTTATTGCAGCAGCAGCTTTCATAGACAACAGCTCACCTCATCAGATACATGTAGTCTTAGTCTATATAAAGTGCTACAAGATTCTTTGTTGGTTTTGCTGCCCAGGCTCATTTTCTTCTATCTGTCCTGAACCTTCCAACATTCAGCTTCATTGGATGTCCATGAATTCTTCTGTGGTGAGAGCGGGAGAAAAGCTTCTCTCTCTCCACTTTCTCCACGCCACGCAAGATTTTATAAACGTCGATCATGCCGCCTCTTGCTTGCCTTCTCTCTAAATTAAAAAGTCCGAAATGCTGCAACCTTTCTTCATAGAGAAGTCGCCCCACCCGCTTGGTCATTTTGTTTGCCCTTTTCCACCACATCCTTTTCAAATGAACACTCAGCAATTCGGCTTCCTCGACTAGAACTGTCCATTGGGGCAAACGCAGCGCGGCTCCAAAGGGGGTCCTTTGGGCACCTTGTTTGTTTTCCTCCCCAAAACCAAAACCAAAACTGGGATTCTCCTGGCAGAAATATGGAAACAGTCGAGCTCTGGAGGGCCCTTCCGGAAACGTGGCTCGAAACAGAGAGGAGAGAAGGGCCAGAGCCATCCACGTGGCTTCCTTTCCCCCTCCTCCCTTCCCTCCCTCCGTCTCTTCCTTCTTCTTTCTTCCTCCTTCTTAGCCCGGCTATCTGTCGGCGGCCCTGCTTGGCTACGGAACATTTCTCCCCCGGGCGGAGGTTTCCCAGTACGGCTCCGATTCCAGGGGGACCGGCCTGGCCATTTCCGCTTCCGGGAGCCGAGGCGCAGGGAAGGTGGGAGGGAAGGAGGGAAGCGAAAGCCGGTCCGGCGGCCGCGAAGGGCACCTGCGGCGGCCCGTAGCCGCCTGCGCTCCCTCTCCCGCTGCCATCCTCCGTCGCCGCCAAGACCGGCGCTTGGCGAGCCTTCCGGGGAGCCGCCGCCGCAACGAGAGGCCTCCAGTCCAGCTTCCCGGGCACTTCGCAGAGGCCTTCCGGGGAGCCCGGCTGAGGGAATTGGCACCCCGGGGCCTTCGTCTGCTCCGCTCCCCGGTTTGGGTTTGCGCTTCCGCGGGCGGCCGCCGCCTGAGGCAGGGGCTGCGGGCTCCAGCCTCGCCTGGAACTGCTGTGCGTGCGGACCCAGGCAGAGCCCCTCAGCCAGGGTCCCTTTTGAGCAGGAGGGGGCATCGCGGGGGGTCGGCTGAGCCTGCCCCAACCCCCAGTGAGCATGGGGTCTGGGGCTCTCAAAGGCAGGCGCTTGGGGGTGGCACAGCTGGCCTGAACAGTGTGCGGTGGTGGCGGGGAACGGCAGGACGACGAGAAGCCCCGGTGCCCCCCTTGACCCCACGGGGGTCGGCCCGCATGCACCTCCCCACTGCGGAGCCACGGAGGCGGAGGAGGCGGAGGAGGAAGATCCCGGCTTGGCCCTGGCGCCGGCTGGGGAGGTTGGCGGCTGGCGTTGGCGGTCCCGGGAGGAGCAGGCAGCCATGGAGAGCCTGGCGGGCTACGTCTACAAGGCAGCCAGCGAGGGGCGGGTGCTGACCTTGGCAGCCCTGCTCCTGAACCGCTCGGAGAGCGACATCCGCTACCTGCTGGGCTACGTCACCCACCAGGGTGGGCAGCGGTCAACACCTCTCATCATCGCTGCCCGCAATGGACACGCCAAAGTTGTGCGCCTGCTCCTGGAGCACTACCGTGTGCAGACCCAGCAGACTGGCACGGTCCGTTTTGATGGGTATGTACGTACACGTGTGGCACGTGGTCACAGAGGAGGCCTTGGGCTTCTTTCTAACAGGAGAAGATGGGATGGTCCTGTGGATTGATAAATTCAGCCTGGCTGTTGTGGTGCTTCCTTTCACTCAATGGAATATAGTAGGTTACATCATGCCTTCATTTGATTGGCATATGCTGTTTCTATAAATGATCTTCCAAGAATCATAAAAGTGGAAGGAGCCGAAAGCTGCCTGCTGTGAGGCAAGACCTTCCCCTGGATCAATTTACGTAACCCTACCTGTGCTGGACTGTAAATAAAGAACAGGCACAATGCAGAAAGGTACCTGTATAGACCAACACTTTTGAGATGACTTTACCAACTAATTCTAGATGATGCTTCAGGAGAAGGTGCACACAGATATGTCCTCTCCTGCCAGTCTCTAGCCAGAGCCTGGTCCTTTCTAATTTTTGCCATCGTATTGCAGTTGTGAGGACTAGGAACTCTTCCTTTCTCTCCTACATGCGGCAGTGGTTTGTAGAAAACAGTGTGGGGCACAGTGAAAAATGGGTGGCATGAGTTATCTAGCCTACTGGAAAAGATGCAGCTCATGGAATTGTTCAAAGTCCTGGTTACATTGCTTGGATACATTGACCCCCTTCATGTGTTACTTACACGAGGGACGCTTCACCTGTTAAGAGGCAGAGGGATCCCACCACTGTCCTGTTATCAGAAGGTGACTTAACACATAAAGCCTCCATGTGAGTAATGCTTGGAGGGAGCTATTGACAAAGAGCCAAGGTAAAATCAGGAATATATTTAAAAAGTGGTTCAAAGGCCTCACATGAAAGATTTCAGATACATTTCAGCTCCATATGTCTTCCAAGGCATGACAGTAATGCCAATTGGGGTCTTAAGATGTATATTAGAATTCTTACTTTTGGAAGTAGTTCTTATTCTTCCCTAAGGCTATTGAGCCAAAGGGCAAGCACAGAGCATTTAAACATGTAAGGATCAACATTTCCCATATGTCTATCTACCTGGTAATGGGGTGCTTTAGCTTTTGCCAAAGGCACTTGATAATTTCTTTCTGTGACATCGCTGAGGAGGTTGCTGGGAGCTGTGGGACACGCCATCAGAGAGGGGAGCAGAGGCTGTACCAAACTTGTCTCTGCAACCACACCTCCTAGCTGTCCGTTGCTCCTGTTGAAATGGACTAGGTATTATGATTCTGTTTCAGTTTCTGGTGAAGTTGACAGGATAGTAATGCAAGCATAGCTCTAAAACTATACAGAAATGTTTTCTTTTGGAGATAATTAAACAGCTGAGAATATTTCTTTTGAAGACAGAAAGCCAACTCTGGCGGTTGTCATATGGGACTACTCATCATCAGATTTGGGATGGGGGAGAAGGACAGCTACTTTCTGCAGCCTACTTATTCTGCTGCCATTCCAGTTATATGAATTAGACTTTTGTGGATAAGTCCCTCCTTACTGAGTTTTGCTGGAGAACCTCATTTGATTATCAGAGATTACACTACAGTGTAAGCCTCCTGAGATTCTTTGTTAGTCACTTGTTGATCTTAGATAGTTTAAAGAGGCTAGGCCACTGTTGAGTCACTAGGGAGAACTCCAGAATCTCCTTTTTGAAAACAACTGACAGTGCTTGACACTGACATGCAACGTAGGAGATGGTAAACAAATGGGTGGTAAAAAATATCCCTGTCCCTGCCTGCATAGGAGTCAAAGCAACAGCAACAACAAACATCCAAGGAAGCCATAGCTGTTGTAAAAATCCTCTGTTTCCCAGCCTCAGAATTATTTTGCGTGTTCTGCAGTAAGACTTCCTTCTTTCCTTTGAACTGCCTTTAAAACCAATTGCTTCTTTGTTGTCCCAGCATGTTCTGACAAGAAGCTCCCTCTAAATATAAAAGCTGTAATTGATTTAAACACATTTGTCTGAAAAGTCTTTTGGCCTGGGGTTCTTTATTCAGGCGTGGTGAGATGCAACTGACAGGTTAAAACAGTTTGAAAAATTGCTTAATGCTTTCTCCTGGGGCAGGCAGTGCAGTCCCAAGGCCAAAAGATGTTATCACTGCCCCATTTCTGCAACTGAATGTTTGGTAACTCTCTTTGCCTTCTCTTTACTAATATCTGGAATCACATTTGTCCAAATGTCATGAGGGTTATCCCAAAGTATTTGGATACCTGTGACAAACTTTTACTACTAGGTGTATCCAATATGGCAACCACTCGGTGTTCTCTTTAGTATGGCTGCTGAATGCAAATACCACCTCATTAAGTGGTTGTTTTTGTTGTTGTTGTTTTTTAAACTATATTCATTATTTTGGTCTGAGTCCTCCCTGTAGCTGTTAGAAAGCTTGAGGATTGGTTGCCATCAACTGCAGGGTTGAGATGAATCCTGCCTCAGTTACAGATTGGATTCTATACATGTTTTGGAAAATCATGCCCCCTTTGCTAGAAGTTATGCTCTCCTCCAGATTAGAAATTTCATTACATGTATTTGTCCAACTCTTCTGCCCACATCCAGCCACCCATTGTGAACCTAGCCCTTGCATTCCCTATCATTCTGAAATTCTTCTGCTCACTGACTCTAGACTGTTTTATAGGATATTATTTTGAAGATTTTTTTTAAAAAAATTGCACCTATTTTAACATCCGGTCTCTTTCTTTCCATAGTTATGTCATCGATGGCGCCACGGCCCTGTGGTGTGCAGCTGGGGCTGGCCACTTTGAAGTCGTCAAGCTCTTGGTGAGCCACGGAGCCAACGTCAACCACACAACCGTGACCAACTCTACTCCGCTTCGCGCTGCATGCTTTGACGGCCGGCTTGACATTGTGAAGTACCTCGTGGAGAACAATGCCAACATCAGCATCGCCAACAAGTATGACAACACTTGCCTTATGATTGCTGCTTACAAGGGCCATGTGGATGTGGTGCGCTACCTTTTAGAGCAGCATGCGGACCCCAATGCCAAAGCACACTGTGGCGCGACAGCATTGCACTTTGCGGCGGAGGCTGGTCACCTGGAGATCGTCCGTGAGTTGGTGAAGTGGAAATCTGCCATGATGGTGAACGGCCATGGAATGACACCTCTGAAAGTGGCTGCCGAGAGCTGCAAGGCCGACGTTGTCGAGCTGCTGCTGTCGCACGCCGACTGCAACCGCAAGAGCCGGATAGAAGCTCTGGAGCTCCTGGGTGCCTCGTTTGCCAACGACCGAGAAAACTACGATATAATGAAGACCTATCACTATTTGTATTTAGCCATGCTGGAGCGGTACAGAGATAGCGAGAACATTATAGAGAAGGAGGTCCTGCCTCAGATAGAAGCCTACGGCAGCCGGACAGAGTGCCGGACCCCTCAAGAGCTGGAATCCATTCGGCAGGACCGGGATGCTCTCCACATGGAGGGCCTCATTGTCCGAGAACGAATTCTGGGCTCTGACAACATCGATGTCTCGCACCCCATCATTTACCGCGGTGCTGTTTACGCAGATAACATGCAGTTTGAGCAGTGCATCAAGCTCTGGCTTCACGCCTTGCGTTTGCGGCAGAAAGGCAATAGGAATACCCACAAGGACCTCCTCCGGTTTGCTCAAGTCTTCTCTCAGATGATACACTTGAACGAGCCGGTGAAAGCCAAGGACATTGAGAGCGTCTTGAGGTGCAGCGTCTTGGAGATAGAGCAAGGGATGGCCCGGGTCAAAAGCTCTCAGGATGCTGAGCTCCACACAGCCATGGACAACTACGAATGCAACATCTTCACCTTCCTGTATTTGGTGTGCATCTCCACCAAGACGCAGTGCAGGGATGAGGAGCAGTCGCGGATCAACAAGCAGATTTACAACTTGATCCACCTGGATCCCAGGACGCGAGACGGCTCTGGCTTGCTGCACCACGCCGTCAACTCTGGCACGCCGGTGGACGACTTCCACACCAACGACGTCTGCAGCTTTCCCAACGCACTGGTCACCAAGCTCCTCTTGGACTGCGGCGCTGACGTCAACGCTGTGGACAACGAAGGGAACACACCGCTGCACGTCATAGTCCAGTACAACAGGCCCATTAGTGACTTCTTGACCTTGCATTCCATCATCATCAGCTTGGTGGAGGCCGGCGCTCATACGGACATGACGAACAAGCAGAAGAAGACCCCTCTCGACAAAAGTACCACCGGCGTGTCGGAAATACTCCTGAAGACTCAGATGAAGCTGAGTCTGAAGTGCCTGGCTGCCCGAGCTGTGCGGGTTTATCACATCAGCTACCACAACCAGATCCCCAAGACACTAGAAGAATTTGTTGAATTCCACTAGCCACGCCAACGGGGTGGTGCTCCTTCCCTTCCCAGAAAGGTCAAACTCTTGTCAATAAAATACTGGGCAGAGCTTTAGAAATCCCTTCTCCTCTCCTTTCTTTTTGGTAGCAGACACACACCAACCAGCCCCCTCGTAAACTGGCTAACATGGCTTTGATTTGCAAAAACCTGTCTTCTGACGGCAGAGCGAACAGGTTTCTTTTTTTCCTCTTAATGAACTGGGGCAGGGTGGAGAGTCAAACTCTAAAATGAGAATGAGTGTAAAATATTTTGATACTACGATGCACACGGGTTTTACCATTGACAGCCAAGAATGCTTTAAGCAGCTACCTGCAAAGAGGTTTTACGTTTAATTAATTGAGCCAGCATGTTACCTATGCAGCAGTTTGGAAAGTCTTCTTGCGGGAGGGAAGAGGAGGAAGGGAAGAGAAAATGGAGAAGGATCTTATTGCTGGGATTTTATTAAAACATGCAAAGCAATCCAGGGAAATTTACTTCTCACCAGCCTGTTTTTAATGCCTTTCAGTTCCTACCAGAGTCGTCACTAACATTTAGTTTTAATTTCTGCTTGCAATGAGATGAAAATAACCGATTGTTTGGCTACAGAAAAAGGGAAATGCAGGTTGAAATTCAGATGTGTGAATGTGCTTGCCTGTCAGTACTTAAAATTACTAGTATTTATTTGGTTGTTGAGGGGGGCAAAACAGGCATACCTCCTCAAATTCATTCTCATTTTTGCTGCTTTAAGATAAGTAGCACGCAGAAATAGTTTGCATTATTTGAGTATTGTTTTATGCGTGGTTCCCTGTCCCCGCTTCCCTCTGGTAAGATAAAACGTAAAGTGGTTAAGGCTGGATCTTAATCCCACACCTGAAATGATAACTGCTGCATTTCCTGAAATCTTCCAAGTAGCTGGCAAACAGGTTTTGTTTAAAAAAAATGAGCTTTTTTAAAATTAAAAACAAAAACAAAAAATGTTAGAAACCTGGCAGGGAAGGATCAGGGAAGAATAATTGTGTTGGCAGGACCCTGCCCTGAGAATCAGTTTCTGTCTTTTCAGCCCTCTTCATTATGGAACTCTTCAGAAAAATAGATTCCACACCAACCTGCACACCTCTCTAAAGGCCATCTTTTAAATCACTCACAGAACCTTGATTGTATGAAGAATGTTTGACCTGTGAAAAGCATCTCTCCTTGGCAGAAAACTTCAGCAGCCCAATGCCATTTTTTTGACAGGTTACTGAAAACACTTCCCAGGATTTTAAATTCTACTTTCTAACTGTCAGCTGGGAAAAGAATGTTCTGCAGTCATTTTTTTAAAAAAACGGAACAGAGAGTTCAAATAAAAAGGGGCATTCTGAGCACAGGTATGTGTGTTTGTATTACAAATAAAATCTTGAATGTGAAACTTAACCCTGATGTGTCCTGCTGCAAAGTGATTGGTAGCTGCTCTTGTGGGATGTTGGTAAGGAGCAGACCTCTCGTTTTGAAAAGAAGTGGTTTCATGCCATTGCATTTAAATTTTATTGTAGTTTGATTAATGGACAAGTCGCTCAGCTAAGCTCTGACCTTCTGAGCCTTAAACAAATAAGTTGGCCAAATATTGTGGTGTTTGTGTGGATGATTTCATTCTGAACAGTCTGAAGTCCAGGTCATTCTGCATTTCAGCATGTTGTTCATGGGGCTTTGAGGGATAGCCAAATTATATTAATTCCTCCCTGATGAGGTGGGGGAGAGGATGATTTAAAAGTTGCCAAAGCTTCCTCCTTTGTGAACAGGAGCACTTGTTTCCAAAACTAAAAATGCTGCTTTTTTTCTGAGGAGGTAAAAAAGAATGGCAGTGTAGTGGTAGTCACCAAAGTGTGAACTCTCAGATTCATGTTGTCTCATTTTAATTTTGGGGTGCAAATAAGAAGCTTAGGGGTCAGTCCAAGCTGTTCAGCCTCTCTTGATACAGATAATGTTAATGTGGTGAGATGAAATGCCACCAGTTCGCCTGTGAACCTGGTTCTGTGAACTAACACACAAAGGTTCCTTTTCATAAGATTGATGCTGTATCTTGATTGGCAGCCTAGGAGCTGGACTTTGGCCTCTGCCAACAAAACAGTAGGCATCAGCTCTGTGAAACCTCCAATTCTGACCAAGTCCCTGGTCTTCCAATACTGCAGGTTTCAATATTTTACCATATATATATATATATATATATATATATATATATATATATAGTGTGTGTGTGTGTGTGTGTGTGTGTGTGTGTGTGTGTGTGTGTATAGTATGCATGCAACATAGAAACAGTAAATAATAACATTGCTACAAAATTGCAACATTAAACTACAGAATCATAGAATTGTAGCATTGGAGGGGACCTTGAGGGTCAGCTAGTCCAACCGCCTGCAGCACAGAATAAAAACGAATTCATAAAGAGATAAGCAGCGTCCAACCTTATAGGTCAGGGAAACCCTGGTTAAAATGCTAGGTCTTTACAAGACATCTGAAGCAGCTGATGGCTGCTGTTTCATGCATGGCAAAGAGAAAGTCCTTCCATAATTACAGGGGCAGTAGTGGAAAATGCCCTTTTTTGTGTCACTGCCCTATGATGTTCCACAGAGTGGAATTTCCCCATACAATCTAAGTGACATCACAGGTCTCTACAGGGGCAGGCGATCTTTCAGGTTGGCTAGCTTTGAGCTGTTCAAGGCTTTATTTTTTAACTAGATTTTTTTAAAAAAATATCTGCACATCCCCATTCACAGAGCATAAACATGCCTGCAGAAGGAGGCAGCCTTACAGATGCTGACAGTGTGGATTATTGCAATGCTACATACTCTACCCACCCTTGTAAGTTCAATTGCTAAAAGGCCTGGGGGAGGGAAGGAGGGATATGGGAGCTTTGTATCCTAATCTGGGCAGCATCTGTCTCTTTGGAATACTCTGGAAAACAAACCATGAAGTCAAACGAGCTCAGTGGGGGAAGCAGAAAGCAAAATTGATGGTCTTTGCCAAGCTGGTCTCCTCCAGATGTTGTGGACTACAACTCTCATTAGTCACATGGTTCCCCCCTCCCCCCCAAAAAAAACACTCCCAAGGATGACTGGGTGCTTTGATTTGGAATGTGTCGTAGGGGGTGCATTGGGTTTTAAAAGACAGCTGGTGGTTTCGAGGCAGTGAGCTTGTTGCTAAGAAGATTCAAGTGAGCGAGGGAGGGAAGGAAAGCTGGCATGTTGTCACTAGGAGAAAGAGCACGGAAAGGTCGAGAACCCTTTTAGAATTTTGTACCTGAGCTCTGATCTAGCGGCTGTGGAGCAGTAGTTACAAAGCTGGGGGGGTTGGCTTTCCTGAAGGAAACGTTTGCTGGTGAATTGAACCAGACAGACTTCTAGCGCTCTGGGAGATTCCCAGGGTCAAATGTGTCCTGTCTCTGCTTCCCTTTCTGTGAGAGCAATTTTGCACTGCCAACACTTCAGTTAAGTGTCCTTGCTATGACAACTAAAAATAACTGCAGCTATGTTAATGTCAGGCTGCTCCTAATGCAACCTTCGCCAACCTGGTGCCCTCCATCTGTTTTGGACTACAATTCCTATCAGCCCCAGACAAAGTCACGGTGATAGGCTGGTGGGAGCTGTGATCCAAAACACCTAATGAATGTCAGTGTGCATTTGGGTTTTCTCCAACCAAGAGGCAAAATTCCTAGTTCCTTTAAAAAAAAAAAAAGTCTTAGACAAATGACTGCATCTAAAACTTTCACTTTAAAAAGTTTTAATTTTCTTTTTACAAAATCCCACAAACCACAATCTACTGCTACAGCATTTTACATAGGTTACTGCATTCGGTGGAACTGATTTCTCATTTTCAGTCATTAATATTCACAATAGCATAAATAATTTTATTATGCAAAAGAAACAAAAAGGGTCAAATTAAAACATTTCCATCGTACAAAAGTATATACACATATAGTACATATTTTCCATGTGTTGCTTTTGGAAATTGCACAACTTGAGGGGAAACACTTCAAACTGGTTTGTTTTAGTCGACTTCAAAAACAAGAAAGGTAAACATTTTCAGAAAAAGTATATACAGCTGAGGATTGAAGGCTTGCATTAAGGTGCTTACAATTGTCGGTATCTGTGTTCAGTGCATTAAAAGAAGGCAATAAAGATCTCTCTCTTCAACTGCTCCATTTAGAGACTGGGAGAGGCACTGCAGAGTGGCGGACGGTCTGGCTCTGAGCTGGGCATGTACCTTGCACCCACCACTTTGGAATGAGTGGGAGTTTCATGTACAGAATAAGTGCCCAGTGCGTTATATCCTGCTTGGGCTCTTCATAAACATTTGGTGTAGAGCATCGGATAAGAATCTAGTAACTTTTTTGATTTATAGGCGCCCCTTACTTGCGGCAGTCCCTTTCTTCTGACATGGTAATAGCTAGAGAACACGTGTCCCCACCTGCAAGTTAACTTCTGTTTTATTCAAGTCACCAGCCTCTTACATGTTTTATGGATAACGTGAATGGATCTCGCTTTTTAAAGCATTAACTCGCTACAGAGTCCTCTGGTCCAGAAAGAACCTCCCGTCCTCAAATGATTTCAAATGCTGCACTATTTTGTAAAGGCAACGCCATTTGTTTCGAAGGCATGCTGTGTTGATATCTCAACTTCTTGAAGACCACCTGTGCAGAATGTATCGGTCTGGTTCATTCTCCCTTGGCATCTTGAATAAGCAGTTGCTGTAAAAAGAATATGTAAAGACCCATTACAAGTTTGCTGCTGCTGGTATCCATGCAGATCCAGGTTTTTCCCTTTTTTTGGTGGGGTGAAAAGCTTTCACCAAGGAGATATGCTTGTGCCATGAATGGATAAAAAGGACCGGAGCTCAGAGGCTTTTAAGATCACCGCAGAGCTATTCTGGCATGGTAGCTGTCTGCCTCATGGAGCTAAGATTTGTCATTTTTAAGAAAGCGATGGCCACTGAAGGGTCCCTTGTCCCTGTAAATTTACTCTCCTGGCCGTTGCTGCGTAGCTTCCAGTGTCTTAGGCTGAAGGAAGCAATTCAAACCAGTTTGAAGTCCCTTTTTAGCCAGCTGCATCTTGCCCCTTGCAGGTAACACTGAGCAGTTGGGGTTGCTTTCATGAGAAGAGGTGAAAGGGGTGTTGAGGGATCTCATCATTGCAAAGGAAACTTGGCTCTGAGGAGCCAAGTGAGTCACTTAGGGAGATGGAAGCCTCAGTCCAAGTCCTTGGTGTTCTGGTTCTGGGCTGCGTCTCTCTTGCGGTTAGCACTTTTAAAAAAGCCAAGCTGCAGGAAAAGGAAGATAAAGAAAAACCCACCGTTAATTTATATGCCTGGCATTAATAGCAGTATTGATAGGTCACATGTAGCTGAGGCTCCCTGCCTCTTCCAGCTGCATCTCAAACTCAGGACTCGCCTATATTTCTGCTTGACCTGTATTTTGACTGTATCATGTCTCAATCCATTCCCCTGGGTCTGAGAGCTTTTCTTGTAGTTCCATAGCTGCACCTTGTGAAAATCCAATAGCACCTGCCAAATCGGGTCTTCTCGGATGTGTGGAAAATCCAAAAGGAGATTTTGCTTAAATGAGTTCAGTATAGCAGGTAAGAGCGCATTTTCTCTAGGTACAGCTGTAGAAGGATGAGAAAAGCTCTTGGACCTGGGGGAATTGATGGGTACACAGTATGGTCAGAATATAGAACAGGCAACAATGTGGACCAGCCCAAACTCACTAATCATTATGTGACATCATGGTACAGTATTAGCTTGTTTATTAAGACATATCCTATCTTAGTGACTTCAGACTGGCTTACAACTGAATAAAGAAATATGCAAATGCATAAAAGGGCAAACATTGAACTAGGAAATGGTGGGTGGGTGGGAGGCAAAAACACAAAACAAAACCCAATCAGCTGAGATTCTGCCTGTTACATGGCTCATACAGCAATCCTAGTTGTTAAACAAGGAAAAGACCAAATGTTTAGCAGTGTGACTAATTTTCATGGAAATGAATTTATCACTTTAATGGTAGGAATAGAGGGTAATGATTTTTGTTGATGGATTATTTTTAAAACTCCTACTCTTGTCTTCCCACCGAAAGGGCAGTTGGCAGACAATGGCTTCATATATAAAACTGGTTTTGGTGAGGAACATCTTACATCCATTGGGGTCCCCATTGCCAGTTTTCAGCCTTCCCCAATCTGGTGCCCTCCAGCTGTTTTTGCACTACAACTCCCATCAGGCTAAGGGGTGGTTGCAGCAGTGGCAGACTTTGGGGGGGCGGGTCTCTGATTTGAGCAGCACCCTTGTGTGACACTGTGTGACCATTACACCATAGTTGTGGTGCCCCCGTGACTCAATTCCCAGTGCAACCAAACTGGTCGCGCTCCCCTAAATGCGCCTCTGGTGGGAGAGGGACTCACCTTCCACAGTGCCAGCACAAGGAGGGCCAGCAGGAGGAGACCACCTAAGGTGCTCCCAATGATGATCCAGATGGGGATTTGGGACTCCTCTATCTTGGAGATTTCAAACATGACCTGCAAGAGGAATACACAACAAGAACATTTGCAACTTTGGAGAAAAACCTTCTGAGGGTAAGAGCTGCCTGACAGTGGAATGAATGACCTCAGAAGCTGGTGGACCCTCCTTCATTCGAGATTTCTAAACAGAGGTTGGATGGCCACTTGTCAGGGATTCTTTAGCTGTGATTCCTGCATTGTAGGGAACTTGCATTAGATTACCCATGGGATCCTTTCCAATTCTATGATTCTACCAACTGGCTCTTCGAATGGAACCCCCCTCAACTTTTAACCCCCTTTGCATCCAAAAAGGAGCAGGGTGGTGGGTGTGATTTGTATGGAATTGAAAAAAAAGAAACAAGTTTGGTTATGTATGTTTGGGTTCACTCTGCAAAAGTGTGCCCATGACAAGCACATACTGACGTCTGCTGCCAGCAGAGGGCACCAGCGCCCCACTTTTTAACAGCATTTCAGAAGAGCATGCCATAATGTTCTTCTGCTCTGTGTCGGTATGTGCATTTATTTATCTCTTCTTCCAGGGCTGCAAGCACAATTCTATTCAAGAGCATGAGGGGCCCTCATTGGGGCCTAATTCTGAAGGAGAGATGCTGGATGCAAAAGGTGCAGTTTACCCCTATTGGGTTAAACTGGATTTGCAACCCAGTCATTGCTGTTCTGCTCTGAACGGCTAGTGGATCAGGAACTTTGCTTCCAGACTGCTGGAATCCAGATGACATTCTGCGGCCCAGTGGGCAGTTCCAGATATGTGTGTGTGTGTGTGTGTGTGTGTGTGTGGGAAAGACAATTTTAATTGGGACTATGGGTTAGCAGGAAAGGATTAAATGCTTCCTGCCATCTTGACACAGTTTAAAGGGTAGCAGGAGGAAACTGATAGAAAGGCAATGCTATTTGGAAAGGGAAGGTTAAAGTGAGAGAGTTAATTGCTAGACAGGAGAGACAAACCCCAGAGAAGGAAATGGCTGGAGCACTCTATACAGGCCAGAACCAGCCCGAAACCCACAGGAAAACTGCATGATTGGTCATCTGGGGAAATTGCACAGCTGTTTCATTGCTTTTTTTTTTTTAAGTCAGTTTTTCTGAGCTCTGGGTGGGGAAGCAGACGCTGAACAGGGAAAGCACGAGAAGAAGATGTTTTGTCCATGACTATTGGTGCTGTGGGTTAAACCACAGAGCCTAGGACTTGCCAATCAGAAGGTCGGCGGTTCGAATCCCCGCGACGGGGTGAGCTCCTGTTGCTCGGTCCCTGCTCCTGCCAACCTAGCAGTTCGAAAGCACGTCAAAGTGTAAGTAGATAAATAGGTACCGCTCCAGCGGGAAGGTAAACGGCATTTCCGTGTGCTGCTCTGGTTTGCCAGAGGCGGCTTAGTCATGCTGGCCACATGACCCGGAAGCTGTACGCCCGCTCCCTCGGCCAGTAAAGCGAGATGAGCGCCGCAACCCCAGAGTCGGCCATGACTGGACCTAATGGTCAGGGGTCCCTTTACCTTTACTATTTGCCCTGTAAAAAGTGAGTGAACAAAGCATGGCTATTTGACACTATGTGTCTGGGTGTAGATGCAACCTGAAATGTTACACTGGTAACTGAAAGCAAAAATGATTTGCCCTTCCCCAATTGCCGCCTAAACCCAATGGCAAATTTTGTTGCCATCAAATTAGGAGACAAAATGGTCTGAGAGGAGAGAAGAGGCAAGCCAAGAGATGCAGTTCACTTATGGATGAGAAACCGTATCTTTGACTGCAGGCTTCTGGGTTCCTTTGAACCTACTTAGCAGCAATTTCAGAAGCAAGGTTTCCTTCTTCCCAATAAATCCATCACCCCCACGACATACCACACTTCTCCAAACACAAATTCCAGGTCTGGTGCGTACCATTCCTTGCCCAAGTTGCTTGTGGCCTCCCAGATCACGAGGGTTTGAACATGTGCTGCAATTCCTGCATGGCAGCGGGGTTGGACTAGATGTCCCTTTGGGTCCCTTCCCACTCTACATTTCTATGAGATCTGATGAGCGCCTGTGGTCAAGCTACTCACCTGCCGACTGGGATCGTCCTCTCTGAAGACGAAGGCACTGCGGAACCCTCTCTGCAGGACGGCGTTAATCACAAATCTCAGCGACTTGAATTTCATCTTGAAAAGACAGGGCAAGATAAGAGTCACAAGAGGGGGCTCAGCAGTGGGCAGTTCAGCTAGTCGGTTACTCAGCTTGTTTGGGGGGCCTTTTCACTGATCTGAGCAAACCAGGGGTTGTGGCGTTTGTAAGAGCAGCACTCTTTCCTGCCTGGAATGTTTCAAGTGATACAACAGGGAAAATAACTTTTCTGTGCCGCAGCATCACTCCCTTGATGTATGCCCTGAGACCTGCAGGTAAAGGGCGGTATTCAAATTTAATAAATAAAATAATAATAATCATGTCTGTCCAAAAGCAACTGGAGACCCAAGTTTGGGAAACCCTGTTTGAAACAGTCGTCCTAAATTGTTTTTAGCTGATAATTTAGTTGTTTTATTCTTTTTGTAAACCACTTTTAGGCTTTTTTAAAAAAAAAAACAAAATACATAAAAACAATTTATTGAAGGGTGTGTGTAAATAAATAAAGACCAGAAAATCAAGCTGGCTGGCTGTATGATGCGTTAAAAATAACACTTTTCTTTAAACCAGGGAGGGTCTCACCCAGCACTCATCTTAGTGAAAAAGAGGTCACAGATGTTCCTGGCTTGACCTAATTCTTTCATTATTTGGTGTAATTAGCAAATGGTGTTGATGTGGCACTCAAGAGGATGACAAATCTTGTTTCCCAGCTACGTAGAGAGGGAGGATTCCATTGGGGACGGGCGGGGAATGACTAGCAGCTGAAAAAGCTGGCGAGAAAAGAGGAAGTTTGAAAACCGCCTCATGGCCCAACTCCCTGGAGTCAGGGGCTAGCTCGGGATACAGCCGAGCAGCAAAAGCACAATAATCTGCCAGCCTTCAACGGGGATAGCGCTGGAAGCTCCACCGATTGCTGACTTGCCCTTACAGCTCTCAGTGACTTCATCCACAGATTTCCATGCAAGAGGAAGCTGACTTCTCCATTGGCAGCCAGATTTACACTGCAGTCTATGGATATCACATCAGAATTACTGTAGTTCTGGAAGGAGTAAAAAAGAAAAGAAAAACGGAGTTAGAAGTGGAGAGGGCCAGAACGAAGCTCATTCTTCCCACTTGGAAGTAGGACCAAAGGTTGACTACTGCAGTTGTCTGGGCAGGTGGGTGAGCACCACTGGGCATTCACTCAAATTTGCTGCATCCACAATGAGGCGGTCGGATCCTGCTCATACTGGATGAAAGGAAGCACTTTTTCTTTTCTTTTAGCTGCACAGTGTTTCTCAACCTGTGGGTCCCCAGATGTTGTTGGACTACATCTCCCATCATTCCTAGCCAGCATGACCAGTGGTCAGGGATGATGGGAGTTGTAGTCCAACAACATCTGGGGACCCACAGGTTGAGAACAGCACAGATAAAAGGAAGTTCTTCATAGTTAAACTATGGAACTCACTCCCACAGGAGGCAGTGACCAACTTGGTGTCAGGCTTGAGGAATCCTCTCCCTTCCCTGATGGCACCAAGAAGCAGGGAGGAAACAAGGAAGTTCTTACTTATGATTTGGTCAGTTACTATGGTGCTGCCCAGGACTGACCTGCTGGGGGCCTGAAGGGCCTGGCCCTGCTTCTCTCTACCTGGCTTGGGGCGGGCCTGACAGGCTCCATAAAGGAGTGCTGCTGCTGCTGCAGGATAGAAAGGGCTCCATTTTTTTTTTGTTTTTTTCCAAATTGCTTTTATTTTTTATCTGTGTCATTTTAAATTGTGATTGATATTAATGCTGTATTCTTAGTTTTAGATTTTATGATTTATGTGGAAATTGTTTTCCATTTGTCTGTGTATTTTTTTGATGTGTTTTGTTTATTGTTAATGGCTTTTGTTATGTTGGTAATTATGTAAATCTGGTCATGTCGTAAGCCACCTTGAGCATTGTTTTTAGCTATGGAAAGGTGGCATACAAATAAAATGATGATGGTGATGATGAAAGACAAAGAAATCCAGTCATTCCTCAGTGATGGAGTTGCTCACACTGAGCTCCTCCTCCTTCCCTGCTAACAGCAACACCTGTTTCTACGGCATCTGCCCATGGCCAACTGTCACTGTGCCCTTTGTTCTTAACGAATGTCGCGTTTTTGGAGAAGAGGGGTCAGTTATGCTGTCCAGTGACGTGTCAGCTGGCTGCTCTGTGTCTCCACCTTCTCCTAACACCTCATAACTCTTCTGTTCACCTGTCTCTGAGCTGTTATCTTCCTCAATGCCCTGCTGTAATTTGAGACTGCCTTCCTCTTCTCTGGAAGCTACAGGAGAAGGGCGGGGGGGGTGTGAACTCCACCATTCCTCGTCCTCTTCAGTCCAGTCCCTGACACTTGGATGGATCTAAAAGAGGACTGGACCAATTCATAGAGGAGAAGGCTATCCATGGTTGCTAGCCACTCTGCTATGTTCTACCTCCTCTCAGAGGCAGTAATGCTTCTAAATACAGTGGTACCTTGGGTTAAGAACCTAATTCGTTCCGGAGGTCCGTTCTTAACCTGAAACTGTTCTTAACCTGAAGCACCACTTTAGCTAAGGGGGCCTCCCACTGGCTGCTGTGCCGTCGCTGCACGATTTCTGTTCTCATCCTTAAGCAAAGTTCTTAACCCAAGGTATTATTTCTGGGTTAGCGGAGTCTGTAACCCGAGGTACCACTGTATCAGTTTCTGAAAAGCACAAGAGCGGAGAGGGCGCTTGTGCTCAGGTTCTGCTGTGAGAACAAGATGTTGGATTAGACAGGCTTGACCATTGGCAGGACCCAGCAGGGCTCGTATTATGTTCTTATGCCAAGCTGGCAGTCCAAAGGCGGCCTGCCGCGTGGAATAAGCTGAGACGGGGGACATTTGTGATTCTCCGAATGTTGTTGGGCTCCAACTCCCAACAGCTCCAAAGGCAGGGAATGCCCACAAAAATGGTGCCTCTTTACATCCCTGGCCAATGGGCAGGAATGATGGGGGCTGGAGTCCTTCAACATCTGGAGGGCCGCAGGGTCCCCATCCTCTATCATGATTGTTGCTCAGAGTGATGAGCATGCTTGAGCCCAAAGGGATTTCTGCCCCCCATGGGACTCAGAGCCTACTCGGGTTTCCTTGCTGTTTTGGATGACCTCCCCCTGCGGTCTTCTCCTTTGGACAGGCCTGAAAATCACTTGCAGGTGTCATCCTAAGCAAGACTGGGCTGCCCACACTCCAGACCAGTCAGGCAGCTTCCTAATGCACAACCTGATGTCCTCTGGATATTTCGGATGACGACAACTATCAGCCCCCACTGAGGACACCAGGTTCAGAAAGGCTGGTTGAGTGCATCAGCCCAAAGTCAATTTGCTATCTGACCTCATTCTCCATGTTTGCTATGTAACATTAAAGCCAGGGAGGGCATTCTCCCCTCCCCAGTCATAAAAAGTATTCATTGCACAGGAAATGCCGCGCAGGTTGTGAATACCTTGGCAATGACACTGCATACTTTTTTAAAAAGATGGACCAGAATTTGAGCCCTATGTTCAAGTCTTGTCTCAGCACACAGGATTTGATTTTGTGTTTTCAGAAGTCCAGCACAGAAAGATGGGCATTACATACCAGCTGGGGGTGGCGCCCCAAGTCCTCGTCAGAGGGTGTCCTTCGATAATCTGTGTTGTTCCCCCCAATGTGGCACGTTATGTGTTCCTATAATAGAAGAGGGAAGCTGGAATAGATCACTGGGAACAGAAATCCAAAGTAACATCCTGCAAAGAATGACGCAGACTGGACAGCCTGTTTGGGGGCTTTGCTCCCCCTGTGCACATCCTTGCCCCTAAAATACAGCTTCCGCTTGTGCAGCCAGTCCATCCCAAGGCAGCACACAAAATGTGCCCTGTGATTTAATGGGCACCTGGATTCCAGCAGCAGTCTCTCTAGGAGGAAAATTGTTCCATGACCTTACAAGCTAGTCATTAAATGCCAGTGGGAGGTTTGGCTCTCTGCTGCTGCTGGCTCCTAATCTTTTCCACCTCCCCAGCCAGCCATGTGTGGAAGTGGATGGAGCCCTGAGTGCACAGTTAATGCAGAAGGACTGTAGCTCAGTGGCAGAGCACCTGCCTTGGGTGCAGAAGGCTCAGGGTTCAATCCCCGATGGCATCTCCACATGGGACTGGGAACCTCTCTTGCCTGAAACCCCTGGAATGCTGCTGTGAGTCAGTGTAGGAGATATTGAGTTAGAGGAAGCAATGGCCTGGCTTTAGTCTAAGACAGCTTTCTTTCGGAGCCAAAAACTGTAATAATTGGGTCAAGAGGGTGACTATTAGCAGAACAGATGGGAGGAAACCAAAAGATGACACAACATCTGGATGGGAGGATGGTACAGCCTGCCAAATTTGCCATTGGGGGCCCAGTTTTATAAAAAGCGCTAAAGCTGGACACAGGAGACTGCCAAGCCAGACCACTGGGTTCCATCTAGCTCAATATCATCGACACGGGCTGGCAGCAGCTCTCCAGGGTTTCAGAAAGGCAGCCTTCCCAGCCCCACCCAGAGATGAAACCTGGGGCCTTCTGCGTGCACAGCAGATGTTGTGCCCCTGAGCCATGGCTCTTCCTGGTAAGCACCACAAGTCTTTACATAAGCCAAAGGGGTTTGATCCTAGAACTGGAAGTTGCTTGCAAGGGGTAGGGGAAAGTCTGAGCATCATGACAGCACATTAACTTTGGAGGTTGCTATGATCACACAATCAAATTTGGGGGTTGGGGGGAAACTCCCTACATTGTGGCTTCCTGCTGGGGCATCCTGATTTGTAACCCACACCTTAAAGTTCCTTTGAGGCTATTTTTTAAAAATCCCCTTAAGAATCACAAATAAAAGTTCTAGCTACCTCATCCACATGGAAGCCTGCTAGCTGCAGAAGGCGATTGCCTCCCCGCGTGGCCACGGGTACTGTGATTTTGATAGCCATCGCATCAACAGGGAAGAGGCCCAGATTCTGCAGCTGTGAAAGTTGACAAACAAATGCCAGATCAAGACCCTTCTGCAAGGGGACTTCCCTCACCCCCTTCCCCCACCAGGTTCCTCAGACCCAGAGTTCCTCCACTACCTTAAAGGTACAGTTAAAAGGCGGACCAATGCTGTCATATCTCTCCAGAGAATTGTTTGACTTGACCTCGTAGTAATTCTGGCTGGGACTCCTGAATAACAGCAAAAAGGAGAAAACTCATCCATTCATAGTTCAACTAAGGGTGTGTTCACATTTCTGCCTTAGAGCACAGTAAAGTTGTTCCCTCCCCCCCTCCCCACTGAGAGTGTTTCACAGCTGAGCTCTTTTGCCCCTTAGTTCACATCAGCAGGTCTTCACTTAGTGTCAGATTCATTTCTGTTTGTATACATCTTTTGGATGTCTTTATCCCATGCAAAGGTGGTTTCACCTTGGCTAGAGGTGAATTATGAACAGCTTAAGGGCTCCAATCAACACACCAAACAGTAGTACCTTATAAGAAGCAAGACATTTGAAATGGTTTTTCATATTGTTCTTAATGTGCTCTAATCTGTCCTGGAACCTTAGGGTGAAGGGCAGGTAATTCATTGTAGTAATAGTAGTAGTAGTAGTAGTAGTAAGTCCAGGATACACCTACATTTTTAATAATGCTGTGTGAACTCAGATTAAAAACCCCACACTGGAAACATAGTGAGTGCCCATTAAACAGGAGCATGAATGCACACAGCGGGTGGAAATTTCAGCGTTAACAAATCAAAGCGCTATAAAGACTCCACTCAAGGCCATCAGCAGTACCTGGTGAAAAGCAGGTCTGTTTCATACTTCAGCGGAAACTTTAGGAGGGCAGAATTGTCATCTTTGGTGTTTTCCTGTTCCTCGCTGTCACTAGAATACAGAAGAACCAGAAGCTCATTTAGGTGACACAGCAGGACTCAGAAGCCAGCAGATTGCGTGGCGAGTTCCCGCCCCCCACCAGGATAAATAAAGACATAAGACACCATAATTTAAGGTTAAATGGGCGAATTAGGCCACAACTTTATTGAATTCAGGAATGAGAGGCATTGGCTTAGGCATTGGTCCTATCGACTATCCGGCTCCAGCCCATTTGCTGGAGACACGGGAAGGGTTAACAACATAGAGGGGGAGTCTCCTGCTGAGGCATGTCCGTTCACTGGGGGGAGGTGATGGCGTTCCTCCCCCCCCACATCCTCTTCACCCCTTCTTACCAATGCCTAACCGCCAATGCCGAGGAGTTGTGACGAGTTGCTACGAAGTAGGCGAATAACCAAATGGCTGTAAATTGCCAATTGGGAAAAATTCCTACCATGCCCCTTGCGGCGACAGACCGAAGTCCAAAGCAAAGTCAGAGACCTACCTAAAGCCTACCCAAAGGGAGGGAGGGTGGGAAAACGTGGGGGCTAGCCGGCGAAAAGAGGGCGAGCCCCCTCTGCGCCGGCCTTAAATAGGGCAGGCCACCCCCCCCAGCCAGCCAATCGGCTGGCTGGGGGGGGGGGGGGAGACGCAGCCGGGATTCCCCCGCTCATGTGGGGGTGGGCGTGAAGCCCGCAACCCCACCTCCTGGGCAGGCCGGAAGTGGCTTTAACAGAGAATGGGCTAATGTTGATGAGAAGGCAAAGGCCCCTCCAAACTGGTACTTTTTTGAAGGTGTCTTCTACAACATCATTCAGCCCGGACACTGAGGTCCAGCGCCGAAGACCTTCTGGCGGTTCCCTCACTGTGAAAAGTGAGGTTACAGGGCCTTCTCAGTAGTGGCACCTGCCCTGTAGAATGTCCTCCCATCAGATGTTAAGGAAATAAACAACTATCTGACTTTGAGAAGGCATCTGAAGGTAGTCCTGTTTAGGGAAGTTTTTAATGTTTGATGTTTTATCGTGTTTTTAATATTGTGTTGGGAGCCACCCAGAGTGGCTGGGGAAACCCAGCCAGATGGGCGGGGCATGTATGTAAGTATGTATGTATGTATGTATGTATAAATTATTATTATTATTATTATTATTATTATTATTATTATTATTGCCTCACAACGACCCTGTGAGGTAGGGTTAGACTGAGAGACTGTGACTGGCCCCAGGTCACCCAGGGAGCTTCCTGGCCAAGTGAGACTAGAACCCTGGTCTCCCAGGGTACAGCTACAGAATTTCAGCAGGGAGCTGCAAAATGTGCACAGAGAGAAAATGGAGCAGTAGGTCTGCCCCAAAACTGTTCCAGGAGCAAAGAGCATTGAAAATGGGGTGGAGGAAAACTGTCCAGATGCCACCATGAGCACAATTATTTGTGAATGCGCCTGGGGAGGCTGTAAGCAGCTGCCTGCTCAGATTCAGCTGCATGAGGAAAGTTGTGGGCCTAGGCTGCTTACAAGAAGTTCCTACTGAATGAGATTAGGAGCTGTTAGCACTTAGAAATATACAGAGAGAGAGAGAGAGCTCAGTTTTTCTTCTGTGGCATCAATGCCAGGGTTGGCGCTGGTCCCCTTTCCAAGAGTAGCAATTTCTCTTACTTATACTCTCGGTGACTTTGGCAGCAGACAGAACTTTCCCCTTGCCACTCGCCAATACTATGCTGGCCTAGCGGGATATAGAGATGTATAAAAGGGGATTTCTGGCTGACGCAGCATGATTCATGAGCTGTGCGAAGTTAATCCACTCTGCAGTTGAAGTGAACAGAAATTTTTGTCATTTTCCAAGTGCTCATCTTACCAATTTTTGACACAGCTCTGGGTTCTCTAAGCTCTCTCTCTCTCTCTCTCTCTCTCTCTCTCTCTCTCTCTCTCTGCCCAAGTTTAAGGAACTTTCACCCACATGTGAAACATCGCCTCCACTGCCATTTCTGTGATAGCAATTTAGCATCCGTACCTTAAACGCACCTACGGGGAAGTACCGGTAATTCTTTTAATTCTCTTCTCCCCCGCTTTTTAGCAAAAATTCAAAACTGAGAGATGGTGACTGACCCACCATTGAACCCATAATAAGGTACTGTGTGGAAGTCCCCTTGGACTGGGGATATTTACATTTTTAAGGGATGGAATGTGAGGTCTTTCTCCTCCCCTGCCCCGATTTCCCCAGCGGGTTTGGCACAATGCTGGAAAAGGTCCCTCTGCCGTCATACGGGCAACGGGAGGGAGCTGTGATTTACAAGTGCAACTGTGGGTTTTCTAACCGCCAAAGTTAGCTTTGTTTTCATAGCGCCTGGGGTCTCTTAGGAGTGAGGGAGACCTGACAGGTTTCACAAAGGCTCAAATTTTATAAGCAACATTTATTGGGCTTGTGTGTGTGTTTGTGCGCACACAAACAATGACAGCCTCTGTATTCCACTGTATATTTTCACAGCACAGCTAGACAATGCCCCCCGCCAAAGATATTTAGTAGCATAAAAAGGTAAAGGGGCCCCTGATCATTAAGTCCAGTCTCTGGGGTTGCAGCGCTCATCTCTCTTTATTGGCCGAGGGAGCCGGCATACAGCTTCTGGGTCATGTGGCCAGCATGACTAAGCCGCTTCTGGCAAACCAGAGCAGCGCACGGAAACGCCTTTTACCTATTTATTGTTGGGGTTTTAGCATCTGCAGTTTCATTCTTTTAAATACACCATTCACCAACTGCTGAGCCTTTGGGAAGAGGCAGGCTAGACACTCAGATAAATATATACATTTCGGAAGCCTCTCTGTTCTGACTCAGAAGCATCAGAGAGGGAAACAGCCTGGGGAAGAACGGGATGCAGGCAGTGGTGGTGCGGAAGGAAAATGAGTGGATGTAAAAAAAGAAGAAGAGAAAAATAATGTTATTGCCGACCTGTTGGCAGTCAAAGAGATCTCCAGATTTTGGAGGAAAATAGATTTGCTGAACTCGAAATCCAGGCGAAAAGCCACCTGCAGAGATTGAAAACAGACAGATGCATTAAGGAAAACAACTCAGGAACATTTCCCACAGCCATCTGGAGCAAACACTAGACTGTCAGGACAAGAGTCTTGTAGCCAACGTTTAGTCATAAAACTGAATTGAAATTAATGGACTTGACCAACTTAGGTTAGGCGAACATTTCCATCAACTCCGTTTGAAATCAGCAACCTATCAAAGGTCCATCAGTCGCCCCTGGTGTATGATGTGAAAGACATAGAAACATTCAAAGTATCTTATTTCTGAGCCAGACCTATTGGGCTCCATCTAGCTCAGCATTGTCTACACTGATTGGCAGTAGCTCTTCAGGTTCATGCCTGGAGTTGCCAGGGATTGAACCTGGGACCTTCTGGATGCAAGGAAAATGCTCTGCCACTGAGCTATGGACCTGCTCCCTTAGTTTTACCTTTCTGATTGCAACAGTGATTGGAGAGGCACGTAGCAAGTCTGATTAGTTGCATTGTGTTGCCCAGCTCACTTACACTGGGGGTGTTGCCTTGCTGAAAGTGGGAGGTTGGCTGCCAAAAAAAGACGCTCTGACTACTTTTTTTTTTTTAAAAGCCCCAGGTCTGTGCACAGCTGATTATAATATTAAAATTCCCCTCCTTGGGCTCCAAGGGCTGAATTTTCCATTTTTAGCTTCTATTTGCTTTGGCAGAGCCGTACATATTCGAGGCCATACAGATGCATTATGATAGTATTTCATGGTCCAAAAGCACACAGGGCTGCTTTATTGCATGGGCTAAATCTTAGCACAGTGATTAGATCAAATCCATCACTGTCAATCCCTTGCCAAGCCGAGGTTTCAATCTTAACATTTTCTTTAGAATCTGGGAAGCCTCTCATTGCCTTCGACTTCTTCTCTGTCTGCCTATAGATCTTCCAAGGCTTTCCTTCCAGCCTATAGTGGATATGAGGGATAATTTATTTTCCAGGTAGATCATCTATGACAGCACAGTGAAACTTCTTCTGTTTAAAGAGTCAGGAGAGTTAAGATGGGAGAGTTCAGCTGCCCAACATGGTTCCAAGCCCTGAACATCCTCTCAGAGTCTCTGCTGAGGAATCCTGGTGGAAGTTGTTATAAAAATGAAATAATGAAGATGTCTCCTCCTGGTGACATCTTGGGTAGGATTGTCTTCTCTGACTGGCAGCAACCCTCCAAGGTATTCGGCAGAGAGAAACCCTTTGCTTACTTGAAGATGCCAGGGACTGACCTTCTGCATGCAAAGCAGGTGACCTAGAGGCGTCTCTTAAACCATCAGTGTGCTTTACATATGGACTTGAGCTTGCATAGCTAAGAGTGTGATGAGTGGGGAAGCAGCCAAAAGAGGGGAACAGGCTAGTGTTGGCACTATGGGATTTATATATTTTAAGTAAACTGGGGGACTCCATCAGCTCCATCAGCCTCAGTTTCCTATAAGTTTGCTTTACGTTATGGAATGGAACAAAGACTCGGCCTACTAGAGAATGATAAGGAAAAAATACTCAGTGCGTAGTTAAACTATGGAACTCCTTCCCACAAGAAGCAGTGCTGGCCACTAACCTGAATAGCTTTAAAAGAGGATTAGACAAAATCATGGAGGAGAAGGCCATCAATGGATACTAACCATGATGGCTATGCTTTGCCTCCACAGTTGGAGGCAGACATAGGAGCCAACTCTTCAGCCCCTCTCCCATTAAAATATTTGAGGGAACCAGTCCCCCCAGTCAATGGGCATTGCCATTCAAATGGTGTGCATGTGTCACATCATGTGATGGATAATGCAGCGTGGGGCTTACCTTCCCCCCCACCCCATATTTAATTCAAGTTGACACCACTGGAGGCAGAAAGGCATCCTAATACCAGTATCTGAAAACAACGGGAGGGGAGAGGGCTCTTGTGCTCAAGTCCTGTTTGTCAGCTTCCCATTGGGGCATCTGGTTGCCCCCTGTGAGAGCACGATGCTTGCCTGCATGGGTAATGGTCTGATCCGGGAGAGCTCCTCTTATTTTCTTAATACAATCTACTTAGAGGTGAGAGGTGATATGACAGCTGTCTTCCAGTATCTAAAGGGTTGCCCCGTGGAAGCTGGAGCAAGTTTGCTTTCTGCTGCTCCAGAGGGGAGGCCCCGAACCAATGGCTTCAAATGACAAGAAAGGAGATTCTGACTGAACATTAGGAAGAACTTTCTGACAGTAACAACTATTCAACGGAGGGCTGGACTACCTTAAAAGGTGGTGGACTCTTCTTTCTTTTAGAAAAAGTTTTTATTTATAATTTTCGTTTATGTATATTACAACAATTACTCAATCATAGTTTTAACTCTGACTCCCTATCCCTCTTTCTGTGGAGGAAGGTGGTGGACTCTTCTATATTGCAGAAATCCCAGTAGCGGTCGTCTTTTAAACATGTGACTCGCACTGCGCCGCCATTTTGCTTCACAGACAAACCGGAAGCCAATCTGTCAGGGATTCTTTAGCTGTGATTCCTGAATTGCCGGGGGTTGGACTAGAGGACCCTTTGGGTCCCTTCTGACAACTCTGCAATTCTATGATTCTATTCTCATTCCATACTGCAGTCACATCTGGATTTGGGCTTTTGGCCAGAAGCTTTAACTGAAATGAACTATTCCTTGGCATAAACAAGCCATAAAAGGTAAGGAGGAATCCATCAGTCATGGCTACCAAGAACTATAAAGCGTGGAATCTTTGAACACTTGTGTCTCCCCATACATCCTTCCTCGAATACGTAAGAAGATGGTCTGAACCCACAACAGCTCCAAGAATCTAACATGGGGCTGAAAGTGCCCCTGCTGAAAACAGGAGAAATCTGAGTTTAATATAATCCCCAAACCCAGTGGTTGCAAAACAGGAAAAAAAGGTGACTCATACAGCAGCAAAGGAATTTGGGGGCTAAATTACCCAAAAGCCACTGTCAAAGTGCTCCAGAGGATTAGAACAAACGTTTTTAGAATCAGCCTTCTGGTTTTGACTACCCAAACAAAGGCCTCTGAGGATTCTGGGCCATCTATAAGCAGCTGAAATTTCTTTGCTCACTGGTTGCTTCCTAACTTGGCTTCCTGGCGGAGCTCTGCAGCCTTGAAAAAGCAAATATTCCAATTATTTGTGTGTGCGTGTGTGGAGTCCTTAACGTCTCAAACTGAGCTGGGAAAGCAACTGGGATTAGGGTGGATGATGAGAGGATGAATCTACTTAGAGCAACATTGCTCCATTAAATTCTGGAGAGTGCTAACCTCCCACCCTTGAAGGTTGCGCACCCCAGCACCCCAAATGGCTGTACCATTTTATAATATGGTCAGTGGCATACTGCTCCAGGGTTGTGGGGGGTCGAAGACCCGCTGCTATTTCTGCAGCAGGGTCCCTGCATCCCAGAGGCACCCCAACAGCATAGAAGAGGAGCTTTTTAGCCCCTCTATGCTCCAAATGGGACGCGGGTGGCGTTGTGGGTTAAACCACAGAGCCTAGGGCTTGCCGATCAGAAGGTCGGCGGTTCAAATCCCCGCGGAGGGGTGAGCTCCCGTTGCTCGGTCCCTACTCCTACCAACCTAGCAATTCGAAAGCACATCAAAGTACAAGTAGATAAATAGGTACCGCTCCGGCGGGAAGGTAAACGGCATTTCTGTGCGCTGCTCCGGTTCACCAGAAGCGGCTTAGTCATGCTGGCCACATGACCCGGAAAAACTGTCTGCAGACAAATGTCGGCTCCCTTGGGCAGTAAAGCAAGATGAGTGCCGCAACCCCAGAGTCGGCCACGACTGGACCTAATGGTCAGGGGTCCCTTTACCTTTATGCTCCAAATATAAGCATTTTATATTGGAAACTGCCTTGTGATCCTCAGATGAAGTGGTGGTATAGAAATTTCATAAATAATCATAGACTCATAGAGTTAGAAGGGACCCTGAGTATCATCTAGTCTAACCCCCTGCAATGCAGGAATATGCAACTCTCCCATACGGGGATTGAACCTGCAATTTTGATGTTATCAGGACCAAACTCTAACACATCAGAGCTGTTTAGGAACACTGAAAACACAGGGTGTTTGGGTTTCAAGAGAATGGGGCGCAAGTTCTGTTATATGCAGTGGAACTTCAAAGAAAACACAATTTTAAGTCACTCTGAAATGAACACTCCAATTCATGTGAAAAGAACATAGTTCTAGCTGAAAGGCAATTCATGGAGATCTGCACTGATCATTGCAATGCATCCCTTATTATTATTATTGTATAATTATGAGATTCTTGTATAATTTTAGAAGAAGAGGCATAGCTGTGACTATCATAAAGGGACCCTGCAATACAGAATGTGGTATATCTGCAGATTAATATACAATGATTCCACGGAGACAGAGCTATCAGATTTCTGGCTTAGGGTTACCAGCAGAGAAAAGGGTGCATTGTCAGAGGACCATGATGAAGAGACTTGTGGGACGAGCTGTGGAAGCTCTGGGAGCCTGATGTGTGTACAGGCCACCTGTGGAGGAACAGAGATATAGAACCTAACAAGGGCATCATCAGTGATGCCAGTGAGTCTCATGGTCTCAGAAACAGGTATGGATACAGTAGTGGACAAGTATTTCACCAGCTCCCATCCGCCAGTTTTGTAGAGTGGAGCTGGAGAGCTCTTTTGATATTCAATGCAGGTGGAACACAAGAAGCTGCCTTGTTCTGAGTCAGACCCATTGGTCCATCTTGTTCAACATTGTCTACACTCTGGAAACAGCTGTCCAAGATTTCTGGCAGGGAGTCTCTCCTAGCCCTACCTGGAGTTGCTGCTGGAAATTGAACCTGGAACCTTCTGCATACACTACTGAAGCTTTTCGTTTAATTTGGGGGGTTACTTTCCCCGTGTCGGGAATTGCTGCTGCCCTACGCATTGGAAGGCAAACTTGCCTTAGACTTGCTTGGACCTTACAGCAGCTCTCTAAGAAAGAAGAAGTGGTGGTTGGTTGAGAGTCTGGTCAACAGCTCCTGTTTAGAGAAAGCTCCATGGTTTTTGCCTCACCTTGAGGATGTCCCAAAAGCGGGCTGTGAGCTCAAGTTTGCCTTGGCTGCCTCCTTTTCCCTATTTTAGCTGGTGCTTGTTTTGTGTGCAGGTGCCCCAGAGCCTCTTACCTTTGCTTTGGCTCGGAAGAATGGATAGCTGACATTGCAAACCCTCTGGTTCGGATGCTTCTCTTCAGACATGCACTCAATATTAATGTCCAGGTCATCCTGAAATGGAAGGGAAAGAATTGACGCTAGCTTTGCATGGGAACTAGATTGCAAAGAGGTCCCCCAAAGCATTTTGAAATGCAGTCTTATTGCCTGGTATACCACTCTACCTTGCGTTTAATGAAACTACTCTGCTTCTTTGGGACGTGATATTTGCCCCTCACTTATGCCTTGGAAGGACAGTTCTGGAAACCCGCTGGGTGCTGTCTTATCAGAAGGCATGCAGGCAGGTTGGCATGAGAAACAGTGCTTTGTAGGGAATGACCTTTACTATTGGTCACACTGGCATGTCCTAAAAGAGGAGTCTAGTGATTGCAAGTTACTTTGATCATACTGGCACTGTCCATTTAGGGCACACAGCACCCCCTATCTTCTGAAACAACAATGGGACACTAGCGCCACCCAAGGCAGGCTGGAGAACAGCAACAACTGACAAAAGATAGACAAAATATATTACAAACACAAGAAGAAACACTATGCTCAGAATTATTGTCATACAGAAGAAGGAGAGAGTTTAAATGCTTCATCTGTAGGCGTAGAAATCAAAGTGTCAATACGAATAGAAGTCATTAAAACGGCAGTTGCGACATAAAGGATATATTTGGACTGGAGCGTAATTGGAATTTATAAGATTTTGGAACACAGAAACAAAGTAAATCACTAAACCATCAATTCCAGCATATGGGGGGGGCCACCTAAATTGTATCATTTGACATCTCAATGATTGGTATTATTAACTGTATTGTAATTTGGCATTGTTATAATGAGGCTATTGTTGGATTGTTGTAATTGAAAGCTAATAAAAATTCTTATCAAAATAAAGCACAGCAACCCCTAAAGAATCCCGGGAATTGTAAATTTGTTAAGGGTGCTGAGAACTGTAGCTCTGTGAGGGCTTAATTACAGTTCCCAGGGAAGCCATGTGTTAAGTACTTAATTCGTTCCGGAGGTCCGTTCTTAACTTGAAACTTTTCTTAACCTGAGGGACCACTTTAGTTAATGGGGCCTCCCGCTGCCACCACGCCACAGCCGCACGATTTCTGTTCTCATCCTGAAGTAAAGTTCTTAACCCGAGGTACTATTTCTGGGTTAGCGGAGTCTGTAACCTGAAGCGTCTGTAACCCGAGGTACCACTGTATCGAATAGCTGGGAGCCTCAAATCTGTTTTTACAAGTCGACAAAACATTTCCTTTATTTGCTGCCCCTGTGTTTGTTCTGGTTTCGTCTGTTCATGTTGTTCTTTGGTTAAGTTTGGAGTACCGTAATTCATCAGTAAAAAGAGAGAAGCTTTTTGCACTTTTCCTATTTTGTGGTTAATCTTTCCTGCAATTTTCCACTGGCAGAGCCTTTTAAATCAACACAAGGAAGACACTTGATGCTTGGCGGCTAGAGCAAGCTCAGCATATTTACTAATAAAGAGGGAGAGAGAGCATGGCTTGTCCAAAGCTCGCGGCAAAGGGCTTACACACACTGTCAACACTTCACCATTTACTGCGAGTCTAGACGGCAACATTGGGAAGAGGACGTTTCAGAGGACCAGCTAGGAAGTCGTCACAATTGGGAGGCATTCCTATGAAAAGAAATACAACCCGCTGTGGCTGGCTTATTGGGACTGGTGGGGCAGAAGGCAGGGAGGTCAACAGTAGGTGGCGCCAGAGCCAATGACAGATGGGGCCGCCCTGTGGCTGGTTGTAAATAGGAAGGCATATTGGTGGGGCAGTGGCTAATTTGGCCTAATAGACAAAGCTCCTCTGAATGTAATGTCCTGATGGATTATGATGATGATTAGTGCATTTTTCTAAAAAAAAAGTTTAGGGGGTACTGTCATTTTCTGACTCATATTGAAATACTGCCCCAGTGAGGCCAAACTTAGATTCACAAACTGTTTAGGGGAATGCGTCCCCCCAGAAAAAAGCACTGATGATGATAATTATGATTATTTATTTGCACCCTGTCCATCTGACTGGGTTGCACCAGCCACTCTGGGTGACTTCCAGGATATAGAAAAACATAGTAAAACATTAAACCTTAAAAAGTTTTCCTATACAGGGCTGTATGGTTAAGAACTTAATTCATTCTGGAGGTCCGTTCTTAACCTGAAACTGTTCTTAACCTGAGGTACCACTTTAGGTAATGGGGCTTCCCACTGCCACCACGCCGCGCTGCGCGATTTCTGTTCTCATCCTAAGGTAAAGTTCTTAACCTGAGGTACAACTTCCAGGTTAGCGGAGTCTGTAACCTGAAGCATCTGTAACCTGAAGTGTCTGTAACCCGAGGTACCACTGTACTGGAAAAATATGAGAAACTGCGAGAAACCAAAATGGACAGATTCGCTCCTCTCTACTTGAAATGAGATGAGCCACTGTCATGGCTCCTCGTCGCTTTTGCTGCTCTCAGCAGAGGCAATGTGTATGGTTACAGCACCACTGTAAAAATGACAAACCCTAGAGGGCCAAGGCAGTGATAGAAAAAGCTGCTTTATCCACAGCTCAGGCAAGCAACAATCAGGATGACAAAGGAGCTGACGTGGACACAGCCATATGAAAAATATAAATCAGAAACATTTTTTCAATAAAGCATTCCCAGACGCTGGCTGGCTTCGAGGGCTGGCTGTCAGCGGAGTCCTATATGATGTCCCCCAAGTGCTGAGCAGATGCTTGGCAAGCCCCCCAAGCCTCCTTCCATCTTCCCTCCCGAGATCAGCAATTGCCGTGGCATCATCCATAGCCCAGTGCACAAAAACTATAGCTCATTCTCCATTCTAAGCTCCTTGTTTCCAGAGAAGCAATAACTCAGTGCAAAAAAAATCACCTCTGACTGAAACTTGGCCATCAAGGCAAGCACAAAAGCAAAAGGAGGAGGGAGATGCTTTTGAAAACCACCAGGAAAATGGACAAAGTCGTTAATCATTGCAGTATATTGAAGTTAAAACACCCTCCTGGGGCAAGTAGCAATTGCTTCTGGGCAACTAGATTACCAGCTTTTCCATGCGCAGCATCGTGTGGAAACAAGAAAACCTGAAAGGGTGGAGGGGTGTGCGCGCACGTGTGCATGTATAAATATTATTTCTACCATGCAGAGCAGAGAAAGTCATCTCTGCTGGTTGGGTATGAGGATAAAGACACACAGACACCATCTGAGGTGTGCATTTAAATAACACAAACAGCTGGAGTTGGGGGGGAGCCACACTACTCTCAAACATGAGAAGTGGACAAGGTGGTCAGAGGTCTGCTGTGCTTTTTATTTGTCCCGTATTGTGGGATGAAAGCACCTGCAAGCAAAGATTTCATTGGCTCTGAGAACTCAGAAGGCACAGGAAATAGTGTATTTTTTGCTCTATAAGAGCAAAAAAAAATTTCCCTCCTAAAAAGTAAGGGGAAATGTGTGTGCATCTTATGGAGCGAATGCAGGCTGCGCAGCTATCCCAGAAGCCAGAACAGCAAGAAGGATTGCTGCTTTCACTGCGCAGCGATCCCTCTTGCTGTTCTGGATTCTGAGATTCAGAATATTTTTTTTCTTGTTTTCCTCCTCCAAAAACTAAGTGTGTCTTGTGGTCTGGTGCATCTTATAGAGCGAAAAATACGGTACTTTTACAGCCTGTCTGCAAAAGCCTGTCTGCCCCCCCCCTTCTTAAGGGGGGGGGGAACAATTGTGGAGGGCAGAGAGAGAAAAAAACTTAAAGGATTGAAGAGGATGACATGGACCTGGAAGCACTCTGATTAACTCTTTCATAAAAATTAAGAGTTTGGGTTTAAATCCATCCATCCATCCATCCATCCATCCATCCATCCTCAAGGGACCTCAGTGTCTCTATTGAAGCAGTTTTCCTGATGAAAGACATCACTTCGTTGCTCAAAAGGATAAGGAGAAATGCATCACTGCCTATGCCGGATCAGATCAAGGGCTCACTAATATCGGACAACTGCTAGATGCACAGGCCTGTTGGGCATCTCCTCATTCGCTCCCAGCAGCTGCTACTCAGCGAAGGCTGTTCCTCCATCACGAGCTAAGTGAACACTAGCTGTTGAGCCCCATTCCCTGACCTCAGAGGACCTCAGCAGGAACAGTTTCCTGGGAACTGCCATAAGAATGTAAGAAGAAGCTGCTGGACCATGCCAATGGCCCATCTAGTCTAGCATCCTGTTCTTACACATGCCTGTGGGAAATCAGCAAGCAGGATTTGGGCACAGCAGGCCACCCTGTGATTTCCAGCAAGTGGGATATCAAGAAGTGTTTCCATCATGTGCTGCGTGAGTTGCAGTTGCTCTGCCCCACTCCCTCACCTTGGGGGTCTTCACTGGGCTCTGCTGCCTAGCAGCAAGGCAACACTAGTGAAGGTCAATCATCTTGTTGCCGTAGAGCTATTTCTCTCCCCAATACAAGACTCAAATATGATTTTTATCGTGGGAATCTCCTTCCAAAGAGAGCCCTGATCACAGCAGGACCGAACCTTCTTGCTCTTGTTTGGGATGCAAAGGAGGCACATCACCTCCTTCTTCCCTGTTCCCTCACCTGACTGTATGCTCAATCAGGGTTTTAAAAACCCTAGCAAAGCATTAGTCCTGCCCCTGAATTGATTTGGGGTTGGAGACAGGGTGGGTCAGGTTGGCCCAATCTGGGGGGCTGTGCGCAGCCTCAACACCTGCCCAAGACCACCTCGGTTTCCTGAACTGGGGATAACTGGCCAAGGAAGCCGTGGTCCTTCAGGAATAAGACAGGTCAAAGGATTCTGCTAGGAGAACAGTGCCACATGGAGAGCTGAGGACAGGCTGGTTGATGCGTTACAGATGCTTTAGATTCTGATGGTGGGACTGTGTTTTACAAGGAAATGCATTTAATGAAAACCTGATGGCCGCTTCTTCTAGATGGAGCGACTCTGGAAGAGGAAGACTTGCACAGCAGAAGCAGCAGGGATGCTCCAAACTTTTGCCACCCACCATCTTTCCCCTGAAATTCCTCCACCTTTCTCCTGCCCTGGAATGCCAGAAGTGGGTACGCGGTAAAAACATGTGTCTGGAATGAGGACGGATGACTTTGGCAAGGTTGGTTTTTCTTTTTCCCCCCTGAGGCTAAATTCAATTTCCCCTACTTCTGCATCAGTTTGCAATTTTTCTTTTATGAAAAGTTAGCATGCGGGTGGCGGGGGCATGGAAAATGCACAGTTGCAGTCAACATCACATCCCGCTTGGTCCTTACTTCCTGTGATGCGAAAGCTCATAAGACCATTAAGAAGAGCCTACTGGATCAGGCCAATGGCCGAGCTGGTCCAGCATCCCATTCTCACAGTGGCCAACCAGATGCTGATTATGGGACACCAGCAAGCAGGACCTGGGCATAAGAGCCCTCTCCCCTCCTGTGGTTTCCAGCAACTGGTATTCAAAAGCATTACTGCCTCCAGCTGTGGAGGCAGAGCAGAGCCATCCTGGCTAGAAGCCATCGATAGCTTGTATTCTCCATGAGTTTGTCTAATCCTCTTTTAAAGGCATCCAAGTTGGTGGCCAGAACCAACTTCTTGTGGACGTGAGTTCCATAGCTTAAATATGCACTGCTTGAAGAAGGCCTATTTCTAAATTAAAAAGTCCCAAACACTGCAACCTTTCCTTGTAGGGGAATAACAGAATCATAGAAACATAAAATTGGAAGGGTTGCAACCCCTTGCAATGCAGGAATTACAGCTAAAGAATCTCTGATGGATGGCCATCCAACCTCTGCATTAGCTACCCCTTCCAGTTTGGTGTCTTCTGCAAATTGGATGAACAGCCCCTCAATTCCTTCATGCAATTTGTTTATAAAGGTGTTGAACAACAACAGGCCCAGGACAGAACTGGATGAGGAGCCAATAGAGAGCAGAGAAGCTACCACTTGCTTGTTCTTCCTCTTGCTTTGAACATAGCCAAAGGAACATTTTAATATTATTTTTAACCTCTTTTGCAAGCCTGAGCTTTGGCGTGCATGACCTCCTTCCTGCAACTGTTGGCTACTTGTGTATTTCTCTTTGTGTTTTCTCCTCCCTTCCATTCAGAGACTCCTTACCTTCTGGATCAAGCTGGCAAACTTCAGGTTCCTCGAGAACGAAATGTTTAGAACGGTGTTATATGCATTTTCTCCTCTGTTCTCCAGCGTAGCTTCCACTGCCACCCTCCTCCTGGCACTTTCTATGACAAAAATGGAGGTGTCAAAAGACAGCGTGTAGGCGGAGCAATCCGAATGCGACTTTCTCAGGACACGTCTGCAATACTCCCTATGAAAAGAGCAAACATTAAAGCAGCAGCCCAGGAAGAAGCGTCCACCCTCCCTGCAACTGCGCATGAAGGAGACTCCCCACAGTCTCCCAGGGGGCAGCCTGTCAACGCCCAAAGTGCCTTGGTCACACTGCAGCACCAACAAGAAACAGGCAAGGGCCCAGCGCTAAAGCAAGAGGCTGAACAGTGAAGCACGTAAGCCAATGGACCTGGAAGGAAGGCATTCATATTCTACATGGCATTCTTATCGGACAGTGTCCTGGGGGGTCTCTTAAACTAGAAAGGGTGTTCCCAATTTATTTTCACAAGCTCAATATAGAGACAAGGCCAAATTACACATGTTAATCACACATTATTTATTTTTTTAAAAAAAGCTTTCTTGCAGTGCCAGCACTGGGAAGTTGGTGGGATTCCACAAGATGGTCTTCTCAGTGTTGGCACCCAGAGGCTGAAACTCCCTCCCTGGGGAAATACAGTTGTGCTTCTCATTGCTGTCCTTCAGCACCACTTAAAGATAGTTACAGTGGTACCTCGGAAGTCGAATGGAATCCGTTCCGGAAGTCCGTTCGACTTCCAAAACGTTCGGAAACCAAGGCACAGCTTCTGATTGGCTGCAGGAAGCTCCTGCAGCCAATCAGAAGCTGCAGAAGTTCTGTCGGACGCTTCCAACGAACATTCACAAACCGGAACACTCATTTCCGGGGTTGCGGAGCCAAAACAGGCGAGTACCAAGGCCTTTGGGATCCAAGGTACAACTGTATTTGTTTTGCCAGGTCTTTAAGAATTAAGCCTCTCATTCTAGGCTGTAGTTTTAAAGAAATGGGGTTTGTGTGTGAAGTATTTTGGGATGGTGGTTAATTATACTGGACACTACCCATGGATTTCAACTGGAGGAACAAAAATCAAACAAATAATAAAATTATAATGCTATTGCCACTTGAAAGAAAAGTAGCCAGAGTCCCCCAAATCCTATGCTGTGCTTCCGATCTGTGTTCCCAATCTGGTTCCCAGCCAAACCCCCCTCCCCTGCTCTGTTTTGTCCCCAAAGGTACTGCAAACAAGAGGAAAAGAAATGGCCAAATTTAGGATGACATCACAATAACCTATAAGATAAGTGTGAGAAATCTTTGGCTCTTCAGGTGTTGCTGAACTACAATTTCCATCCTCCCTGGCCACGGGCCATGCTGGCTGGGGCTGATGGCAGTTGTAGTTCAGCAACATGTGAAGCATCAAAGGTTCCCCACTCCTGTTCTAAGAGTGGTAACCCTGCAATCTGATTTCTCAAATCCCTCTCACTCCAGATGAGCTACTCACATGGCAGTTGGGATATCAGTTTTAGCATCAAGGACCAAATTAGGGATGCAATGCTCGTCCTCGTTGCATCCGTTCCAGAAAGGTACCTATGAAACAAGAAGGAAAAGTATTTATTTCCAACCTTCACCCTAAGCTCCCAGGATAGGTAACAACATTTAAACAGTTTAAAACAACTGACAATCATAAAAAATAAGGTGGGTCCGAAAAATGTGCATCCTCAAGTGTCAAAAGCCAGGGTAAAGAGGTGCATCTTCAGCATCCTTCAGAAGCTGTATAATGAAGGTATCAGATGCACCTTTGTGGGGAGGGCATTCCACAGCTTGGGGGCCACCACAAAGCAGGCCCTCTCCTGGGTCACCGGCACCCTGCAAGCCTCTGAGGATTCTCTGGTTTTTATATGGAAGGATAAAGAAGATGTCTATAAACTAGGTACCCTGAACAGTTCTGGGTAACCCGAGTTACAAGAAGAAGAAGAAGAGTTTGGATTTGATATCCCGCTTTATCACTACCCGAAGGAGTCTCAAAGCGGCTAACATTCTCCTTTCCCTTCCTCCCCCACAACCAACACTCTGTGAGGTGAGTGGGGCTGAGAGACTTCAAAGAAGTGTGACTGGCCCAAGGTCACCCAGCAGCTGCATGTGGAGGAGCGGAGACACGAACCCGGTTCCCCAGATTACGAGACTACCGCTCTTAACCACTACACCACACTGGCTCACAATACAATACTTTTTTTAAAAAACATAGAAACAATATGTAGGATTTGATGTTGTGCCAGGCATGACACTCTGCAGAAAGGTTGACCACACACATAATACATCTGCTGGCTTTCTGGTTGTCCCAACCAATATGCGAAGCCCAGAGAGGCAATTTAGTTAGCTCATACGTCTCAGCATCTGGATTGAAAAATGAGGACCAGGTGACTTCCACAAACAACAGGCTTTCCCTCCTTTCATATGTTTAGGCAGCCTTGCACGTTATTACTGTTTGATTTATACAAATTTTCAAACCACATTTTTGCTGTGAATATGCATGGGATCCAGTGTGGTGTTGTGGTTAGAGTGCCAGACTAGGACCCGGAAGGCCAGGGTTCAAATTCCCACACGACCAAGAAACTCACTGGGTGGACCAGTAACTGCCTCTCATCCTAACCCACCTCACAGGGTTGTTGTGTGGATGAAATGGGGGAGGAAAAGAGCCATGCACACCCACTTTGAGCTCCTTGGAGGAAATGCAGAATATAAGTGTAAAGAATAAGTAAAATAATAAAAACAACACACTTTGGTTCCTGGTCAGCTCTTCCACATTCCTCCGCCCCCTATACTTCACTGACCTGCCCCCCCCCAATCCTCTTACTCTTGGGCTCCTGGCCCTGGAAGGCCAAAATCTTGTCCTGAATATTTCTTGGACACAGCCTATAGGGACAAGTTCCCAAAAAGATCAATGGACAAAATACACTGCAGTGTTTCCAAGGCTGCCTCTCCACCTTCCCTCCAATGTAACGACAGTTACGCACAGCAACTTTTAGCGAGGTAGGCCAGCCGCCATCCATCACCGGTCCATTGTCAGGGCTACCCAAGGCATAATCGACAGAGAAAGTCACTGGCTTCACATAATCGGCTGTGTCCTAGGATAGGAGAAAGCAATCACCATTACCCTCAGTTTTCACTTTTGCAACAAGAGCCCAGCAAGCATAAGTTGAACGGGAAACATTTCTCCTTAACTATTCACCAGAGTTGTAAAAAGACATGCAATCTGGTTGCCCGTGGCAAGTAGACATTGTCTCACGGTAACTATACAGGGAAACTCACCTAAACAGGTATGTGTGAGCACAGTGGCTCATAAACATTTCTGTAGTTGGTGCATGATTATTATTATTATTATTATTTTATTTTTTCCAAAGAGATGTTACACAAAGTTGGGCATATAAAGCAACATTTCTTGGTGCACTAACAAACAATTGGTCTCTGGTATTTTGAATGCATAGCTCAAGACTAAACTGCACTTCCTGGCAAGGAAACTCAACTTTTAGAGATCCAAGCACGTACCAAGACATGAAAATTCAGCTTATCGCACCATTCTTGCCCTGCAAACAATGTAACCGTCTTGTGGGTGAGCCTGTCTCCATTCTCATCCAGATGGGCTCGTGGGATGTACCGTCGCTCGTCAATGGTGATGTTGTAATTCAGCGCTGAAATGATTGGTTCAAAATGATTTGCACATGCACAGTGAATTACAGAACCATAGTGAGAGCAGATAGCTTAGCTGGTTAGAGTGTGGTGCTGATGATAATGCCAAGGTTGCAGGTTCGATCCCTGTAAGGGACAGCTATATATTCTTGCAGTTTTAATGTTGCGCAACAGAAGGATCCAACACAACAGTTGTGCTAGCAGAAATGCACTGCGCAACCAAGGCTGGATCTACACAGCTATAAAAAAACGCTCTACAAAAAACTGTTGTAAAGCTCACATCACAATTGAAAATATCACTGAGTTGTGATTTCAGCTCTATATCGCCATCTGGTGTCGCAGTGTTATAATGCATTTATAGTGCTGTATTTTGACTAATGTAGCTGAGTCCCAAGTTACCAGAAACTTGCTTATGCATTCTCTTGAGATAGATAGCTCCAATGGCACAAAACATTTCACCAGCGGAAGAAGCAGACCTCTACGTTGGTATAACTTAGTGCTGCCTTAGATACACCCCCAAGTCTCTCTGAAGAGCAGTTTTGGAGAGAGTAGGACACTGTCACCTTGTGGGGAGAGCAAATCTAGACAGAAATCTGGGATCTCCACTTACTCACGCTTGCCGTCTGAAAGTGAGCCGAGAGGAAAATGGCAGTGAAGCAAAGAAATGCAGACAGGCAAGTGGCGTCCTTCCCGTTCCGAGTGCAGTCCTTGTTGAAGATGTTGATCTTGAATGGCTCAAACCTGAGACTGGCATTGATCCGCACCACACTGCGGGACCTTATGGAGAAGAGGAAAAGTTTGATTATATCCTGAGCCAACCCAGAAATTCAATTACCAATTCAGATGTGTGGGTCAGAGTTTAAGGTAACCTAAATTTGAGTAGATCAAGTAAAGTAATTTAACTTTAAATTTTTACCTACGTTTGAATAGAACTTCTGGCTGCTGTGGTAAAGCAGGAGTGGTACAGGCACTTTCCTAGCCACCTTGTCCAGAATGGTTCCCTCTGAAGAAAGACCCCCTTGGCCCTTTCTCAGCGTGAGGCAGGGTTGGTGACGATCACTGCCTCCAGTGGAAGCAAGTGCCATAGTTAACAATGCACTGTGTGAAAAAGGGCTTGCTTTTATCTGCCCCAAATCTTCCAGCAGTCAGATTCTACAAACAAGCCTTGCTCTGAAAAGTAGCCCCACCAGCCATAAATCCTCCATAACAAACCATAATAATACAGCATTTCCCAGTGAGCCAACGGCGAGGTCCACAAGCCTGTCTTCATTCAGGTCCAAGTTGCCATGGATGCTGCATCCAAAATACATTAAGCCTGGAGAAATTTCAGCTGCCGTAATTCTCTGAAAAATGACAAGAGGAGAATCCTGTTCAGTATCCTGGTGCAAGCAGACGCTGTACAAAAGTGATGGCATGTTTTCACATTTTCTCTCTCGCAAGGGTGGGTACCCAAAAGAATCCAGCAGGTACTTAGGAGTGTTGGTAGGAGTTGCCAGCTTGCTGAGGTTGTGCCACTGCTGCTTAGCTGGGATGCAGGAGGCGAGGTCAGGGCTGTGTGGACAGGAATGCAGGGGGGACCAATCTGACACTCACACTGGTGATGCCCCGACCTTTGCTGCCTTCCTGCCTTGCAGGTCACAATTCACCAGCAGGTCACAATTCACAATTTAAATTTCATAATTAAAAACAGTTAAAACAGATTAAAGTGGAATCTTGACACACATTAAAAAAACACACACTGTGAAAATGCTTTTTCTTAAAGCGTTTTGAAAAATATATAGAATTTGCCATAAGCTCACCATCGCCATCGAGTGTCACATTTGCATAATGCACTTAAAACACACTTAAAATGTTGTATTTGCAGCTGTATAGCTGAGTTACCAGAATAGCGTGGACCCGGAAAACATCCATCCCAGGTAAACGCCAGGGTAAAAAGAGGTACCTCTTACCGTTCGCCAAAAGATGTATAGTGAAGAAGCCAGATACACCCAGGGGCATAGGAAGGGGCGGCGGCGGTCCACCCTGGGTGTCACCCTGAGGGTGGGTGACAAAATGGCAGGCGGCCGAGGCCTACACTCGCTGTAGAGCGGCTGAGAACGTGCACGCGCCGTTGGTATGGGTGCCGCTCAAGTGCCATCCATATCGGCACCACGCATGCGCCGTCTATATCGACGCTGTGCATGTACCGCTGGGTGGTTTGCCTCGCCCCTGTGGGTGGTTCACCCCGTCCCTCGACACCCCGCTCTGGGTGCCGGAGAGCCTTCCTTCACCACTGGATAAACCTATGTGGAGAGGGAGTCCCAAAACTAAGAGGCTGCCACTAGGCCCATGCAGAGCTTGTCTGAGACCCGGGGCAGCAGTCTTGTTAGAATAAAGTTATAAACACAAACAAAAAGGCAACCAGTCCCTGGTGGGGCACCCCAAGCATCTTAGGCCTCTGAGGCCCTGGGCAAATGTACCCAGCTGCCCCTCCCCCCGGCTGCATGAGCCTGGCTGCCACAGAGAAATGGTGGCTGTCACACACAAAAATATGGTGGATAATATTCAGAGAACATTCTGTACAGTGGCCTTCTTTTTCTGAGGTCAGAGGAAGGGAAAAAAATCTCAGAATTTTTCCTCAGAAAAATGTATTAAGGCATCTTTGGTCATTTTAAAGAAATGCCTTCTTGCCCTTCACCCTACATGAGAACTCTACCTGCTTATATTGCCGTACGAGGTTTTCCTTGTAGCCATGGAAGATATATATTGCTCCCTGATGCTCATCTTCAAGCGGGGCTCCCACAACGACATCGTTGTAGGAGTCCTGATTCAAATCGGAGACGGCAGCTATGCAGGAGCCAAACCTGGAGTTCTGGTAGCCTGGCAAATCTTCCAGAGTCCCATTGGAAACAAATCGATCCTTTGAAGAAAAGAGCTTATATATCACTCACACCCGCAGACATTGTTTTTTTTCTGCCAAATGCCCCCAAATAAGCAACTCTGCGGAGAGAGAGAAATCCGACAGTTCAGTCTGGGCAGAAAAATGATTCACCCTTATGCAATATGTAAAGATGGCCGGCAGAAAAAGAGAGCAAAACAACAATTGGCGTTGTTTGATAAGGGGTGGAAAGAGGAAAGGAAACCAAATACTCATTCTACAAATGTAAGCTTTACATTCAGAGGGAAACTGTTGGTTGTATGGATGAAGTAGCCACAACGGCTATGCTTTCCCTCCCCTGTTGGAGGCAGTGAGACCCTGAACGCCAGATGCTGGAAGTCACAAGTGGTGAGAATTGCTGTTGCTCTCAGGTCCTGCTCGCATCTGGTTGGCCACTGTGTGGAAAGGATGCTGCACAAGAAAAGGCATTGGCCTGATCCAGAAGGCCCTTCTTTTGTTCCTATTTTATATACCATATTTTTTGCTCTATAAGACACACCAGACCACAAGATGCACCTAGTTTTTGGAGGAGGAAAACAAAAAAAATATTCTGAATCTCAGAAGCCAGAACAGCAAGAGGGATCGCTGTGCAGTGAAAGCAGCAATCCCTCTTGCTGGTCTGGCTTCTGTGATAGCTGCGCAGCCTGCATTCGCTCCATAAGATGCACACACATTTCCCCTTACTTTTTAGGAGGGAAAAAGTGAGTCTTATAGAGCAAAAAATACGGTAAATGTTTTGATGTAGGGAAGCTTAAGCACCCTCAGGACTTGGAGTGAGAGGGTGGAGAGAGGGTGCTCAAGCTTTTCTGCCCCTGCTATCTCTAAAGACACTATTTGCCTTTGAAGGGAAGCCTTCATTGGTGCCCGGGGAAGTTTCCCTTGACATGCAAACAGGACCTTTGGAGAGCCAATGTTTGTCAGGACTGTAGCAGGGAGAGAAAGTGTTTGATTTCTCCTCTCCCTCCACTCAAGCTTCCTTGATTTGCTATTTACATCATTAAAGTTAATTAGGGTTGCCACATTTCAAGAAGTGAAAAGCCACACACAAACAAATCGTTGCGCTTTCTTGAGAGAAATTTCCCTAAGTTGTTGAGCTTGTTTTAGAAAAAGGCCAAATTGGTTGAGCTATTTTTGAGAAATAAGCTGCTGTTTGGAAATCCCCCCCCAGACACTTCCGCCATTGAAACTGGACCTATGGCAACCAAAATTTAATTATGCAATTGTATAAATTACATAGTACATTAATTGTGTAAGTGAAATTAAAGTCATGTCCAGTTTGACATTCTCACGATACCAGGGATCGAACCTTGGACCTTTTTCATGCGAAGCAGAAATTCTGCCACTGAGCTACGGCCTTTCCCGTTTTGGCAATTAATTTTAGAACCAACACAGGAAACTGCCTTATACTGATTCAGATCATTGGTCCATCTAGCTCAGTACTGTCCACACGGACTGGCAGCAGCTCTCCAGCAGGGCTCTCTCCACGCCATACCTGCGGATACCAGGGATAGAACCTGGAACCTTCTGCAGTCCAAGCAGGTCCTCAGCTGCTGAGCCTCAATGGCCCTTCCCCAATAAGAGGTGGGAAATATAAACAAATTTTTAAATTGTTTTGTGCTTGTAGGGAACAAGACCAAGTAAATTACCTCTTTTAGGGTGTAGACATACACCTTCCCCCTCTCTCTTCCTTCGCTGAAATACATTGGGGCTCCAACCAACAAAACGTCCGTGACGCCATCGCCATTAATATCTACAGAATTGATTTCACTTCCATAGTAGGCACCGATCTGGGAAAAAAGAATACATTGACATATGTGTGCATGTATGGTACGAGTGCTAGAGTGTTGTGTGTCTTTATATCTCCATTTGCTTCCGAGAAATTAATGGCATCTTAAATGATCCCGTTGGAATGAGAGGTATTTCGAAACGGAAGCAATCTGTCATCTCCTTGTCTAGACATCTCCCTCGGGAACAAAGAAAGGCAGACTCAAAACTTTGATCCTGGAAGATTAAGGATCATACTCATGGCTTGTCTCTATGATGCTGCTTCCTGAGTTCATTCCTTTTTTGCCCAAAGACTACGATGAGAATGATTAATTTATTTATGATGGGATCCAAGCTGATTTGCAGCAAGTAAAATGCAATCTTCAAGTCTAACAGTTTCTTGACTGACCTCCAGGATGGAACATCTTTACAGACAATATTGTGTCTATGCTGAGGTATCTAGAAGATATGACATTGCTGTCTAACTCCCAAGCGTCTGAAAAACTCAAAGTCACCCACTGAAACCAAGAGACGATAGGCCTTATACTAGCAAATTAAAGTATCTATGGACCTCATTTGTGAAGGAGAGGGGTGGGAAACCCCAGGCGTGGGGGTTGAATGTGGCCCCTCAGGACTCTCTATCTGGCCTCTAGAACTCTCCCCAGGCCACACACCTGCTTCACTCCCCAAGCGGTTTTGCCTGGCTAGAGTGTGCCCCTAATCTCTGGCAATGCCTCTTACAGAGAGGGGAATGGCTAAGTGAGTGCTGAAACTAGCCTACTGTACAAGCACAAAATTTACATGTGTTGCTCCACCCACTTTTGCCTCTGGCCACACCCACCATTGGGACATGGCGCTCGGAAGGCTGCCCAGAATGGAATGTGGCCCTTGGGTTGAACATGATTCCTTGTTCCTGTTGCAGCAAATAGTGACGTCCACTGGCAACAATGGATTCCTTGAAGGAGAGGTTGTAAGGATGGCATTCACTACGCATGCTCCATCAGCCTCTTGAAGGAGTTAGTACAGAAGTACGACCACACATTTCTCTGCAGTCACAGGGGAATGAGGGTGGTTTTTTGCTTTAAAATGGTACTGGAGATTCTCCAGATGTTGGATTCTGTGTTCTGCTTATGGAAAATGGATAGCTCAGTTGGTTAGAGTATGGTACTGATAACACCAAGGTTGCAGGTTTGATCCCTCTATGGACAGCTGCATAGTCCTGCATTGCAGGGGGTTGGACTAGATGATTCTCAGGGTCCCCTCCAACTCTACAATGCTATGATTCTATGAATTGTTGCAGTGGATGCTCAGACTATTATGATTATTATGATTAAATTTATATACAGCCCTATACCTGGGGATCTCAGGGCGGTTCACAGAATAAAATCAAGATATAAAACCACAAAATACCACAAAAATACCTAATAAAAATAAGAACAACAACCCAATACCCCCTCCAAAAAAACCCACATTTTAAAAGGGATAGGATGCAAATTGGATTAACCACAGGCCTGGTTAAAAAGCAATGTTTTTGCCTGGCACCTAAAGGCGCGTAATGAAGGTGCCAGGTGAACTTCCCTGGGGAGAGCATTGCACAGACAGGGAGCCACTGCAGAGAAGGCCTGCTACCCTCCAAACCTCTTGAGGAGGAGGGGGGGCACAAAGGAGGGCCTCAGATGATTTCAGGGTCCGGGTAGGTTCATATGGAAAGAGGTGGTCCTTGAAGACTAGGGACGGACCTTTGAATATACCCACAGCGAAATGATCAGTCTCATACTGGACTAACTGCCTTGTTTAGATCTTCTGCAACCCCAAAGCAATGCCCCCCCCCCTTGCCCAATTTACCTGCTCTCCTTTCAGAGACTGGTGAATGGTCAGATTCCTGTTGGTGTGCATCGTGAAAATGATAACCTTCCCCGTGTGGTTGAAGCGGGGTGCTCCAGCGACGTAAATCCTGTCAAGTCTTGTCGACACCACTGAGGTGACGGTGTAACCTGCAGCGCACACAGACAGAAAGACAGGAAGGCAGACAGAAAACAAGGTAGCATGTTATGCAGAGGGAATCACAAGAACAGCCGTGCTGGATCAGCCTGCAAGTGGGACCCACTCAGAAGCACTGCTGCCTCCGACTGTGCAGTCTGAGCATAGTCCTCATGCCTAGCAGCCACAGACAGCCTCATCTTCCACCCAGCTGCTAAAGATTTTCTATTTCATCTGGCCTTATAACCTGGTGGGTTTATTTTGTTTTAACCTGAATCATCCATTTTTATTCTGATGCACTGTTTACTGGCTTTTGGTAATAACTATGCCAGGGACGCGGGTGGTGCTGTGGGTTAAACCATAGAGTCTAGGACTTGCCGACCAGAAGGTCGGTGGTTCGAATCCCCGTGACGGGGTGAGCTCTCATTGCTCGGTCCCTGCTCCTGCCAACCTAGCAGTTCGAAAGCACATCAAAGTGCAAGTAGATAAATAGGTACCTCTCAGGCAGGAAGGTAAACGGCGTTTCTGTGCGCTGCTCTGGTTCGCCAGAAGCAGCTTAGTCATGCTGGCCACATGACCCGGAAGCTGTACGCCGGCTCCCTCGGCCAATAAAGCGAGATGAGCGCCGCAACCCCAGAGTTGGCCACAACTGGACCTAATGGTCAGGGGTCCCTTTACCTTTACCTTTTATGCCTGGGTAGCTCAGTTGGTTAGAGCATGATGCTGATAATGCCAGTTGCAGGTTCAATCCCCGCATAGGACAGCTGCATATTCCTGCATTTCAGGGTGGGGGGTGGACTAATTGTAGGACATCTATGATAACTGACTACCATTTAATACATTTTTCATCTTATCATTTTTTGGTAATATTTTTTATATGTTATTTCACTGTGTTGTTGGTCATTTTAGGCACTGAGTACAGAAAAGCAGGATATAAATTCTTACAACAAACGGATAAATTGACAAAGAATCATGCAAGTCACACAAGCTTCACCTCCCTGGCACTGTTGCTCCAGATGCCAGCCACAGCCCAGAGACTGGTGCACTCTACACCATGGGTAGGCAAACTAAGGCCCGGGGGCCGGATACAGCCCAATCGCCTTCTAAATCTGGCCAGCAGATGGTCCGGGAATAAGTGTGTTTTTACATGAATAGAATGTGTCCTTTTATTTAAAATGCATCTCTGGGTTATTTGTGGGGCATAGGAATTTGTCATTCCCCCCCACAAAAAAAATATAGTCCTGCCCCCCACAAGGTCTGAGGGACAGTGGACCAGCCCTCTGCTGAAAAAGTTTGCTGACCCCTGCTCTACACCATGATCTGCTTACATTTTAGCCCTTCCCTAAGCAATTGCATAGTCTGAGGTCCAGAAGGGACGAACTGCTTCCCTTGCCCAGCAATTGCTGGTGATTCCTCTTACCCAGATAGGCTCCGTGATTTTTCAGCTCCTCTGGGAACTCCTGGAGGTAGGATTCTCGGTGAGGAACGACTTTGCCGCTGCTGGTCTCCTTGAGGACTGCTCCGTTCCAGTCGTAGGCCCCCACAGCTCCAAGCAAAATCCCATCCTGGTCATGGGGGAAGACAAAGGAGCTATTGGCAATTTCTAAGGGCTCAACCACACTTTTGCTTGAGCTGTATTTTGATTATATTGTGTACAGTGGTGCCCCGCAAGACGAATGCCTCGCAAGACGGAAAAACCGCTAGACGAAAGGGTTTTCCGTTTTGAAGTTGCTTCGCAGGACGAATTCCCCTATGGGCTTGCTTCGCAAGACGAAAATACCTTGCGAGTCCTGAGATTTTTTTGCTTTTCCCCCTTTATCTAATCTGCTAAGCCTTTAATAGCCTTTAATAGCCTTTTAGCAGCTAATCCCCTAAGCCTTTAAGCCTTTAATAGCCGCTAAACAGCTGATAGCGCTAATAGCGCTAATCCGTCAATGGGCTTGCTTCGCAAGACGAAAAAACCGCTAGACGAAGACTCTTGCGGAACGGATTAATTTCGTCTTGCGAGGCACCACTGTACTGATTAATCCCCCAGGGTCCAAGAGCTTTCTTTGTTTTTCCCTGGCTGTGACTTACAAAAATCCCATTTTACCCACTGATTTAAAGCTCACATGCCAAATTTCCCTCTGGAGTGTCTGATAAGATCTGATTTAATGGATAAAAATGGATTTTTGCAAGTGGCAGCCATGGAACAATGAGAAAAGCTCTCAAACCAGGGGAATTAATTGGTACACAGTATGGGTCAAGTACAAGTATGAATGAGCCCTAAGATATTGGTACATGTATGCTTGAGGCATACACACACAGAGACAAGTTTGACATTTCTACATGCTAAAGATCTCACCTCCGGCTGTGACACAAGAAAGCACCAGCATTTCAGTGAAATTTTCTCCTAAAACTGTATACACATTTGTTGCAAAGCAATTCCTAATATAATGTATTTTTGTATGCTGTTTCCACAAATATATGCCTCTCTGAGCACACTTTACCCTAGCATATGCATTTTTGCACACATTACTTGACTAAAGAACTGCATTGCAAAATTAAGAGAAGTGTGGTTTGATACGTTTAAATTACTGTAGATTCCGGCGTATTAGGTGATTGGGCGTATAAGACGACCCCCAACTTTTGCTGTTCAGTTTTAGAGTTTTAGAGTTATAGAGTTTGAGCGCCGCCAGGGGCAGAGCGCGTACCCATCCGCTGCCTCTGCCGTTGCAGCATCAGCAGCAGCCCGAGGCAAGGTGTTTGGCAGGCGGGTGAGCGCTGCGCTCGGAAGGACTTTCCGCGTCCCCTTCTGTGGGGAGGGAGGAGGAGCGATGGCAGAAGGGGTGCCTCTGCTCACCAGCTCCCTCTCCTCCTTCCCAACATGTATAAGACGACCCCCAACGTTTGGGGTGATTTTAAAAAGTCGCCTTGTACGCCGGAACATACGGTTTGTAGGGTTGCTTTTGGATATGAAGTGAATCAATTTGCACCCCTATCCATATCGCTATCCTCAAACTTTATTCATTTTCTACCTTTCTTCTATCTAGAGACTTAGAATTGCATACAGAATAGGGTGAGGAATTATGGTATAAAGTGTGTGTGCTGAATTTTCCTAACAGGCAATTCTGGGAGACTCTTTGTATGTGGTAGAGCTCATCTTCCTGAGCATGTTGGTGTGTGTTAGGCCTTTGCTGCAATAAAGAGCTTATCCACACTGGTTTGAGCTTTAAAGCTTTGTGTCTGAATGCCCCGAACTTCCCACATGAAAACCTGCTCTTTAACATTCAATCAGAGCAAACATCGCTTCGGGTTTTCCATAATTGCCTTTTGCTCCAATTCAGCTTTAAAGAGCGGGTATTTGCGGGGAAAGCTCCAGATCAATAAAAAAGGGTGCTCAGACATGGAGCTTTGAACTGTGGACTTTGCCTGGAAAGAGCAGAGGAAAGATCAGTGTTGATAAGTCCTAAATTAGATGCTGAATCATTGATGGCCGGAATATTAGGCAATTGATGTGTAATTTTGGGAGCAGTTTGGCAGTTTCCTTCTTCTTGGCTCTCGCGTGTCCTGGTCTCTGTCCCTCAAAAGGAACAGCCACCCGCACAGCTTCCCTTGGCATTCGACCACTGGCATCGCTTTTGGTATTGTTATTTAAAACCGTCCAGCACATTGGCTTATAATCTGCATTTTAGCTACAGCGAGAGAAGCTTCCAGTATTTAAAGGAGCTCTGGGAATGTGCAAGAAAGCCTCTGCCAAGTCAGCAAGTGAAATATTCTGAGACTTGCCAGTTCCTCCAGACTTGTCAATTTTGGCAGTGCAACTTTAGAAAAAACACACACCAGGGAAAAAAATCCCCACCAGCATCAGCTCAGTCCTTGTGAAAAGAGCAAAGTAAATCAATTTATAATCAAAGCTCCCCTTCTGGCCAAAAACTACCATAGGCTGAGAGTAAGGCTGTCACTGTTTCTTTCATTATGGCCAGAACTCCTGTGTCTTCAGCAGCAGTAGGGTAGGCAGAGATTCAACTGGTGTGGCTTTGTCTAGCATGGAAATTGGGATACACCTACTGGTTGGGTTTTTTTGCATGTCAAGCAGCTACATAGAAGGAACCAAGAGTTGTTCCCTGAGTCCTTGCAGAAGAGGAAGAGGCGCAACTCTCAGAAACTCTCAGTAACTTCCAGGCCTTCTTTGGAAGGCATCTGGATCTGTGGGTGCACTCATACCATACATTTAGAGCACATTTAGGCTTCCCCCAAAGAATCCTGGGAACTGTAGTTTGTTTGCTCTGTGGTAGGTAAATTGCAGTTCCCAGGAGTAAAGGCAAGTGCTTTAAAAGTCTGGTGCGTGAAAATCCAAATGGCAACTCCCTGCCCCTTGTAATTGGTTTTTCTATTAACTTCAACATCCAACCATTTCTCGCCACTTCAAGTCTCTCATAACCTGCTGCTTCATAGGAGAGTCAGTCTTAGGAAGTCTTGTCCATGATGCCAAGAACAATCCAGCCCAGAGATGGCAAAAATATATACTAAAAATGGCTTCATCTAAATTTTCAGTCAACACATTCTCAGAAATAAATGGAGGAGCCATTCCTTGGGATCACTTTTCACAAGGAGCCAAATGAAAACATATCTGAACATTCCTGGCCCCTCGCTCAATGCTTTTGTTTCAAATTGCATCAGGAAATCAGCTTTTTTGGCCCACGGAGAAGCTGAGAATCTCAACGGCTTCCAGTTTTGGGTGCATAAATAATCCAGGTATCATCTGCTACCATACATGGGCCTTTAGATGCCCCCATCCATCACAACCGAAAAGCTCTCCACATGCCAAAGCCACATGCCAAAGCCACATGAATCATGGTGGGGAAATGACAAAAACAAGAGTGTTATTCACTCACTTCCACAATATGGGATGAAAATCCCGTCTGGGACATTTCGAGGCCAAAGGATATCTCATGCTTGTTGGTGCCTGCAGACAAAAGGGAAAGGCATTTCAGGAATTGTCAGACACCTTCCATGGGGAAAAAACAGTCAGATGCCAAACAGGGACAATGGGAAAGAAAAAATAATAATAATGAACTACCGCTTCTGAGCATAATTTTACAGCATTAAGTGCTTGGTACGGAATTTCTGCAGTTTGGGGAATTAGGGGTCTGGAATTGACAGAACAGGAAGTAGAACACTGGTGAACTCGCATGAATCAAATTTTAACCTATGCTTTCTGAAATCTGGAACCAACTTCCACATAACTTCACAGCTTCACCTCTCAAGACTGAGAGGTGATAGGACAGCCACCTTCAAATACTTGTCACGTCAGGTGGAAGATGGAGCAAGCTTCTTTTCTGCTGCTCCAGAGGGTAGGACTTGAACCAACAGAGTCAAATAACAAGAAAGGAAATTCTGACTAAACATCAGGAAGAGGCTAAATATTTCTGAGGCTAAATATTTCTGTCTCAAATTTAGTCCTCCACATTTCTGCAACAGTTAGAGGGTTTTATTATTATTTTTAAAGCCCTTATAAAAATTCATTGGTGTTTTAGTGAAACACATGTTTGCATGCAACTGTGCCCAATATGCACATTTCTGCAAAAGGACTGACTGGCGTGACCTGCCTTTCAAAAGTGTGACAGGTGAGATGGAGAAACTTGAGGCAGTAGCAAACTCTGCAGCTCACCTTCCAAGCTGAAAATCCTTTCCCCCAGAGCGTCCACGATATCTTTGAGAGCAGCTTCATCAGTGACATTAAAAAAATGTTTTTCATCTGGGTCACTCGCTATATATTTGATTTCTTTCAGGAAGGCTTCAGGGTTGATCCCTCTTCTGTTATAATAGCCAAGAACCTGTATTAGAAAGAAAAAAGATGTGCCTCATATTTTTTTCTGCAGAATGAAAGGCATTTGTCAAGAACATTCCTGCGCGAGGTTAAGGGCTCATCCAGATTTCCGCTCGTCTCACTGCTTTCCCTCAGAGAAACTCACTCTTTACCAATGAATTAGAACAAATGTCAGTTGGCTTTTCCAGCACTAAAGAGCTGAATCTGCCCACCTAAGGTCTACTGAGAGTGGCTCCTATAGGAAGAAGACCTTTCCAAGGCTGCTATCCCTAATGGTTTAAAACTAGAAATGATAGGGATTAAAACTGGGGGCTTCTACAAGCAATGCCATGTGTCTGCTATACCTTTGGCACCAAAATGAACTTACCGTATTTTCCCGTGTATAATACACCCCCATGTACAAGATGCCCCCTATTTTTGAGGACTCAAAATTAAGAAAATGGGGGGAGATTGCCCAGAGTCGATGAGCTTTTTAAAGGGAGGATTGCCAAAAATAGCTCACCCGCCTGAGCTACGCTGCTTCTCACACGCATCGCAAAACCTGTTCCCTCACCGGCAAAAGCAGGCAATTGCCCACCCATTTGCTGCAGTGGCAGCCAATCAACAACAGCCCTTTCCACAGCCACCAATAACGCACCCAATACCCACTGACAATCTCCGGGTCGCAGAATGAACCAATCCCACGTCCCCCAGATCCACTACCCATGTATAAGACGACTGCCAATTTTTGACATACTTTTTGAAGAAAAAACCCTCGTCTTATACAAGGAAAAGTACGGTACTTCTATGTCTGGGGAGAAAATGCTAAGCCATGGTTTGTTTAGCCTAAGTGACGTTTCTTTGAAAGTCTGGACCCAGCCTCAACCATGGTTTGTTTTCTGGCAAGACCATGATGTTGCTGGATTACAAAAGTGTGGCTTGTTTTAACGATGGTTTGGCATTACCTCTGAACCAAACACCCTTGCTTAGCTAGGGTTTGTTTGGCCAGTTCACCCTGGATGCTCACCAAGCTACAGAGGGTTTAGGCAAGGGGAGACTGTAAGCAAGCCAAACTTTGGAGGGGAAAAAGCATGGCTTGTTTGCTTTTCTGTGCAGTGACTCATGGTTTGTTGAGCAACCATAGCTTAGCATTATATGCAAAAGCAACCATTGCCTCCCTGCCCTTTATAATAATAGCAACCCCCCACTATGTGTAATTAATGAAAGGGAAAACTGAGATGGAACTGCTAGATATGCATTGAGCCTAACACATAGTTGGCTCCCCGAGTGCACCTTTGAACACACTCCAGAAAGCGCTGCAAGATCCAGGGTTTCTCTGACAGTCAAGTAAATGTCAACTGCGATCCTCAAAAGCAGAATGTCTGAAAACCAGCACTGATGGTTTCACCGGTGGAGAGCCTGATCCTGACTCTACATTCACTCTGGAGCAATTTTGGCCAAAGCTCCCAGTAGGTGGTGCCAAAAGGAGACTCACCGCAACAGCGTATCTGGTGACATTATCTTTCTCGCTGCCTTCAATCACCTTCTCGAGGTCGGGGCTGTCGTGTGATTCTCCGTCTGTGATGACAATCATCACTTTCTTGGCGCCCTTGCGGCCGCCTTTCTGAAACGCCTCTGTGCTGAAATTCAAGAGATTATGGGGAGTTAACATTTCAGTTCTGTGGAAGTTTCCTTTGCAGATGAAGTGTGAATATCACAACATGTTCACAATGGCTGGTCTTGTTTCTGTGGAGATTTTTTAAAGAGCTGAAGAAGCATCTTGGGGAGAAACATGGCAACTGAGAGACAAAAGTGAGAAAGAGATTGTCTAAAATCTATAAGGAACCGTTTCTATTAGGTTGAATTGAATGTTTCAGAACTGAAGCATGCCAAAGTTGCCTTATATCTAGGGATGGGGGAGAATTCTGATTTGTTATATTTATTTATTTCATTGCATTTATATCCCCACCTTTTCCTGCAAGAAGCTCAAGATGGCTTATGTAGTTCTACTCGTATAACCCTCACCTGCGTCCCTACATAAGGGAAAATTGCTCTGCAAATAATGTGTATATTGGGAGAAATGTGTACTAAAATGCAGAGAAATTTTCATGAAGACTTAAGAAAAAAATCACAAACTGATTTGCAAGTGTAGAGAACTGAAGAATGAAAAAATGAGAATCTGAATTTGAAATATCCATGCAGTCTTACATGCCAGCTCACTTTCATTCAGGCAAGGGATTTACTGAGATCAGAATGTCCCATTACTTGTATAGAGCCATTCACTTTGTTTACCTGATGCTGCTGAAAAGTAATTGTGTATGATATGACAAAGAAGATGCATTTAGTTATGTTATTTTAAAGCTATCCGAACTAGAGTCTTTTTACAATGGAGTAACCTCATGAATAGGGACGCGGGTGACGCTGTGGGTTAAACCACAGAGCCTAGGACTTGCCGATCAGAAGGTCGGCGGTTCGAATCCCCGCGACGGGGTGAGCTCCCGTTGCTTGGTCCCAGCTCCTGCCAACCTAGCAGTTTGAAAGCACGTCAAAGTGCAAGTAGATAAATAGGTACCACTCTGGCAGGAAGGTAAACGGCATTTCCGTGTGCTGCAAGCGGCTTAGTCATGTTGGCCACATGACCCGGAAGCTGTACTCCGGCTCCCTCGGCCAATAAAGCGAGATGAGCGCCGCAACCCCAGAGTCGGCCACGATTGGACCTAATGGTCAGGGGTCCCTTTACCTTTAACCTCATGAATACAAAAAGATACCAGCCATGCACAAGAATGTCCTTTGGGAGATATTGAAGGGGAAAAATAGGTATATAGAAAGGAGACTTCCTGGATGCCAAGATCCAGGTTTGGAGCAAGTACTCTTCGGTGAGAGAACCCCAGCAGAGATTTAAAATCACAAAATATGCAGAAAAGTAAAGAGTGGAAATATAGGTTGTTAGATCTTTAAAATATGCCCTTGTGAGTTCCAGAACTTTCCTCTTCCCCTAGCATAAAGAAGTACCACATATTTGGCAAGTTACACATGGTTTACTTACAAATCCTCTAAAGGTCAGATTCATGTGCATTCAGAAAAAGTTGCGCAGGCAGTAAAACTTGGCTTAGTCACAGTGGGGAAAGTTCACAGTGGGGAAAGTCCAGGAACTCAAGAGAGGTTGAGTTCATCAAGGTAAAAATAAGCTTGATTACCTTGCTCCCTCAGTGATGGGGAGTGACTTGGCTAAGCCTGTCAGGGCAGCTTACCTTATGGTATTAACCCCTTCATGCACTAATTAGACTTAAGCATGTTGGTTGTATGAAGCCTGTTGTCCCACATTGCTCACCGAGCGAATTCTATCCCGAAGGCCGTCCGGGTCTCTGTGCCTCCTCTCTGCTCAATGTGCCTGGCAGCTTCCACCACATCCTTCACAGACCTGTAGTCATTCAAATGAAACTCATGCACGGCATCTTCTCCATACTGGACGACTCCTACCTGGAATGGGGGAAAAGAAGAAGGAGCAGATGGTTTGTGGATCCTTTAAGGCAAAGGTAGCCAATGTGAGGCCCTCTGGATGTTGCTGGACTACAATACCCATCACCTTTGACCAATAGTCATGCTGGCTCAGTCTAAAGCCCAACAATATCTGATTACACAAGCTTTAATATATTTTGATACGACATTAATACAACACATATTTAGTAAAATGAAGTGCATAATAGCACAGATTGCTATGTGAATAACGCACAACATGTTAACACGCTCCAATTTCTGAACAAACCTGCCATGATTTATTTTAACTTGCAGTCTTATACTGTACACATGATTCCTGCATTTAGCTCTTATTCCCGCATTGCAGGGAGCTGGACCATACAATCCTTCCAAGTCTACAGTCCTATGATTCTACATCCGATATGTTGCACTTATTACACCTGTGATAAAAACATAAGAAGAACCTGCTGGACCAGTTCAGTGGCCCGTGTAGTTCAGCATCCTGTTCTCACAGAGGCCAACTAGATGACTGTGGGAAACTGGCAAGCAGGATTCAAACATAAGAGCACCCTCCTCTCCTGCCGTTTCCAGCAACTGGTATTCAGAAACATAGCCATCCTGGCTTGTAGCCATCAATAGCTTTCTCCTCCATGAATTTGTCCAATCCTCTTTTGAAGCCACCCAAGTTGGTGGCCATCACTGCCTCCTGTGGGAGGGAGTTCCATAGTTTAACTATGTGCTGTAGGGGGCTGGACTAGATGACTGTTGGGGGTCCCTTCCAACACCACGATTCTATGATTCATCCCAAAGGTTTGACTTTTGCGAAGTCTTTTGCCAGAGGTCAGACCCCTGCCTGCTCCCCTGGCCCAACGCAGCCCAATGCATTTGCTTCGTCCTGGGTAGCGTCTCTTTCAAATGCAAACAATATTTGACTGATTCTTGAAGAAAAGCATGGTGCGTTGGCAAGGGTGAAGGTTCCTAGCATGCCAGCTTGGAAAAAGCTATAAAACAAAAGATGAGGATGTGCTGATATGAGAGAAATTCCTCACATGTGTTTTCTCACCTGTATTTGGCCTGGTCCAATGTAAAATTTCTCCAAGATGCTGATCAGGAAATTCTGTACTTCCACCCAGGGGTAGATGCTGTTGGAACCGTCCAGGACGATAATTATATCCATGTATGTCTGGCATCCTGCGATAGAACAGGCAGGAGATCATTAAGAGATCTTGGCTACTTTCAGGAAGCGGATAAAGGCTTGCCAATATATATATATATTTTCTTTGTCTCCTTTGGAGCAAGAAAGTCCTGAATCTTAGGCCAATCTTTCTCCTTTCCTGTTCTGAAATCTTATCTCCTGGGTTCTGCTGTGTTTCTTCTTTATTGAGGTTCCCTAAGGGTATATATATATCTATATTACATGCTTAATTGCTTTTAAAGTCTTCAAGAAACTCTGGGAACTGCAGTTCTGTGTGGAGGCGAAGGATAAAAAAGTCTCAGCACCTCAGCAATGTACAGTCCGCAGGATTATTAGGAGGGAGCTGCAGAAATTATAGTGGTGCTTATTTATTTGTTTCATAAAAGTTATACACTGCTTGATTCTTTTTTAAAAAAAAATTAAAACCTTTAAAGCAGTATACAAAAAAGAGAAAAATATCAACAAGAAAAAATAACAACAATAAATTAAGACTTCTGAAAAGTTAAAATAACAGCCACCTAACTACAGATTAAAACTCGCACCAACCTTCTTAACATCCGGGTAAAGGTAATGGTAATGGTAAAGGGACCCCTGACCATTAGGTCCAGTTGTGGCCGACTCTGGGGTTGCGGTGCTCATCTCGCTTTATTGGCTGAGGGAGCCGGCGTACAGGTCATGTGGCCAGCATGACTAAGCCGCTTCTGGTGAACCAAAGCAGCGCACGGAAACGCTGTTTACTTTCCCTCCAGAGCGGTACCTATTTATCTACTTGCACTTTGACGTGCTTTCGAACTGCTAGGTTGGCAGGAGCAGGGACCGAGCAACGGGAGCTCACCCTGTCACGGGGATTCGAACTGCTGACCTTCTGATCGGCAAGTCCTAGGCTCTGTGGTTTAACCCACAGCGCCTCCCGTGTCCCAACATCCGGGTAGGCTTGTCTAAACAAAAATGTTTTTAGCAGGTGCCAAAAAGAGTCTAGTGAAGGCACTTGCCTGATATCAATAGGCAGGGAGTTCCAAAGTGTAGTTGTTGCCACGCTAAAAGACCAAGTTCTTACAAATGTAGAACAGGGGTGATCTGGGACCTGTAATGGTTCCAGTTTTGACAATCAAAGCAGTTAAGTGGGCATATATGGGGCAAGGCGTTCTCTCAGATTGTTAACGGCTTTATATAGAAACAGCTATTGTTACAGTAAGGCTGTGTGCCCCTCTGGCCTGGCATAGGAACACCTGGATTCCACCAGTTTCTGGAAGGGGCAACATCACATACAACTCACCAGGGCATTGGGGTTGGGCCTCTGCAATATACTTGATCCCATAAAGGGGCCGTAGGGGGAGCATTGCTTGAGAAGCAGTAAAAGATGGTTGAAGCTACAGCAACTTTCTCCTAACTTATAGCATACTGAGAAGTGGACCCAACACCCATAGACTTCTGTAGGAACTTTTCTTTTTATAAAAAAACTACACTGTTTGCATTTTGCACCCTGTAACGTAAAGTCATAGATATCCAAAACATGTCCTTTTCTCTTTCTTTTGGGTCTGGAAGGAAAAGGTGTCTTTGCTTCGCTGCTGCAATTTTTACTGTTGCCGGCCCACATAATTCCCTTTGCTGTCCTGCTTCTATTCAAGCAGAGTTTCCTAGGCCCCCTCCCTCAAAGTGGTGCTGAACGCATTAGAGAACAAAAACCCCTCGTCTGGCAAAGTGAGAGAGTGAGAGAGAGGGGAGGGAGGGAGGGAGAGAGGGAGAAAGGTCTATATAACAGGCACATTCTCATACTCTGGAGCGCTGGAGCCACAGTCTTGGAGAATCTGAAGTTGGAGTTCACCCTGGAGCACATTCCTGTGGTGTAGTAAGAACTTCCGCACTCATGAGACCAGAGAGGGCTGCAAGCCTGTGTGAAGGAGGGAACAAAACAGGGAGGAAGGTTTTAGAACTGCTACTGTCGGTTGTTGCTGGGATAAATTCTTCAGGACACGGGACATGCCAGGAGTCTCTTTTAGATGTTTTAGCCAGGCCCAGAAGGCTAAAAAAGGGAGTCAAAGTAATACAGGCTAGAATTCTTGTGAAGTTTAAACCTCTCCTTCCAGCACAGTGCCTAGATTGGGATGGTCTTCTCAGTAGAGATGGATGGATCTGCCAATTTTGCTTTCTCTGGATGTGTGTGTGTGTGTGTGTGTGTGTGTGTGTGTGTATTCCAATCTACATTCACATCAGTTGGGGGTTTTCTTTTGTTAAAATCCTCCCAAAAAGTCACCTGCATTTTAGTGCGAACTTCTCCTAATATGCACACATTTTGCCAAGTGATTTCCCCTAATATAATACATTTTCTGTACAGTGGTACCTCAGGTTAAGTACTTAATTCGTTCCGGAGGTCTGTTCTTAACCTGAAACTGTTCTTAACCTGAAGCACCACTTTAGCTAATGGGGTCTCCTGCTGCATCCGTGCCGCCGGAGCATGATTTCTGTTCTCATCCTGAAGCAAAGTTCTTAACCTGAAGCACTATTTCTGGGTTAGCGGAGTCTGTAACCTGAAGCGTATGTAACCTGAAGCGTATGTAACCTGAGGTACCACTGTATGTCTAACGGATGACAAACAGTACCCTAGGATATGCATTTGGGCACACTTTACTTGGCTGGAGAACTGCATTGCAAAATCCAAAGAAGCATGAATTTTTGAAGGGCTGCTAATGTTTCAGTTTACATATATTCCAGAAAGTGTGAATTAGGTAAACTTGCCTTTAAATGCAAACTGAATTAGATTTCTTCCTCATTCCTATTCTCCCAGTCATTGGACTGATTTTGTGAAGAGTGGAAAGAGGAGGACTGGGGGTGGGCGGGCTCTGTGTGTCCGTACAAGAATGTGTGCTGCCTGAACCCATCATAGGCAAATGGCCCCCATAAGGTTCCCCAAGACTGAACGCAATCCTCAAACCCAAAATAAAATAAAATAAAGGGACTAGTCACTTCTGCTGTAGATCATTGGCTTGAGCGCAGCACCCCATGGAATTCAACTGGACTTAACTGTCCAGGGGTGAGTCAGGCATCATATAAAGATAGGGCACACACAAGTTTAAAGGGGTGTGTGTGTCACGTTGCCATCACCATGTTAACTTCCACTCTAAATGTGTTATTTTAAGAGAAGGTGGAAGGTGGAACGAGGATGAGAAAGATGGAACTATGTAGCTTTTTATTTTTATTTTAAACTTGGTCCTGTGTTGCAGGTTGGGGTTAAAAATGAGTCTTAGGCTTGTCACGACAGAAGACGGCAGCAACTCAGAGAGCATCTGTAAGCCTACATGCAAATCATTCCTTACCAAAAAGCTGTTGTCTTTGGGGTTTGTGGTCAAGCTGAGACCCAGACGCATATTATCCTTGCGCTCCGACACATTGGAAAGAGTTACTCTTCCTTGAGAAAAGAATGCCAGAGTTAGGCATGTAGTGGAAAGGAGGAACAGCTGTAGAACAGGGAGCTTCAGAAAGTGTTTGTGCAAACTCTTTGCATTTCCCTCTAATGCTTGGTTTTTCAGGAAGAGGGGGAGCAATCAGACCACGTATAAAACTGAAAACAATGTGCACTTACAGGAAGGGCCATAGCTCAGTGGCAGGGCATTTGCTTTGCATGCAGAAGGTACCAGGTTCAAATCCTGACATCTTCAGGTAGTACTGTGAAAGGTTTCTTGCCTGAAACCTTGGATAATGGCTGCCAGTTAGTGTAAACAATACTGAGCTAGATTGATCAATAGTCTGACTCAGTCGAAGGCAGCTCCCTTCACTTACTCTCCCCATTTGAACTTGAGAACTTGGTTAACTGGTAGCATCAGTCTAAAACAGCATCAGTCTGAAACTGAAAAGGAACATTCAGAGCTGGTTGCCACCATGCTGTTAGGTCACCTACATGCTTAACCAGCATGCTTAACTCTAATTAATGCATGAAGGGGTTAAGACAATAGAGTAAGCTGTCCTGCCACGCTTAGCTAGGTCACTTCCCCTCCTCTTAGGAGGAAGGGTTGCCAAGCTCTCTGTTCTCTCATATTCCTCCATGTGAACTCTGCCAGTAAGGAGGTCTAAGCTGGATGCTCCAGGCTTAGACTGTGGGACTAAAGCAAGCCATCTTTCTGTTTCTATGCAAATTATTTAGAAACATTTACCATTTTTGGAACCTAAGTTATACTGCCTGTGTTTTGTTGCTGCTGTATGGAAAAGCACATGAATCTGACATTTGAAGAGTTTATAAGAAAACAATTTTAAGCTTATCAAACATGTGGTCTCTTTCTATGCTAAAGGAAGTGTGGAATTTTAGGTACAACTTAGAAGGGGGTATTTTAAAGGTCTAACAGCCTATATTTCTACACTTTGCAGAATGTTTTGTTATTTTAATTCTCTCCTAGGGCTCTCTCACCAAACAATACTTGCCCCGAGCCTGGATAGAGGCATCCCAGGAATTATCCTTTTTATTATTTTACCATATCTATTTTTCATTTTAATCATGTTAACCAACAAGATTGGCATTTCATGGAGGCCTGCTGGTTTCACTTCCCACTGAAAAATGTTCCAGGGCTATAAGGGTAGAGTTTAAAGACAAAATAGAGCTGATCTAGTGGCAATCTTTTTTACCTATGCACAACTCAGAGAAGTCATTGGTAGCTATGGATGTGAAGACACGTGTTCATTTGAGTGACCCTTAGCAGTGGAGCACATACAGAAAAGATGCTCAAGGTGGTAAATTTTATCCCATGGGTTTACCTAGATTGAGCTTGGAACAGGTGCTGTTGGTTTCACCATTCACCGAACACTTGTAGACATCTCCAGTCTTCTGTTGCCCACTGGTCTCATAAGGGGCTCCAACCACCAGCCTGGAGGGAAACAAAAATTTGAGGGGGGGGGGTAGGAGGAGATCTTTTATTGGCCATTTCTGAACATCACACATTTGATCACAAACACTGAAAAGCCTTATCACTGAATGGTCTAACAAAATATAGAATATAGCTACCTTATTGAAATATACAATAATTTATAGAGATCAACTATAAAAAATGTATAGAATGGTGGGGTATTTTTCTGACGTTTTGGAATGTCAAACACCAAGACAATATACAACCATATAATTGTAACTAATAAAAAGAAGCAGCATTGCATTATTGTATTGTCTTTGTTGGTCCTTCATGGTCAGTTGTAGCTTACATTATTTAAAAATATGTTATAATAATAATAAAAATCAAACAAGCATAGAAATCCTCCAAATTGAGTGTATGCATTGGAATTGATTACAATTACACCATTTCCTTGCAGTCTGCTCCAACCCCCAAAACATTATAGCATTCCTTCATTCAGCCTTCACATTGGCATAATTTTGAAAATAAAATCATAAAAGGGAGGTGGGAACCATCCATAAAACATTGGCAATCCAGATACATTAAGCACATGAAAGTATTGCACCAAATAGCAATGCATTGTAGCCAACTCAAGGAAAATCCATTGAAATCAATGGGCCTAATTTAGACAGCTGAGATTCCTGCATTGCAGGGGGGTTGGACTAGATAACACTTATCTAGGGTCCCTTCCAACTCTGCAATTCTATAATTGTAGTCGTGTCCATTGATTCCAATGGGCATTCTCTTATTGGAACTAGCATTGGATATAACCAGGAGTGGCTAACTTGCAGGCCACAGGCCACATTAGTCCCCACCCTCAAAAAAGGGTTTAAATTTTAAACCAAGGTGAACTGAAAATACGTTGTCGGGGTTTGGTAGAGAACAGATAATAAATATCTCAAGTGTGCTGTGTATGCACCTCTGGATAGGGCCCATGCATTAAGCCAATGCTGGGAACCTGTGGCAATCCAGCTGTTGACAGACTACAATGCCCATCATCACTATTGGCCTTGCTGGCTTGGGTTGATGAGAGTCAAGAGTCCAAGTTCATCTGAAGGACTACAGGTTCCCCATCCTTGCACTGAACCTTCCGTCCAGTTCCCCTTAAGAAACAAACAGCCTCCCCAAACCTTCCAATATTTGGACACTGTCTATTGCCTTGCTAGACCACATCATGCTGTAGTGTAGAGGATGCTTGCAGTCACTTTTGGATGAGAGAAGAGAGGAGATTCATTCCCTGCCCCCAACCACATTTAATATTTAAGGACAGAGTTCATTCAACTCCAGCAGAACCCCACAACAGCCGGGAATCATAAAGAAATCTAAACAACGACTAATTCCTGTTTGGAATGGAGATCTTTTTCAAATCACCCGGATCGAAATCTGGCAGGAGTCGAGAGTCTGGGGACTAAATATATCAGCTGATTAAAAAGAGTTTCAGTGCAGAGCAGGAAGCAACATCAGTCAGTGTAATTTCTGGGAAACAAGAGTTGGTCTTTATATATTACATGGTGGATTAGATGGAAGGTCCCCCTTATCTTTGATGGAGGATCTGAACCAGGGCTTGGAATCCAGTCAAGCATTTCCTCCCCACCCAGAAGAACATGAGGTACCACCCATTGGTACCCTGTCGGGGTTGGGTAGACTTGTACAAGCTGGGCAGGCCTTGTTTGGCTGAATGCTTCCCATGGAGTGTGCTGCCTTCTGTTGCTCATGACCTGCTTTTGATGCTGCTAGAGAGCATCATTGTATGCTACTGGAGAGCACTGGCCCAAGGCTGGTCCCCTGGCAGAGACAGGAGAGGAGCAAGCAAGGCTCATTGCTCTTTCTACTATTTTTCTAATATGGGGGCACACAGCTTTTTCTAATATGCTATATGTTCATATGATTTCTTGTCTTTTCTATAATGTGTATATATATATATATGTGTGTGTGTGTGTGTGTGTTCTTTAGTGTGAGACCTGTTAGGTGAAAGGCGACTAATAATTTCCATAAATAAATAAGACATTTTGCTGCCTGGGACAAAGGACAAGATATGGAACAAGTTTGTTTCCTGCTGCTCCTGAGGGCAGGACCCAAATCAGTGGATTCAAATGACAAGAAAAGATATTCTGAAATAATAATAATAATAATAATAATAATAATAATAATAATGTATTATTTATACCCCACCCATCTGGTTAGGTTTCCCAATCCACTCTGGGATGCTCCCAACAGAATATTTAAAACACAATAAAACATCAAACATTAAAAGTTTCCCTAAACAGGGCTGTCTTCAGATGTCTTCTAAAAGTTGGTTGTTTATTTCCTTGACATCTGATGGGAGGGCGTTCCACAGGGCAGGTGCCACTACCTAGAAGGCCCTCTGCCTGGTTCCCTGTAACCTCACTTCTTGCAGTGAGGGAACCACCAGAAGGCCCTCGGAGCTGGACCTCAATGTTTGGGCTGAACGATTGGGGTGGAGACGCTCCTTCAGGTATACTTAACATTAGGAAGAACTTTCTAAGGCTAAGAGCTGTTTCGCAGTGGAACAGATGACCTCAGAAGGTGGACCACTGCAGGTATTTAAGATGAGGTTGCATGGCCATCTGTCAGGGATTCTTTAGCTATGATTGCTGCATTGCAGGAGATTGACCATTGGAGCTCCTTGCAGCTCTACAATTGCTGCTGCTGCTGTTGTTATCTACAATCCTATGATTCTATGATATCCTCCACCACACTCAAAGGCAGCAGGTTAGCTTAGGGCAGGGAGGACACATTCAGTTTGGCCCTACAACTCTCTTCCCTTCAGTATCTTCTGCCTTAGGCAGCTGCCTCACTTTGTCTAATGGTAGGGCTGGCTCTAATACTGAAATACATCCCTCATTCATGCAAAAGCCCTACCAAGGAATGTTTCTTCTACTTAGTGTTGTTGCAGGGAATCAATCAGGGATGCCAAATATCCCTCTGTATGGAGTCATGTGCCACATCTGGAATCCATGAGGGACCACCACCAGCTGTTCCTCTGGATCTAGCTATGCTCAAGCTAGGCAGCTTTTCTGGAGCTCTTTCCTTTGGAAATGTCCAGGCTCTCTGCTTCCAAAAGAGAGTGGCGGGTAAGGGACTGGTAGATGGACTGTTTCTCAGTTTCATCTCTGAGACTGAGCCTGCCCCAATGATGATGATGATGATGTCATGCAGTCCTGACGTAGGACAAACCTCCGGGAAAGATTCCCCACAAGCCTTCGCATTATGGATTCCTTTTTACTCAGAAGCGAAAATCAAAGTGCACTTGTTTTCAACCCAATCCCAACATCACCACCAGGCTACAAAGGTAGCAACTGAAACGAGCATCTTATTTTGAATTGCAAATAGGACGTCCAGCCAGCTAGTGAAGGAGGAGAGGAGATAAAGTTTTCAACAAACCGTGTTGACACACCTCGTGGAGAACTCCTCAAAAGCAGTTGTCAAGGCTCTGACATCTGCAGCAGCTAATCCCCATCTCCACCTTCAAAGTAACTGGGGAAATATTTCCATGGACGCTAAGTTTCCATGAGGCTCAATCACCACCGCTCTTTAAAAACTTAAAGTTCAACCCCAATGGAAAGCAATGTGTCATTATCCAAGAAAGACAAAAAAAATCATGTGGCTTCCTTTCATTTTAGGACTTTGCCTCCTTCATTGTCATGACTGTTATAGGTTTTGGTTTCCTCCATAGCTCTAAGCTTGAATGACTCACTTTTTAATGCTTTATATAGCTTTGGAATTGCGATGCCTCTGGAATTGGGTGGGAGAAGTTTAGGCTTGCTTAGGCAGCATTATTAAAATTCTAGAGGCAACCACAGAATGTTGTTGGATATCCAATCCATTCCCTCTTGAAATGAAGGGCCCTGCAGGAGAGGAGAAGACTCTGCATAGGTGGCTGTTGGATTATCACTATTTTAAGAGACTTATGCCAAGTTTCCTTTCATTATCATCAGTGGGCCTCTCAATGCAGCTTTCTTCTGGGCCAGAGTTTGCCCCCTGTGGGTGGCACTGTGGGTTAAACCACAGAGCCTAGGACTTGCCGGTCAGAAGGTTGGCGGTTTGAATCCCCGCAATGGGGTGAGCTCCCGTTGCTCAGTCCCTGCTCCTGCCAACCTAGCAGTTCAAAAGCACGTCAAAGTGCAAGTAGATAAATAGGTACTGCTCCGGCAGGAAGGTAAACGGCGCTTCCATGTGCTGCTCTGGTTCTCCAGAAGTGGCTTAGTCATGCTGGCCACATGACCCGGAAGCTGTACACTGGTTCCCTTGGCCAATAAAGCGAGATGAACGCCGCAACCCCAGAGTCGGCCATGACCGGACCTAATGGTCAGGGGTCCCTTTACCTTTACCTTTATGGGTTCCCTAATTCATGCTAGGTCAGAGAACATAAATAGAGCCTACTGGATCAGGCCAGTGGCCCATCTAATAGAGCATCCTGTTCTCACAGTGGCCAACTAGATGCCTAAGGGAAACCTGCAAGCAGGATCCGAGCACAAGAGCCCTCTCCTCTCCCGTGGTTTCCAACAACTAGTTACAGAAGCATTATTGCCTCTGACTGTGGAGGAAGAGCACGGCAGTTCCCCACACTTACACAGCAAAGGGAAAAGTAATAATATTTAAACAATCAATGTTTATTTAATTACTTCATTCATGCAGCGGTTTGACTTCATCCCCAGAGGCATACTTCATTGTCTCTCGAGACAGGCAGATGCCAACAACAACTTCATTAAATACCATATCTTACTGCTTCTGATACCGCCTAGAAACCATAATCATCAGCACAATATTGATATGCCGCTCTTTTGCCCACCAGTGGCATATTAAAACCATAAAATGTCCAATAAAATGTCACCATCAATCAAATCCATGTAAGGCAGAAAATCACAACACACAAGGGCCAGAAGATACTGTCTCCTGGTCAGAAGTACTCTTGCTAATCCTACTTTCCACACTCTTAGGGTCTAGAAACATGAACTGATGATGAAAAATACTTAAAAACAACAAGCCAACTTACCAAAAGTGGAACAATTAATGATGTTATTAATTGTGAATGTATGCATTATTTAGTATTCACCATGAACAAAAAAAAAATAGTCTATTTAAGATATTTATTTTCAGGCAAACCTTAACAAGTGGTCTTAATACGAAATATTAAAAAGCATCAATTAAAACTATAGAAAGAAATGACAAGTTACAGGGGGAAAACATTCTGGATCAACTGCAGGACCTAGGTCAGGGTGGTCCAGTGCGTGGCCTGAGGGCTAAGACCTCTTTTGGTGGCCTTTGGCAACATTCAGTGCCCGCCCCACTAAACTCTCGCTGCCTTCCCAGAGCCAGATAAGAGAGGTGTTGGGCTTTGGGAAGGAGGCACGAAGGCTCTGGCAGGGTCCTAGAGTACCCCTGCCTCTTTCCCAAAGCCTAGTTAGCAGTTTCCCAGCTTTGGGAAAGAGGTGGGTGGGGCACCAAATTGTGGGCTCTTTCCCCCACCCCATGTGACAAGGCAGCGTGCGGCCTGTGGGTTCTGTGTTGAAGTACTTTTGCAGCCCACTTGGTATGAAAGGTTGGATTGCCCTGACCTAGATAGTCATCAGCTCACCTGGCTGATGTAATTGGCTACTTAGGAGCATCTGAGTGCCAGAGAATAGGCTGAATTCCTTGAAGGAAACCTGTGCTGTGCTTGAGGTGTGAATTACTAGCTGGTTGCTGGACCCTCCAAGCAAATCTTGCTTGCAGCAAAGCTCTTCATCTGCAAAACCCCACTTGCTAATTAGACACCTCAGAGTGATGATATACAAAACCAGATTCTTTTGTTGTAAAGGCATCAAAGCATGGCTGTTTTAAAGCCTTTTCTCTCTCTTGCAGAATTAATGTAGTTTCCCCCCCTGTTTTCTCTTAAATATCTAGCATAAAACCAAACCAGCTGTGATGGGTCTGGTTATTTTTTCCAGTCTCTGTGTAGCATGCAATGAATGGACAGAGAATGAAAACCACTTTTCTTATTTTGGCTCTTTGGACTTTGAAGCCAGAGGGACCCATTTTCAGCATCTACGCTTAGGGAAGGCCTGTAGGGAACTCTAGGAAATGTAGCTCTGCGAAGCGAATAAGGACCATGTGGGTGGCGCTGTGGGTTAAACCACAGAGCCTAGGACTTGCCAATCAGAAGGTCGGCGGTTTGAATCCCCGCGACGGGGTGAGCTCCTGTTGCTCGGTCCCTGCTCCTGCCAACCTAGCAGTTCAAAAGCATGTCAAAGTGCAAGTAGATAAATAGGTACCACTCCGGCAGGAAGGTAAACGGCGTTTCCGTGCGCTGCTCTGGTTCGCCAAAAGCGGCTTAGTTATGCTGGCCACATGACCCGGAAGCTGTACGCCAGCTCCCTCGGCCAGTAAAACGAGATGAGCGCCGCAACCCCAGAGTCGGCCACGACTGGACCTAATGGGCAGGGGCCCCTTTACCTTTACTTTAACAACTATTAGCACCCTTAACAAACTGCAGATCCCAGGTATTTAAAGTGATAGCAAAGCACTTTAAATGCTTGGTGTCAATGTGTCAAAGGCTGAAGAACTGTGTCTGGCTGAGAACAAGGTCTCTATGCCCTCCAGGGCAAATTTCACTGATGTCTGCTCCGTCTTGCAACTGCCACTTATTCCTAAATATTCCTTTGTCTACAAAAGAAGACAGGCCTGGTTCCTGGAGCCACGGGCAGAAGTGAACAATAACAGCAGCCAAAATGCAAAGAGCTCCTGAATTTCATTGGCATTTCAATTCTACATCTAATCAGCTGCTCACTGAAATAATAAACCGATGGGGGAAAGAGCTATACAGTTACACATGTTTAAAATACACACGTATATTGCATTTCCCAAAAAATATGTATGATTAATGTGAAAGACACCAGGGAGAGAAAAAAGAAATGGGTATTTTTGGAAAAGCAGACATGAAACAACAGAAGATCAGCTCGTTCTTTGCAATCAATGGAACAGTTAATCTCCGGCAGCAGCTCTGGAGCCACTAATTTATTCAAGATGGGGCTGGGCGGCAAATGAGAGCCGAGAAAGGGAGTGGGTCGCAAGGAGGGTTTCAATGGGTTTGGTTGGAAAGGAGGGGGTTGCCAACACCCACCCACCCACCCCTGGATTCAACTGAGTTTCCATTTAAAGGTGAACTTACTCAATTCACACTATCTGAAGCAATATGTTATCTTCACTCTGCTATTGATTTCACACGGTTCTTGGAAATTCGCAGCTTCTCCGAATTTTGCGACACAGTTCTCCAGCCAAGCAATGTGTACAAAATTGCATATATTGGGGTATTGTGTGCTTAACTGATGTATTTTAACTATTTTTTAAATTAGTTTGATTTTTTTAAATCTGTGTTTTGTAATGTAAGTGTTGGAAGCTGCAACTGAATCCGAGCTTGGGAAAAAGGTGGGAGATAGATAGATAGATAGATAGATAGATAGACAAACACACACACATATATATATACACACACACATTAAATAATATTGTAAGTATTAAGTGTGCTGGTGTGTGGGTGTGGGATTCACTCCCCAGCCTTTCTGGTACAATACCTCTTTCTTCAGTGATATGGAACAACATGGCTGCTCTCTTGGAATGGGCTTCTAAAAATCCACAAGACTTGAGCAAAAATTGGAATTCTTCCAATGTGCGTTGCAAAGAGAATTCCAGGGCAGGGTGTTATATTCTGTTGCGTTTATAGGCTGGATTTGAAAAAGGACATTAGGGGCTTATCACTTTCAGTCAGTTCCACCCCCTGCTCCAACCACCCTGGCTCAGCCATCTTTTCCCCAAAATAAAATAGACAGCATTGTGATTTGGGGTCTTGAACCTGCATTTCCACAAGTGCCTGCTGTGTTCAGATCAGTACAGGGATGCAGGTGCTGCTGTAAAACATTCTTATGCAAAGGTTTCCTTGCAGGATAATATACCAAATGAAACTGTTTCTTAAACGTATGATGAATTTTAGAAATAGCCCTTACAGCTGTCTCTCCCGCAATTGCAGTGGAGCATGTAGTCATCCTATTGCCTGTCTCAGGTGATTCTTTTTTTTTTAGTGTACAGAAAATGAATTACAGAATTCAAGAGTTGGAAGGAACCCAAAGAGTCATCTAGTCCACTCTCTGCAATGCAGGAATCGCAACTAAAGATGCAAAATGTGACCCCCGAGTCCCTTCCAACTCTACAGTACTATGATTCTATGTACCATACAGGTCATAATTGTGGCTCTCCTTTGTAACCATCTTTCGTTTTTAATTCCCACTTTCCCTTCCCTTACAAGCTCAAAGTAGTTTGCTTTTCCATTGTTTAGGGTTGTTTCACTCCAGTTCCAAGCTCAGGCCGTCTCCGAGCCTTGAGCCCAAGCTTATGCCTGTTTACTTGGAATTGAGCCTAACTGATTTCAATTGCTCCCAAGTCGGTGGGCGCAGAAACATGGTCGTCCTTGCCACTTTTTACAGCCTTATTAGTGAAGGAACTGTTTGTGGTTTGGGAAAGAGGTTTTGGGGTTTTGCAAGATGAAAAGAGCCACAGGCCTTGTGAGAAAACAAGCTTGGAAGAGTTGCTATGCAGGCCGCCCCATGACCACAAAGTCAGCAAACAACGTCTGAGCTGTGCTAACTAACACCTGTGAAACCAGACCGAGGCCATGTGGAAAATGAATTAGCCTTTCCTTGTTCAGGCCTGGCAATGTCTAGGCTCATATCGATAGGGAAAAGAAGCCAGGATTGATGGATGAGGACCCAGTTATTTCCATTTCAGAATGGGAAAAACCAGCATTTCATTTCTAAGAAAGAATGAGCAGGTGCAGGCAAGCATATTAGGGATGGGGAAGAAATCTGATTCAGTTCACATGTAAATGCAAATCAACCTAATTCACACTTTCTGATACAGGATGTAAACTGAAACACAGCCGTCCTTTGAAATTTGCGCTTCTCTACATTTTGCAGTATATTTCTCCAGGCAATTAATGTGTACCAAAATACATACAGAAAGGTAAAATGTGCACAAAAGTGCATATATTGGTGAAAATGCCATACAAAAAAAATATTTTAGAGAGAATTGCATATATATTTGGAGAATTTTGCAGTACAGTGCTGATGAATTTTCAAGAGGGTTTTTTAAAAACAGTAACTTGCAATTGTTTAGTCGTTTGGTCGTGTCCGACTCTTCGTGACTCCATGGACCAGAGCACGCCAGGCACTCCTGTCTTCCACTGATTGGACTTAAGACTGGAAAACAGAGAAACTGAGAAAAACCAGAATTGGTGGATTTGTCCACCCCATCTCTGGCATGAAGATTGCAATTTGGCTCCACCTTATGCCCCCATCCATGGCAAAAAGGGCTGGTATCACTGGTTACTACAACTCCATGCTCTAAGAATCTGTGGCCCTCCAGCTGGTAGACTGCAGCAGGCTTTGCTAACTTGTGGGTCTCCTTGTTTCAGGCTCCAACTCCCATCTGCCCCAGCAGGCAGCACGGGCAGGGATGATGGGAGTTGTAGTCTAGCAACATCTGAAGGGTCAAAGGTCTCCCCACCCCTGCTTAAGCATCTCTTTTTTTAACTGAATTGTTTACGTCGAGAATGAAACAGGTATTTCCACAGAGGATGTGCAAAATACAATGCCGTTTCCTGGAAGACCTTTCTTCTCATTTTGTTGGCAACTCAGGAACACAGGAAACTGCCTTATACCAAGTCATACCATTGGGTCCATCTAGTTCAGTATTGTCTACACTGACTGGCAGCAGCTGTTTGGGGTTTCTGACAGGGGACATTGGGCATTGAACCCGGGACTGTCTGATTGCAAAGCAGATGCTCTACCAAGTGGCTCCAGCTGGTTGCCTTCTAGCAGTTCATACCTTTCCTTAGGTTAAAAAAAATATGTTTCCCCAATGGGATAATCCCCACAAAAATATTCTCTTTAATCTTTAACAAGCAATGAGGTGACTTTACTTTCTTTTCCCAAGTCATAATGAGTGTTTTCTTCCTGTTTTAAATCAAGCCCTCTCATCCAAATCTGACACAACTGTAATCTAAACAGATGTTCTCAGTGACTGTGGCTTTGGGCTTGGAAGGGATAATTCTAATTACATAGCATCTTCTGAGGAGTGCATCTCTTAATTCACTGCTTGGCATATGGAAGCTTCTTTGAATCATCTCTCTATACTGCTTTGAGAGGGTGGGAGCTGATCTATAAAATGGGTTCTTCAAGACAGGCTGGCAGGGGTTGATGGGAGTTGTAGTTCAAAACGTCTGGAGAGCAGAGAGTTGGGGGAATGGCAGTTACAGAGCCCCATGTGCCAGCTACATTGGGGTTATGATACATTGATAAGGGCTGCTTTGCTAAACCCAACAAAAAACACCCACTGGGGGAAATCATGAGTTGCATTATGATATCAGTGTTTCAGAACGAAAAATACTGGTAGAATGGTTGATGAATCAACAGTGTGATGCAGCAGCAAAAAAAGCAAATGCATTTCTATGCTGCGTCAACAGAAGTATAGCGTCCAGATCAAGGAAAGTTATATTACCACTCTATTTCGCCTTGGTCATATTGAATCCTGATTCTGTCTTCTGTGGCATTAGTTACCCCTCTCAATTTTGTGTCAACTGCAAATTTGATGAGCATTCCCTCAATTCTTTTGTCCAAGTCATTTATAAAGGTGTTGAACAACAGCAAGCCTAGGACACAACCCTGCGGCACCCCACTTGTCATTTTTTCCCAGGATAATGAGGAACCATTAGTGAGCACACTCTGGGTTCCGTCAGTCAACAAGTTCCAAATCTACCTAACAGTTATCTTGTATATCCCACTTTTTACCAGCTTCCTGCAAGAATATCATGGAGGACTTTGCCCAAAACCTTACTGAAATCAAGATACTCTACATTTACAGCATTCCCCTGATCCACCAAGCTTGCAACTCTATCCAATAAAGAAATGAGATTTGTCTGGCCTGACTTGTTTTTGAGAAACCCTTGCCGGGTCTTAATACTTTGGTACCTCGGATTAAGTACTTAATTCGTTCCGGAGGTCCGTTCTTAACCTGAAACTGTTCTTAACCTGAAGACCACTTTAGCTAATGGGGCCTCCTGCTGCTGTTGCGCTGCCGCCGTGCGATTTCTGTTCTCTTTTTTTTTTTAAATATAATTTTTATTAACAGGCCAATCAAATCACATTATTTCCAAATCACATTAATTCCAAATTATACAGCCAAATCTTTAAATTTTTGTTGGGGGTACCCATACATCAAGCTCTGAAAGGGGACTAAACATCACTCATGTTGCTGCTTTAATTAAACAGTTCTATCCAGTTCTGTCCAGATAGTCTCTTTGTTACTTTCTTCATCTTCTTGTTGTTATCATATATTCCTTTCTTTGCGATCTCTGATAATCTTCACAAGCGAGTTAAAACCAAACATCCTCTGTGTGGGTTTTACACTCTCCAAAGATCATTTCACATAAGGACAGCCGCCATTTCCACACCTCCGTAAAGAGACTTTCCCTCGGTCTGTCCCTTGATTTTCCAGGATTGCCAGACATATTTCAGAGGGCTCTGCCAAGGTCTAAATCACATTCCTTTAAGCATTCACACTCCAATGACCCTGGTCCTCCTCCCCCATCCTTCTTAGGCAAGCCTATCTCGGAGAAACGCCATTTGAAACTGCGTCATAAAATTTTCCTCCATTCTCCGATGTTTACCAGTCCTCTCTTTGATCGAATTCACTCCACACAGTTCTTGAATTCCTGCTTGTGATTAATAAATTGCTACAGTTTTTCTTTCTGGGGTGAAGGGTTATTAATACTCACATAAGGCAAAGAAAAAGAAAAGTTTTTTCCTCCACCCCCCTTCCATTTCACACCAAACGTACCAGTCTTTAAATGGCGATTCATCACTTGATTTATTTGTCCCGCCCGTAGCTCCGCTCCCAGAGATCCATTAATCAGCAGTCTTAACTCCCAATCCTTGCTTGATGTATGTGCTTTAGCTTCCTTCCAAATTATATATTTCCAGTTATATGTTTCGAGCTAAAACAACCAGTGCGCTGATTGGAGACAGCGTCCAGGAAGAGACGACTTCACACAAGGGCTGGTGCCAAGTGTCCGCACCCCCTTCTTTCGAATCCGGGGGTGAATTATGGACACCGCTGGCAAGGCAGTCCCCGCCATCTCCTTGGGGGGGCCGGGAAGACTGCATACTTCCCATAGCAGCCTCTTAATTACCTCGTGTGGGTCGGAGTGATGTTATTGTCGGCCATCTTCCAATGCGCCCCCTGGTGGCCCCCCGATTTCTGTTCTCATCCTGAAGCAAAGTTCTTAACCCGAAGTACTATTTCTGGTTAGCGGAGTCTGTAACCTGAAGTGTATGTATCATGAAGCGTACGTAACCCGAGGTACCACTGTAATCACATCCTCTTTTTCTAAGTGCTCATAGACCAACAGTTTAATTATCTGTTCTAAGACTTTTCCTGGTATCAATGTCAAGCTGACTGTTTAGTAGTGGAGTTAACTACAGTAGAATGGACTACTTCAGAAAGTGGTAGACTCTCCTTCATTGGAGGTTTTTAAACAGAGGCCTCCATTTTTTGAACATATAAAGAGGGAGAGTCATATAAGTACTCCTCCCATCATTCACTCCTCATTGTGGCTGGGCTATAGAGACTCATCTTAAAAACTTAACTACATGTAACTGCATCTCTGTAATTTTTTTTTATATACTGAATATGCTCCGTGTATAGTTGTTATTGTTTGTATGGTTATGTCTTAGTGCAGGGGTCATCAACCTGTGGCCCATGGGCCGCAAACGACCCATGGGGGCAATTTAACCGGCCCCCGAGCCGCCCCCGAACTGAGCTACCTGCTTGGCAAGTCCCCATGCACTGTGCTAAACTGGCACACCACGTAGATTCCTTTCTGCAGCGCCGGAAATCGCATCTGTGCATTCCCAGAGGCCGGAAATTGCGTCTGCGCATGCCCAGACACTGGAAATCACGCACGTGATCTGGCCCATGGAGAGATCTCCATGGGACTTTACCTGCCCAGGCAGGTAAAACCTTGCCGAGCCCTGTCTTAGTGTGTCCATATGTTTTTGATAAAATCCATATATTTATGATAAAATCAATTTTTTAAAAAATAAAATAGCAGAGATCTGTCATGTGTGATCTAGTCGATATTCCTGCTTTGCAGGGGTTGGACTAGATGACCCTTGGGGTACCCCCCAATGCTACAATTCTATAATTCTATTATTAAGTCCGTATGTGAAATATCAGTTGTGTTTACTACGGAAGGAAGGCCTAGGGAGGCCAATGAATCCTCCTTTGCTTTCATGAGAGAATACAATGGGACCTGTAGTTTGCAGTGAGCACTGAAATGACAATGAATCACAATCCAAGCAGGAGACAAAACCAATTTCTTTGCCGATCCAGAATTTCCAGAGTGGGGAAAAACATGTGCGAGAGCATTCTGTCGAAAATCTCCTTGGCTCCCGCAATTTGAAACAAATTCAGGAACAACAGTTCAGTTCTGGCAATACTTTGTTATTTCTAGAGTTCCTTCCTATGTAGAATACTAAGTCCTGAGCTGACCTGGGCTGGGAGGGCAGCAGGGTGATTCACAAAGATTTTCATATCCTTTTGAAAAGCGGGATCCTATTCTGTCCCTTTCATAGCCTTGGGAATGGCTGCTGTTAAAGTATGGAAACATCACTCTCTGAACTTTTTCATTTTTCTCTTACCTCACTCCCCCTCCCATCCATGTGGGACCCTGCAAATCTGGGTTATGCTGAATGCATGATGAAGTGGCCGGTGTTTCATGAAAGCTAATGCTGCAATTCATTCATTCATTCTTCATTAATTAAATAATTGTTATAAATTATTATTATTATCAGCCTTCCACCCTAAGGTCCCTGGATGGGTTATAGCATTAAAATCAATTTTTTAAAAAATAAATAAAAGGAATTTACAACCATCATTATTATTAATTTGCTTGTTGTTAAGGTGTCATAAGACTCTGCTCCTTTTGGTGCAAAAGGCTAATACAGCCTGCTTCCCCTCTGTAAACCATCTCTGATGTGCAACACAGATTCTTCCACATGGAGGCATAAATATATATTAAAGCCCACATAGCCCCTTTCCCCATCTGTAGTTCAAGAGGCCCTTGACCATGCGATTCCGTGTTGAACAAGAAATGAGGCTAAAATCGCCACTCGTTTTTGCACTCCTGAACATCTACCAAGACTGGAGGGTGGGGGTGGGCGGCGGTGCAATTCATATAGCTAACCCTATCTTGTTTATTTGGTTTATAGGTTCATTTTCTCATTCTCTTTGCACAGATAGGTTTTTTCTGTGTGTAAAAGTTGCAACAACAAAAATTAAATAACAACAACATTAAGATAATAAAGGGCTGTATCCAATTGAGTCCTATGTAGAGAGTAGACCCACCAAAATTAGTTGTGTCCAGTAACTTCAATGGGTCAACTCTGAGTAGGCCTAACATTGAATGCAACCTAATAATAATAATAATAATAATAATAGTCTATCCTACCTACCCTCCTTCTCCTTCTCCCGCTCCCCCTCTCAAACCCCAAACTGGTGCATCCAGTCGCAAGCCAGACCACCAAAGACTGACAGCCAAGAAAGCTGGGGAAATGACTAACTCCTTTTCCAGATCAGCACAATTATTGCTGTAAATCTTCAGAGCAGATTTGATGCGGCTTCCCCAGAGTCCCTTTCCCTTTTTTTCACATTACAGTAAGACAGAGGACGTCATGTCTGCTCCTGTGATTACCCAAAGTATAGGAGGGTTTGCCACCAGCTCCTCCGAGCTCGTGAGGTAACCAACAACACAGGCCTGGGAGCCCTGCAGCTCTTGGGCTGGATTGGGCCTCTTTGAGATTCCTGCTCAGCCATGAAGCCTCTCTGTGCCATTTTAAGGATTAGAGAGAGAAGAGACCGAGAGATGTAATGCACACACTGAAGAGTGCTAGGCAGCGAGGGCTGGTACTTTCAGGAGAGTGGGGCACAGCCCGACCAGCCTCCCTCTGTTCTCAACCAGCCCCCACCTGCCTGCCTCCTTACTTACAACCAGTCCAAGGTGGGGGTACCTATTCCTGTCAGCTTCCTGCTCCCTCAGTCTCTGTGTTGCCTTTGTAGAACATAAGAAGAGCCTGTTGGATCAGCTCAATGGTCCATCTAATCATCCATCCTGTTATCACAGGGGCCAACTAAATGCCTGTGGGAAACCAGCAAGCATGAGCACAAGTCTCAGAGCCCTCTCCCTTCCTGTAGTTTCCAGCAACTACAGAGACATTACTGCCTCAAACTGTGGGGGAAGGGCACAGCCATCCTGGCTGGCAACCATCGATAGCCTTCTCCTCCAGGAACTTGTCTCATCGTCTTTTAAAGCCATCCAAGTTGGTGGCCATTACTGCAGACCCTCCAAGTGTCCCTATTTTCCAGGGACAGTCCCGGATTTACAGAAGCTGTTCTGGTTTCTGATTTGATCCCAGAATGTCCTGTCTTTCCTCAGGACGTCCCTGTTTTAATTGGAGAAACGTTGGAGGGTATGAAGTTGTGTGACCCTCAAGCCAAGGAGATAAGTAACTATACAGTAATGCCTCAGTGAGTGTCAGCCCCGTTGAACGTCCATTTCAGCGAATGTCCACGGCAAACCTGGAAGTACCAGAACAGGTTACTTCTGGGTTTGCAGCTCACGCATGTGCAGAAGCGCAAACCGCTCTGTGCGCATGTGCAGAGCAGCACTTTGTCAAGAGTCCCTTTTGTCGAGTGTCTGGGGCTCCAGAACGGATCCTGGACTCAAAACAAGGTACCACTGTATACTTATCTGAAGGCAGCCCTGTATAGGAAAGGTTTTTAATGTTTTTTTATGTGTTTATATCTATTGGAAGCCACCCACAGTGACCGGGACAACCAAGTCAGATGGGCAGGGTATAAATAATAAAATTGTAGTTGTTTTTGTGGACTAGGGCATTCCTATTTTCAGCTGAGAAATGTTGGAAGGTACTGTGTCCTGTGGGAACAAGTTCCACAATTCATCTGTGTGCTCTACAGTGGTACCTCAGGTTACAGATGCTTCAGGTTACAGACTCCGCTAACCCAGAAATAATACCTCGGGTTAAGAACTTTACCTCAGGATGAGAACAGAAATCGTGCGGCGGCAGCGGGAGTCCCCATTAGCTAAAGTGGTACCTCAGGTTAAGAACAGTTTCAGGTTAAGAACAGACCTCCGGAACGAATTAAGTTCTTAACCCAAGGTACCACTGTATAAAGATACATAAATGTTTCCTCTTATTCACCTTTTCTCTTAAAAAAAAAACAAAAAAACCTTCACATTTGGGGAAGGGGACAGGCCTCTCATGACCTGGACAGCTGTCACATACTTCAGCAACAGTAATCAAATCAGGGCAGGCCAGCCTTGCACATAAAAACTCATTTCACCCTCCAGGGTTCAGGGTGAGTTTCATATTCACCGCCCGCTTTGCTCTCATAAGGAGATGCCATTTCTTTTCAGGATTAAAAATGGGCTGTTGCAAAATATCCGAGGCTAAAGTATGCAATTAGGTTGGACTTTTTTATTTTTAAAAGATGATCTTTCAGAATTAGAAAATGGTCACGTCAGCATTTGGAAACACACATGTGCAGCAGAGGCTCGAGGAGAGGAGCGGAAGCCAGGCAGACTCTTCCTTTTCCTGGAGCTGCAGGCGAGCAAGATCACCGGGGGAAGAGGAAATCCAAGTTTAATGGAACTGTCAGAGAAAAGAAAGGTTGGGGTGGGAGAAAAGAAACGAGACGAGCCCTTTGAGAGCTGAAAGCCTGATCCTTAGAACTCAGTCCAATGGTTTTGGGCCCGTGATCCACCAAGAGCCACCCTCGTAACCCAGATGGATGCTTGGGTAGGTAGGAGACCTGCTTCCATCGTAGGCTGAGTGAGTTTCAGCTGCTCAGCCCCACTCCTTCCCCCCAAAGATCTTCAGTAGGTCTTCTGCCTTGCAACACTAGGAAACCCCAAGAATGAGGACAAAAAAGCTGTCTGAATAAATCTGCCATCTTATTTCTGATTATATGGCATCACAGAATCATAGAATTGTAGAGTTGGAAGGGTCTCCAAGAGTCATCTAGTCCAACTCCCTGTAATGCAGGAATCATAGCTAGATTCCCTGACCGGTGACTATCTAACCCTGTTTTAAAACCTCCAATCAAGGCGAGTCCACCACCTTCCGAGAGAGTCTGTTCCACTGTTGAATGGCTCTTACTGTCAGAAAGTTCTTCCTGATGTTTAGTCAGAATTTCCTTTCTTGTAACTTGAATCCATTGATTTGGGTCCTACCCTCCAGAGCAGCAGAAAATTAGCTTTCTCCATCTTTCATGGGATGGTGTCTCAGAGATCTGAAGATGACTATTATATCACCTGAACATACCTCAGATTAATACAGAATTTGGATAAAATGGAATTATGAATGAACACATCTTCAGTTGGGACGCGGGTGGGGCTATGGGTTAAACCACAGAGCCTAGGACTTGCTGATCAGAAGGTTGGCGGTTCAAATCCCCGCCACGGGGTGAGCTCCTGTTGCTCGGTCCCTGCTCCTGCCAACCTAGCAGTCCAAAAGCACGTCAAAGTGCAAGTAGATAAATAGGTACCGCTCCAGTGGGAAGGTAAACAGTGTTTCCGTTCACTGCTCTGGTTCGCCAGAAGTAGCTTAGTCATGCTGGCCACTTGACCGGGAAGCTGTACACCGGCTCCCTCGGCCAGTAAAGAGAGATGAGCGCCGCAACCCCAGAGTCAGTCAAGACTGGACCTAATGGTCAGGGGTCCCTTTACCTTTACATCTTCAGTGGAAATGGCTTCGGGTTTTGGTCCCCAGTATATAAAGAAATCTCTAAAATATTTAAATCACTTGTTTGGGCTTCCTCACAACTGACATTACTGAATATGTGGTTGGACAGCATGAAAGCTTGTTGCTCTGCAGAGCTTGGGACATGGATGTGAGTGAGATGCAACTAGGATTTCAGTAGCCCAGCGATGGAAAACCTTGAAAAACCACATCTGTCTTTGTGGTATAAGAACTTATGGACTTTGGCTATTGCAGAGAAAGAAATACATATGAACTATGTGTTTCCAGGGGGATGGTGGATCCAGGCTGCTTTTATGTTATGTGGTGGGATTTTATTTCCTATGCTTCAGGCTTAGATGCTCAGCATTCACCATCCACGCCAGCTCAGAAAATAGGGATGTCACCATTTCTATTTCTTAATAGTTACTGTTTGTTGGTTTTGTATAAGGTATGATGTAATACCCTGTTACTGCACTTTGGGGTTGTTAACAATGTTAATAAAGGTTTTTAAAAAGTTAACAACACTGAGCTAGATGGACCTCTGGGTCTGATGCAGTATAAGGCAGCTTCCTATGTTCAGGGGCAGGACACAAGAGGCTGTTGCCTGCTCACAGCCATGCTAAAGTCCTGGATTTCTCCATTTTTAAAATATGAGCAACTCTCCCTTCTGCCCACGTAAGGAGAGAGGGACATCATAAGGGGTCACAAAGTTCCACCTCCATACAAGTGGATTATCACTCTGGATTTCTTATCTCTGTGCTGTATGCCAGTGGCAACTCCAACCAATCCAGGCTTGTGTCAGAATCCCCTGCATTGACCCTTGCCAAGGGAGCCGCTTATGTTACCAGCACGTATGTGGGGGTCTGCATTCCATACGCAAGTTTCAAAGGACAGCACACCTATCAAAAATGTCTCAGACCACTTCAGTAGCTACAACATGAAAACAACAGAAAAAGCAAGTGGCGTTGTCCAATGCAACCTGGTTCAATACCAACAGACTGTGGCTGGGCTCATTTTGAAAGAAAAAGGAGGCTTATTTTGAAGGGTGGGGAAGAGCCAAGGTCACTTAATGAGGAAGGAATGAACTCAAATTGCCGATCTGGAAAGACAATGAAGAGAGAAGATGATCTAATGCGCTGGCTGGATTTTGGAGCGGTGCAAATTACGTCTCCCACCCCCTCCCTTGGAATTTGGGAATCTGGATTCCTTCTTTTTAGACTTTCCACTACCTTGGTTATATTTGAAACCCCCTCCTCCAAATGTGTAACTCTTGGCTGTCTGCCCCCGAAAGCCCTGCTCAGATCTTTTATACATGCACAGACACAATAGAAAGAGACCAGCCACCTCTCTTCCGCTCTCAAAATCCCTCTAAATCAGCCTTCCTCAATCTGGTGCCCTCCAGGGGTTGCATTACTAATGTAGTTGTAGTAGTATAAGTAGTATCACCTGCCCTTCACCAACAAGTCCCAGGGCGGATTGCAACAATTTGAAATTCAGAACTGAAAAAGAGTTAAAGCAGATTACAGTCACAGGAATGTGGTGGGCCCTGAAAGCACAGATCTCAGGCATCAAAAACCAGAGGAGAGAGAGTTGTGTCTTCAGCCTTCACCAAAAGCTGAAAAGTGAAGAAGCAAGACACACCTCTGTCGGGAGGGAGTTCCACAACTAAGGGGCTGCCACAGAGAAGGCCCTCTCCTAGGTCATCACTATCCTGAATTTCTGAGGGAGGTGGAACAAGCAAGAGGGCACCCCACCCCCAAGCCATCCAACAGAGTGCTAAGTTAAAGTCACTTGCATACTTGTTCCCAGTTCTATTTTTCTAGAAAAAGAGGTGCCAGAACTCATCATGAACACCTCCCTTATTCTTTTATAATGACCATGGCACCCACCTGACAAGTGCTGGAACTGAGTTCCGGTGAATTCCATCTGGGGGAAAAAAGCCATTTGTTCTGCTGACAGAATGTTGTTGTACAAGAGGCTGCTGGTAACTTTGTTGAGCGACAGATGGCTTAATCTATCGCATTTTGAATTTCTACCAGCACAACTGCCGCACTGAGATGCTCTGTTGTGCGGAACTCACCCACCCACCAGTACAAGAGCCCTTGCAGATGTTCTGAAGGACAACTTTGGTGGGGATGAGGGCCATTCCCCTCCCCCTGCACTGCCGCCTGCTCATCTCTCCAGACTCATTCAGCACTGGAACTACCCTGGGCTGTCTCCAGTCGCTTCAGGCCATGGTGGCAGCAGCAGAAGAGGAGGAGGAGGAAGAGGCAGTGATGGCTGGTGGCAAAGCATCCTGGGCTGTGGGGAGGCAAGGTAGTGGGAGGTCCCTGTGATATGGGCTCTACCACTGTGCCAACCTCCCTGCCACCTTGTCCCTTCCCTACTTGGTGTATTCCGTATTGGGAAGCCAGGTGAGTAACACCGTCTCAGCCTGCTGGCCGCCAACGCTTACACCCAAAGGAGACCCAAACTTCAGGCTCACAGCATTTACAGAACCACTTTGGGATTTCTCATGGATTCCACATCCTATACAACCAAGACGGCAGATTTTTATTTATATGACACGCATAAGTTATCTGAGGGAATTTCTAAAAAAAGTATCTTTGGGGGGAAAGACACCAAAGAAAGAATCCAAGATGCTCAGTGAGCTTAAATTCCTCTTTAAATACTTGGTCGGATGCCAGGATTTGTAAGAGCTGTTATTATAACCATCTTCCCTCCACAGCCCAGAATTTCTCCGTTTGCCATTCAGCTGTGTGATGGTGCCTTTACTTTCCCTCTCGCTGGAATTCTGGAATCTTTGCAGGCTGCCTTTCAGGGATGGTCATCTGGTTTCCCTCTTAACATCACGCTGCGGCTTTGCTCTCTTTTCCACTGCGTCTGCCTCCTGCCAATTTTACATCTAGCAGAGCTGGCTGACAGTGGCACCGCAATCGCTGGGATACTGGATCCTTTGGTAGCGAAACATACGTCTGTTGGTTTTGTAGTATAGATGGCTTGTTTGTTTAGTGATTCATACTTTGTGAGTCATGGTGGGTTTACAATGGCTTCTTCCCCTTTTTTTGCTTTTGGGGTAAAAACAAGAATCCTTAGCTCCTTATTTTATTGCACGGGGTTCATTTTAGGCATTTGAGGAGAAGGGAAGGAGCTTTCAGAGTTTGCTCTCTCTCTCTCACACACACACCCATTATACAAAGATAGCAACGTCTCCACAGATCTAACATCACAGATAAAACTTTCACACCACCTCAAAGAGAAGGTTTGTTACTGGGAATCCATTCACACGTTCAGCTGCCATGGAACACACACAAGGAGATGGGGGACCTGCCATTATATGTTCCTTCTTCCCAATATGCCTTGGTGCAACTGGTAACCTCCAAGGCCCCTAACAAAACCTTATCTGAACAGGGCCGGTTCTACCATTAGGCAAAGTGAGGCAGAGGCCTCAGACGGAAGATGCTGAAGGGTGGCAATGAGGTGTTCGAGGACAGTGCTACATGTCCTGCCCTCAGCCAGATTGTTGCCATAGCTGAGTAGAAGAACATGTGTCTTGAATGCAGAAGGTCCTAGATTTAATCCATGCATTTCCTGGGGGAAGAAACCCTGGAGAGCTGCTGTAAGTCAGTGTAGGCAATGGACCAATGGTTTCCAGCTGGTACAAGGCAACTTCTGATACTCCTGGTCTCGACTTTGGCCTCTCATTCTCCATCTTCAGACTCTGACCAGATGCAGACACAACGGGCTATACCACCAACACAAAGGGCTATACCACCAGCCTATTGTTCCTCCACCCACCCACATTGTTTACCACTTAGACTGATGAATTGTTCTGTGGAACTCAAAAGCCAGCACACTATTTAGTGACATTTTGGTTTGCCTAAGAAATGGATTGCCCCAAGGTAGATGTTCTTATAGGCCAGAACAGTTACCTTTGCTTTTTTCTTTCTTTTTAAATCACACACAGACTGAATTTCTCACTGAGAACTGGTGAGGCATCTAATAAACATGACGAGATTGGAAGGAAAGAGTGGTGGGGAAAGCAAGTATATGCTGACGACATTTTGGGGGAACTCCTGTTGTGTTCATCTGATCATCACAAGCAAAACAATGCCTTCACTGACCACAATGCTACCCCGATAGTCTAAAGGGCTGCCTGGAAAGATGCTCAGATCTGCATCACTGGTCAAAGTCGCAAAACAGGCAGCTGCACAAAGACCTATCCAATACAATGATCTTTCCCCCTCTTTGCTTCCCAATGTTCAGTCTGTGCTCTAAAGACCTCAAACCAGGAACATGGGACCCTTCGTCCTGTGCTGTTCCACTCTTCCTTGAAAAGGAAGCCCAGGTTTTGCTGTTCATGAACTGAACTAGCTTCTTCCCTTTTTATCTTTAGTTAAAGCCATACATGATTCCATCTGGACAAACAACACTTAGCATTGATATTTCAGGTGTCCACTACACCTACCTCAAGGACTGCCTCTTCCTATGTGAACCTACCCGATCCCTGAGATCATCTTCTGAGGTCCTCCTACGTGTGTCTCCTCCTCAAGAGGTCTGGAGGGTGGTAACATGAGAACGGGCCTTGTCTGCAGTGGCTCCCCATCTGTGGAATGCTCTCCCCTGGGAAGTTTGCCTGGCACCTTCATTATACACCTTTAGGCTCCAGGCAAAAACATTCCTTTTTAACCAGGCCTTCCATTTTAATCCAACACCCTTTTAGAATATGGCTTTTTGGGGGGTGTTATTGGGTTACTGCTTTGGGTTTGATTTTATATGTTGTGGTCTTGTAGTGAAACGCCCTGAGACCGCCGGGTATAGGGCGGTGTGTAAGTTGAATTAAAAACAACAACAACAACAACAACAACAACAATGCCTACATTCACCTTGGTTTCCTGCTATGTGAGCGAACTTTTCTGGGTTCAGGCAAAATGCCAAGCTCATGTGGTCTCTTCTCCCCTCCTGCATGGCCAGCAGGAAGATTTCTGCAAGGTTTTGTTTCTCTTTCAAAGAATTCTGGCTTTAACATTACATATAAACCATGGCGTACAAGAAACCATGGTTAGTTAGGAAGCCAGCTTCATAACCTAGTTTGAAGTTCACTCGCTTAGCAACTAACCCTCATTTATTGTACAACACATCACCTGAGCTGCATGTAGCACTAAGCCAAGATTCCGTGAAAGCAAAATTGGAAATCCTTCCCCCACCTGCAAGGGAGGAAACGAGTTAGAAGGGTGCATGATCCTGACACTTTGCTGGGGCTCATGGAGGTTTTTCAAGGTAGGGTCTCACCATGGTTTCATGTTATGTGTGAGCAGGTAAAAAGGAAATTCAATTTACCAGCATTTGATTAAGGACAGTATTAGAGACATAATAAAAGACAAATGCCTTGCCAAAAGCACAGGAAGAAACATCACAGCATAAGCATCCAGTTTAGGCACAATGTGGTATTCATTTACCATTTCTTCCCATTGATTTCATGCTGTTGAACTGTATAGCCAAAATATGCTTCTTTAGAGCCTGGAATAATTCGTGGCCTCTTCGTGTCAATGTTGAAGGCATCACAGAATCCTGAGACAAACAAACATGAACAGAATTAAGTTGTGCCGCAAAGGGAACACAATGCCCATTTTACATTCACAAAATAAATAAAATTATTTTTTTTAAGGCTGCAAGTGTGAATTTAATACTCCTCTCCCCGAATTGCAATTTTAAAATTCATTGTTTTTTAAAAGTTAAGTTTCTATGCTGGAAAATGTCAATGTAATAATTAAGGCTGAAATGTTTCATTGTTTCATCAGTTACATCAATTAAGGCTGCAATGCAGTATAAACAGAAGTGGGTTCCAAAGGAACTGGAGAGACCTTGCTTTTCTTTCTCAGTGCCTGGACTTGGAGCAGGAATCAAGTCTTTATCTGGGCCAAGCCACTTAGCAAGAGGATTAAGTAGGGGAAGAGACAAGGGCTACCTGGCTGTGTTTATCTTCTGAATGGAGTTTCTGCCATTTCTCCCTTTCTGCACATATCGTATTTCTGGACAGTGGTGATAAATAAAAGAATAACTCTTGCAGTTTGGAACAGAAGGACCGTGATCATATTTTTGGGCTAAGTTTCTTGCTATAAATCCAGGGTGGAATTTTCATGTGACAGAAGATAAAGTTCTTTTTCATTTCATCAACAAAATTTATTATTTTTTTCCTGCCCAGAGCAGAGCCTGGATTGTCTTCTGAGAATCTCAAAAATCTGGTGTTTACCTCTTACCATTATTATTATGTCGATGAGACAATATTAACATTATTTAATGATAAGGGTGCTTGGTTTCTGAATGGGAAGAATGTTGAGCTGGCAAGAAGGGAGGCCTTTTGACATGCGATTGGCACTCCTTGATCCACACAGCAACAGCTAGCATCTATTTCAACGTGTCAAAATAGAGAGCTTACATCAGATTTATTTTATATACATATAGATTTAAAATACTTCTATCCTGATGTCACAAGTCCCTGCACCACACCCCTTGCAGCTTAAAGCAGCTGCTCTTTCCTTCCTTCAGGAACCCAAGTTTTCCTCCTCCTGCTTTTGCGGTCCCTCTATCTCCCCATCAAACTATCATGGGCAAAGAAAACAGATGACCCAGCACACCACTCCCTGCCCCAGAGTTCTTTTCTCCTTCCTCAAGAGGCAGCCTCTGCCTTCTCCAGTTTTCTCCTTTCCATGATTCCCTTTTATAAGTAGTTGGGGGTGGGGGTGGGGGGCAGAATAGAGACTCTGGAAGCTTTCAGCCTCTCATGAGACCCACTCAGGGCTTGTGTGAAGACTGGTGGGGTTTTTTGCTTTTTATTTTGCAGGTATCTTCTGCAAAAGGAGATGCTGAGGAAGGTGGCCAAGATGACCAAGGGTATGGAAACCAAGCCTTATGAGGAATGGTTGAAGGAGTTGGGGATGTTTAGTCCGGAGAAGAGAAGACAGAGGGGATATGATAGCCATCTTCAAAAATCCAAAAGGCTGTCCCATGGAAGATGGAGCCAGCTTGGTTTTTTGTACTGCTCCAGAGAGTAGAACCCAAACCAATGGACTCAACTGACAAGAAAGGAGATTCTGACTCAACATTAGGAAGAGCTTTCTGATTGTAAGAGCTGCTCAACAGTGGAATTGACAACCTCAGAAGCAGGTGGACTTTCCTTCATTGGAGGGTTTCCAGCAGAGGTTTGGTGGGCATCTGTCAGGGATTTAGTTGTTATTCCTGTATTTAATGGGGTTTGACTAGACGATACTTGGGCCCTTCCAACTCTACAGTTCTCTGATTCTATGTTACTGATACAGTGATTTTGCATTAGTGATGGATTTATACTGGACCATCCACACACCATTCTGCTTTATTAGTTGTCTGGCGATGCTTCCCCAATGTTACCACACTACTATCTGCGGGGTGGGTGGGGGGTGGATTCTTGCACTACAGTGCAACAAAACAAAAATTGCAAACCCCAAATAGTTGTGCTATAAAAAGTGACAGAATTTCAGCAGGAAGCTACAGAACACAAGCCAGATGGAAATGTGGCAGTGTGTTCACTCCAAAACATTTGCGGCATACGCAGTATTGAAAATGGGAGAGTGTATGACCCCTCCTGATAACAACATGAGCACAAATCATCATGAATGCACAATCAAAAGAATTAAAACAGCCTCTAGCTGTGCTGGGTGGGACTGATAGGACTTGTAATCCAAAATATATCGAGGGCACCCAGTTGGTGAAAGCTGTTCCACAATATACACTGTGTGGCAACTCTTTTTGTTAACAAAAATGCAGCCTCAGAGGGTACTAAAAGTGGAAAGTAGATGGAGGAAAAGGTCTTCTTAACCCTCATGTTGTTTTTTTGCTGAAAACACCCCCTAGCTGCCTTCACCTCCCCACACCACACCCCATGGAAAAGACCAGTGTCATTGTGCCCTAAGGTTGCACAAGTTTCTTGCTCAAATTTATTTGAACAACCATAATAGTTATGTGCCGCTACTGAATAGTCAAAGTGCCTCAGACATAGCTCAGTAATCATTACAAGAATGCTTTAAGATAGTCAAGTATTCTCATCATCATCACACATGCTTCAAAACTTCTTGGAGCTGAAGCCCTGGTGAGGTTTGACCTGCTTGACTCACATAGGAATAAAGAAAGATGACTTATGCCAGGTCAGACAATTGGCCAAATACAAATACCTTTATTGGCATTACGAGTTAAAACATTTCAAAATACTAGGATAAATCTAAAAGGGACAGGAGTGAAGTTGTCGAGGATCACAAGGTACTTGATTGTTCTGCTTCACCCTCAGGCAATTGGTCCATCAAGATCAGTACTTTCTACATTGATTGGCAGCAGCTCCCCAGTGCTTCAGGCAAGGGACATTCCCAGGCCCAACTCCCCAAAGAGATGCCATCAGGGATTTGAACTTGGGACCATCTGCATGCAAAGCAGATGTTCTGTCACTAAGCTCTGCCCCTTCGACTCACACTGCTCCCCACTTCACCATTCCAGCTTTTGTATTGTTGGGGGCTTGGAGGGGGGGAGGTCAGTCGGAATGATGCCCTGCACCCCTTCCAATTGTTGAGATCAGGAACTCACTGTGGGTTAGAATTTAATAGAGGATTCTATTGCTGAACTAGTAGGACAAGTTTGCCCTGAACTGGCCACTTAAGTGTCCTCATCAGCATCCCAAAAGAATGAGCTAGGTTGCAAGAGCTACAACTAAGGGATGGTGCCCTCCAGGCTAAAGGGTGGGCATTTCTTCCACCCTTCCACCCTTGCTAGGTAGGAGAACAAGAGTCAGAGAGTTATGTGTGAGCTGAGCTGAAAGCAGGAGACAGAGAGGCATGCTTGCTTTGTGCTGGATCCAAAGCTGTGACAAACGGAGAAGCAAGATTTGTTGGGTGTTAATGCTGTGAGCCTCTCCATCCTATGCTCAGGTTGTAAAAAAGGTAAAGGTAATGGGACCCCTGACCATTAGGGCCAGTCGTGACCAACTCTGGGGTTGCGGCGCTCATCTCGCTTTATTGGCTGAGGGAACCGGCATACAGCTTCCGGGTCATGTGGCCAGCATGTCTAAACCGCTTCTGGCAATCCAGAGCAGCGCACGGAAACGGCGTTTACCTTCCCGCCGGAGCGGTCCCTATTTATCTACTTGCACTTTGACGTGCTTTCAAACTGCTAGGTGGGCAGGAGCAGGGACCGAGCAATGGGAGCTCACCCTGTCACGGGGATTCGAACTGCCGACCTTATGATCGGCAAGTCCTAGGCTCTGTGGTTTAACCCACAGTGCCACCCGCGTCCCAATATGCTCAGGTTGTGTATATATATGTAAATAAAATCATATATCCTAAAGACACCACAGTCTCCACTAACCTTCACATTCCAAGGAATCTGAACATGGGCAAGCGTCTGGGACCCCTGGATTATCTCATCGCTCAGAGATTGGGGTGACATATAACAGTATGATTTAGCAGAAACCAGAAATATTGCCCTTTCTTCTTCTCCACTGCCCCCTGGAATGATCCTTGAGCAGCCAGCAAAGAATGAAGAGATTCAAAAGAATGTTTGTTGCCATATCTAATTGCTGTCTTATAATATAGTGGAAATATAAGAGAGACCAAGGCAACGTCTGGTCTTTGTCAAAACAGAAAGGACTTGGCCCAGAGAAGAGAAGGGATAAAACTCAAGTTGAATTCACAGCCATCATTTGGACATGAGGATTGATGGGTGTTTTTCCTCACTCAGACTTTCGGAAAACCCTCATAGCATATTTTGGCTGGGGATACCTGGCAATAAGGGATGCGAGTGGCACTGTGGGTTAAACCACAGAGCCTAGGGCTTGCTGTTCGAAAGGTCGGTGGTTCGAATCCCCGCGACAGGGTGAGCTCCCGTTGTTCGGTCCCTGCTCCTGCCAACCTAGCAGTTCAAAAGCACAAAGTGCAAGTAGATAAATAGGTACCGCTCCGGCGGGAAGGTAAACGGCGTTTCCGTGTGCTGCTCTGGTTCGCCAGAAGTGGCTTAGTCATGCTGGCCACATGACCCGGAAGCTGTACGCCGGCTCTCTCGGCCAATAAAGCGAGATGAGTGCCACAACCCCAGAGTCGGCCACGACTGGACCTAACGGTCAGGGGTCCCTTTACCTTTACCTTTACCTGGCAATAAGGCAAGGAAACCACCCTCTTTCTTGCAAGGTGACCCTCCTACCCACTTCAGGTGGCCAGTTGCCTGCCCCCTCCAGACGAAGGACTATGGCTCAATGGGAGAGCACCTGATTTGCACGCAGAAGGTCACAGGTTCAATCTCCAGCAGCATCTTCAGAGAAAGATTCACTGCCCGAAACCCTGGTGAGCCACTGTCAATCTATGCGGACAATACTGAGCTAGACTGGACCAACAGTCCATGCAAAGCAGCTTCTGAGCACCTAGGATTAACCTTTCCTTCAAGTATTCATTTTGGAGTATTTATGGAGAGTTGCAAGGGGCAATAGAGAGGGGGAACCCCCAGGCCTGAACTTCATCAGAGCACAAAAGAATGCAAGCTGAGCCCTGCTGGATCAGGCCAAAGGGTGCCTGCCCTGTTCTCACAGTGGCCAACCAGATGCCCCAATGGGAAGCCCCCAAAACAGGGCACGGGTGCAACAGCACTCTCTGCCCTTGCAAATTCCAGCAGCAAGCATTCCAGAGTTATACTGCCTGCAACTCCGAAGGCAGTACAAAACCACTGAGGTTAGTAGCCATGGATAGATCTACCCCCCTCCATGATTTTTTGCTTTTGCAATCCATCCAGTTCACGTTTTGTATAGCCATCCAACACTCATGTGGTTCTTCCTTGGGGAGGTTCTCAATTTCTGGTTCTCCATCCAGAGCAACTTTTGTTAAAACCATTAAATGTGCCGATGTGCAAATTCTTCATGCCAAAGAGACAAATGCTTTTGCTTTTAAAAGAGTGGGGTTGGTGTGTGACAAGGAGGACGGCTTTGAATTGTCCACATGACAATGGCTGTGCTTTATCTTTGGCCATGAGAGAACTTATAACCCACACCAGGAATCAGGGCTGGTTCCAGGGTTTTGGGGGGCAGGGCTCCTGACAACACCTTCTGGATGCACTCCCTCTCCCTTCCAAAGTGATGGTGAGAAGGAGCAACACCTCCTCTGCCTGCTCACACCCTTACTCCCTTCCTCTGGATGATAGGAGGATGGCTCCAACAAACCAAGGCATCATCCTGCCTTCAAGGGAAAGGCCAAAGGTGCGAAGGGAGTCAGTGTGACTTAGTTAGAATGTCAGACTAGGAACTGGGAGACACCAGAGTTCGAATCCCACATGCAGCCATGAAGAAGCTCACTGCATGACCTTGGGCCAGTCACTGCCTCTCAGCCCAGCCTACTGCACAGGGTTGTTGTGTAGATCAATTCAGGAGGGGAAGAACCACGTATGCCACCTTGAGCTCCTTGGAGGAAATAGTGGGATATAATGCCTTGTAAGAAGGAGTAATTGCTGGTGGCCAGTTGATACGTCACAGAAGGGCTGGGCGCCTGGAGGTGAGGCAAATCAAGCTCAGGGCAGGCAGCAAGGAGCAAATGGCAAGGAGCCATCCCTAAGACTGAGGTTTTATAGGGCCAGGTGGAATCCTATTGGCCCTTTGTGTCACCTGACTGCTGATAAGCTGGCTGCTGCAGTGCTGCCTTCCATCTGCAGCACTGATGGTGGCACTCAAATACAGCCGAGAATAGACTGTCGCCCTCTCCTGGCAAGCTGCCGCAATGCAGCCACCCTCCCAGCCAGAATCCCCACTTCTTTTGGCACTCAATAGGGTGCCTGGTCCTCCAGTGGTAGAAAGCATCTCCCATAAATGCAGAAGGTCCCAGCTTCAATCCCACGAGCATCTCCAGGGTAGGGCTGTGAAAGATTCCCTGCTTGAAACCCCAGAGCTGCTGCCGGTCAGTGTAGACAATACTGGGATAGATGGACCAATGGGTCTGACTCAGCATAAGGCAGCTTCCTGTGTTTCACTCTCCAGAATGAATCACACATTTACAGGAATCTTAAGGATGTACATTTACCCAAAACATGCCATTCAGACTTGAAATTTATGGCTTGCGATCATCAGGATTTCAACCCACTCACTTCCATATGTGAAGCTAAAAATACTGCGTAACTTTGGGTTACTCTGCCCACCTCTCTCTGTTCCCATTTTTTTTAGAGCTCCCTTTTCCTTTTCTTTTTTTCCTTGTTAAATTCTGGACGGTTCTGTGGGGAGTGCCTAGAATTAACAGAGCGAGCAAGTATGCTTATGAAAAAGAGAACGTTTCCTTCCTAGCATCTACGTAATGGTTGGAACTTAAGTATTTATTAACAAGTCACTATAGCAACTCCTTTAAGAAGAGGAGATCTATCCCGCTACTGAGGAACCACATAAATTGTAGAAAGTGACATGCACAATTATGGACAATGAATTCGTACATCAGCAGTTTTAAAAGTTCAAATTGGGCCGAGCAAGCCAGTGGAAATTCTGTAGGGATTAATTTATGCTGACATATTGGTCTGATTTGTTTATAATAAACGTCAATGTCTAGCCCTGAATTGGGGTTGTTTCTGTACAGTCTTGGAATAGTAAAGCTAATATGTGTGACTACTGGGGATCTAAAGGTTGTTGTTGTTGTGGTGGTTGTTGTTGTTATTAAGTTTTAACATACATGGTAAATATCATTAATCAGATAGGAAATACATTAAATATTATCACCAGAAGAAAACTCTTTAGAAAACAGAGAGAAATATTAAATACTGACATTAATTCAAATGGTTAAATTAGCCTGTCTACATATAATAAAGGTCAATCTTACCAGCAATAAGGTTGCAATATTAGGGTCTCTGGTAGGGTATAACTGGGGCCACAGAATTTTGCAGGTATCTTTCTCTGGGCAGAGAATTAGGTGTGGAACATAGAAAGCTGCCTTCTAGCAGGTCATTGGTCCATATTGCTGAGGATTGTCTACACTGATTGGCTGTGGCTCCAGCCTTACCTGGAGATGCTGGGATTTGAACATAGGACTAGCTGCATGCAAAAGAGATGCTCTTCTACTGAGCTACCACGTTTCCCTTAACACACATGAACACAGGGAGCTGCAGCCAGAATATTGGCCCATCCATTGTCTGCACTGGTTGGCCATTGCTCTCCAGAGTTTCAAAGGGAGCATCCTTCCCAGCCCTGCTTGGAGATCTGCTGGAAAAGGCTGGGGCAGAACCACTCAGCGATGGTTGCTCTAGTCTAGCTACTGGGACAGAGCTGCAGCACCTATGTAAGGTTCAGCCTGCCTGCTGCTGAAGCAACACCTGAGCCTTGCTCCCAGGCAATATTCATCTTGAGCCCTGCACGGAGCTGTCCAGGGTACCTTTGCCCCAACCTGCCTCTACTGAGGTCAGTGCTCACATCAGAACAGCTGGTGCCCCAGCAGGCCATGACAGGAAGCCTCCAGCGGCCCACCATTTTTAATTTAAAACATTTCTGATGCCAGGGCAAGAGTGACAGCCAGCTCATGCTATCAGTTACCTCCTCTGGGGTCGTGGGGTCAATAAGAGTAGCAAGAGGGCGGGTTGAGGGGGATTGGCCCACCCCTTCAGTCCTCCAGAATCCTCATTGGCCCCACAACCCCAGAGATGGGGCCTGATTGCTGGTCTCACTGTTTAAATTAAAATGGCCAGTAGTTGGACCATTGACACAGCTAGGTGGTGCTGCATCTGTGGGCAGTGAGACTTTCCCTCCCCACCTTGCCTGCCTGGTTAACACTTATTCATCCAGCTAGTCAACCAGGGAGGAAAAAAGTATTGGTACCACAGTTTAAAAACAAAGTTTTTTTAAAAGCCAGGCTGTGACAGCAGAGAAGCAGAGAAGTGCCACCCCAGAGGGCAAAATGCTCCTCAAAATTGGCACTTCCTTGGAGTATAACTAAAGGGCCCAAGAGTATCTTTCATGCCAGTGGTTGCAAAATTTTTGGGGGGCTACTGCCCCCTTGGTTCCAAAAACTCATCCCCTACCCTATTAAAAAGCACTATTCAGAATCACAGTTTGCATGACCAACTAAGGACGATAATAGCACAAAAAAATTCAAAGTAGTAACAATTCACAGCACACGTGAGCCTGGATAGCTCAGCTGGTTACAGCGTGGCGCTGATAATGCCAAGGTTGCAGGTTCAATCATTTTGGTGCGAGGTGAGGATATATATAGCAAGAGTAATAAAAATAAATTGTTATTTAGGTGATTTGAATTTAATTCTAAATTATATACCAGAAACGTGGGAGATTACAAGTGGTAAAAGAAAACGGATGTACCGTGCCATATTAGAGGCAAAAAAAACTTGTTTTAATGAATTGGAAGAGCCGCAAAAAGATCCCATTGAGCACATGGATTGACAATATGGACAGACTAGTTACATAGGTACGAATTGCATATCGACGCAATTTAAGAATGGATAAATATGAAGAAATCTGGAAGGAATACTTAAGAGATAAGGCGGAAAGTGGTGGGAAGTAGGGGGAGGAGAGGTGGCGAAATATTGTTAAAAAGGTGTAGCTATAGGTATATCAGTGCTCAAATCTGAATAGTTAAATTGTGTTATTAGTGTTATTGTGGTTTTTGTTGTATGTGTTTTTTTGTGGTTGCTGTTTGTATTGAAAAAAATGATTAAATAAATAATAATAATAATAAAGGTTGCAGGTTCGAACCCCATATGGGACAGCTGCATAGTCCTGCATTGCAGGGGGTTGGACTAGATGATCCTCAGGGTCCCTTCCAACTCTACTATTCTATGATTTATACTCCCTTCTGTTGCTTTCCAGAATAACTGGTATTCTGAAGCATTACTGCCTCCAACTACTAGTATCCACTGACAACCTTATCTTCCTCTATGAATCTGTCTCATCCTCTTTCAAAGCCATCTAAGTTGGTGGCCATCACTGCCTCCTGTGGGAGGGAGTTCTGTAGTTTAACTATGCACTGGGTGAAGAAGGACTTCCTTTTATCTGTGTTTATGCAACAACAGTAGATTCCCCAAAAAACCACCCATCCATCCATTTTTCAGGGCAGTAAAATTGTATGCATGTGGGGTGGGTCCATTGAATTTGCTCTGGAGGGAGGCAAAACTATCAAATGGTTTTGGAATAACAGAAAAATGATAAATTCTCAAAAAAAGTATCTTCCAATACTGAATGAAATTCTGTTGGTAGTTTATGCTCGCAGATGCAAGAAGCCATGGGCTAAGAGACAAGGACTACAGGAGCCATAGCTGAGGTGGGTGGTGGTGGTGTTTTACATGGGTGGTGGTGGTGTTTTACAGAATATTCTCTGGGATTCCTGAAATTCTCCAACAGTTTGGAGAGATCCCCCCGAAAGAACATATTCAAGCATTGCTAAGAGAAACACTTTCCTGAGATATTTCAGCCCAGGCTGGGATGAAACCTCTCTTACTTCCTCCACATCCCTCCACAAAACCACCTTTTCCATTAAGCCTTTGGCACAACCCCAGAGGTCCCAGGCCTGGTTGCAACTAAGCTTATAACTAAATTAAAGAATGTGGAACTGAAACAGCCACATTGCGTTTCTCTGTATAGCTGTGGGCTTCATTTCCTTCCCTTTCCTCAGTTCTTTCTCCCATGCCCAACTCTGGAGGGCAAGCTCCTGTGGGGCAGGGACCTGACCTCTTGCTCTCTGTAAATCACCGAGCACACTGTTGGCACCATGCAAATAATCAGCAGGAGCAACCTAAGAAGAGCCTGATGGATCAGGCCAATGGCCCATCTTGTCCAGCATCCTATTCTCACAGTGGCCAACCCACTGGACCAATGGGAAACTCACTAGCAGGACCCAACCACAAGAGCACTCTCCCTGTCTGCAGTTTCCAGCAACTGGTATTCAGAAGCATTGCTGTCTTTGAATGTAGAGGCAGAGCGTAGCCATCATGGCTAATAGCTACCATTGCTGGACTGTAGCCACTGAGCACCACTGTGACAAGAACAATATACATTGCTGGACTATAGCTGCCTTCATCCCTGCTCATTGGCCATGCAGGATGGGGTTGGATGGATTTGGAGTCTATACCTGTCCTAAATTAGCATGGCATTCTGGAACTATGCCCCCAGGTGGCCAAAGACTGACCTAAGTACAGTAGTACCTCGGGTTAAGAACTTACTTCATTCTGGAGGTCCATTCTTAACCTGAAACTGTTCTTAACCTGAAGCACCACTTTAGCTAATGGAGCCTCCTGCTGCCGCCGGAGTATGATTTCTGTTCTCATCCTGAAGCAAAGTTCTTAACCCAAGGTAATATTTCTGGGTTAGCAGAGTCTGTAACCTGAAGCATATGTAACCCGAGGTACCACTGTAACTGCAGGAACGAAATGTCTCCAGCTAGGAACATTTGGACACAAATTATCCTGGGCAGCAGTGTTGAGTGAGAGCAGAAGCAAAAGGCAGGACCAAAGACCAATTGGGATCAGAAGGCAGAACCAGAAGATATCCCTGGAGTCAAGACCAAAGCCCCAAACCAGACATACACCATAGGACAGGCTGACCAAGCTCTCAAGATGGGCACCGCGGAGACAGGAAGTATACACTCCTTCCTGCCCCAGAGGAACCAATAGCTAGTCTGATGGGCAGAGCCAGACCAAAACCCAGAAGGTTCTTCTCTGAAAAGGCTGCAGTTTGGCACTTCACCACTTGGGGCAGTGGCAACAGCTCCTGACAGGTGGTTCCGATAACAACGGAAGTGTGGAATCGAAAGGGACCACTCCCAGCCTACTGGTAGGACAGTACCCCATGCAGTTTGATCCAGTCCCAGGCAAATCTCCACCTATCCTTCAGATTCAACTTTTTCCTAGGCTTCCATAAGAATAGAAGGAGAGCTTGCTGGGAAACCTGTAAGCAGGTCCTGAGCACAAGAGCCCTCCCCCCTCCTGTAGTTGCTTGCAACTGGTATTCAGAAGCATTGCTGCCTCTGAATGTGAAGGAAGAGAATGGCCATCATGGCTTGTAGCCACTGACAGCCCTTTCCTCTATGAATTTGTCCAATCCTCTTTTAAAGCCATCTAGGTTGGTGGGCACAAGGGTTAAACCACAGAGCCTAGGACTTGCCGATTGGAAGATCGGTGGTTCAAATACCCATGATGGGGTGAGCTCCCGTTTTTTGGTCCCTGCTCCTGCCAACCTAGCAGTTCGAAAGCACATCAGAGTGCAAGTAGATAAATAGGTACCGCTTTGGCGGGAAGGTAAACGGCGTTTCTGTGCGCTGCTCTGGTTCGCCAGATGCGGCTTAGTCATGCTGGCCACATGACCCTGAAGCTGTACACCGGCTCCCTCGGCCAATAAAGCGAGATGAGTGCCGCAACCCCAGAGTCAGCCACGACTGGACCTAATGGTCAGGGGTCCCTTTATTTTACCTAGGTTGCCTCCTGTGGGAACGAGTTCCATGGTACTGCAACATTAATAGCAAGGAACCAACTTGCAGCCTTACAGCTGATTCCCTTTAAATGCAGGAGGAAAACACAAAACATCTACTTTCCTGTCTAGTTAGTATTGTTGCCTGCCGCTGGGGTGTAATGCGCAGGGCAACCTCTCCAAAGAGCACAGCGAGAGTCATGACCGAATCAAGTGCCACCCCTGGAAGAAAAAGGCTAGCCCGTTGCTGCGTGCAGCTGGGTTGCGGCAGGCACAACACAGCAACGTGTCCACGTGGAAAAGCGCAATACCAGCTCTCTCCATCAGCCACACTTCGTCTTGCTGTGGCTGCCTTCGGGTCTTGCCAGTTTTGTTCAATTTGGGAGAAAGGTACATATTTACATTTGAAACATTCCCAGAAATAGTAATGGACTGGAACCCCTCCTAAAGCCCCAGGGTTGTTCCAGAGCCACGGTTTCACTCACAAGCCGGAAAAGTTTCTCTTTTGTTTGAAAATCTCACAGCAGAGCACCCTCCCTCCGTCCCCTCCCTTTGCTTCTGAGTTGGAACTGGGCACAGAACGATGTCAAACATAACTGAAGCAAACACGTCTCCCCTTCCATCAGCTCAGCCCCCTCCATACATAACAGAGTTTTTAAGTTTGCAGGAATGCAGCCAGCAAAAAGGCAAAATTTCACCCTCTCCCTTCTCTGCTGTAACTCAACACGCACGCCAGCAGCCACGCATCAGACCATATGTGGGGGCCAGGCTACATCTCCTAAAACAAATAAAAGGACTGAGCACCTAAACATAATAACGGGTACCATCAAGTCGTTAACTGGACTGCAAAAGTTTTCAGCAAAGAAAGACTCTCTGAAAGTTGAAAAAGCAAAACAAACTTACTTCATTTTGCTGCTGGGGCGGGGGGGGGGAGCTTAAAAAGGAAGCAGATTGAAACATTCGAAACTGGGTCTAGGTGCCAAAAGCTTAATGTACTTGAGATGCAAAGAACTTCTCGACTTCCTCCCTCTGAAACTTTGCAAGAATTTATACCCTTTGCATTTTAAAAGTGGAGGAGACACGGACCGCTCCATCATTACATGCTTTGGAGGCAAATCTCTCAGTTGCTGCATAAATAATAATAATAATAATGAAAATTTGGCAGCTGCGTCTTCTTGCTGACCTAAGCACTTTCTTTCTCCTGAATTGCGTTTCTCACCCGCCACGGTGCACTGCTATGCTCCTCTATGAGATTCAGCACCACACAGAGCCTGCCTTACCTGATAGGAGGCCAATAGCCCAGGCTACCACCAGCTCTCTGTAGAAGTCCATGTGGGTGGTGGAAGTTCCTGGTGGTACCCGACCCAAACCATCCGCTTGAGACGCCTAGGCAGTGTGGCAGCTCCACTCTGAGGGGGGAACGGCTTTCTGCTTATCCCACAAGCCGTTCTTTGCTCCCTGACAGAAGCAGCTCTTGAGAAGGAAGTGGGAGGGAATAAATTGTAGGAGGTGCAGGGGGAGAGGAGTGGAGAAAGGACCAGGCGAGAAGCAGATTCCCAACACCCTGGAGGGGCCACCCTGGGAGCTGCCGGGATTTCCCTTGGCTGCAGAGACTTGCAAGAACTTTAGGAGAGAAAAGGAAAGAATCTGAAGCAACTTCACTCAGTGGGGCTTTTGATTGCAGCTGCAAACAAAGCAGCCTAATTCTGCAGTATCCACAATGCATGCATGCTGTTGAGTTTGAGGGTGTTTCTAAGGGGGGTGGGAACAAGGTATACAATTCTGACTTTTGCAAATTCATATTGATTTTCAAATGAGGTGGAAGGAGAATTTTATAAATGGGGGGTGTCCTTCAAATTTAAAAACCTGAAAAGGGTCACATTCAAAATTCCAGATTTATTCTTTTTTAAAAAAATGTGTTCAGAAATGTCAGCTCTGTTTGGGGGAATTCATTTTTTCCCCCTTTACTGCATTTGCATCTCGCCTTGTCTCTCTCCAAAGAGCTCAAATTAGCGTGCATGGCTCTCCACATCCTCATTAATCCTCACAACAACCCTGTGAGGTAGGTTAGGCTGAGAGGCAGTGACTGCCTTTCTGAAGGCACCAGCTTCAGCATCAAATTGTGGTGGGATGCATCATTCCAGAAAGGGCAAGCAAATGGATGCATCATTTCAAAATATGGCGTCTAGCCCAGGAAATTGGGGTGTGTGTGAAAAAATTGGGGTTGTGTCATAAGAAAATCCTGCTGGATCAGGCCAGGGGCCCATCTAGTCTAGCAGCCTGTTCTCATGGTAGCTGACCAGATGCCCTGAAGGGAAACCTACAAGCAGGATTCAAGCACAAGAGAATACAAGAGAGCTAGTGTGGTGTAATGGTTAAGAGCGGTAGTCTCGTAATCTGGTGAACCAGGTTCGATTCTCCACTCCTCCACATGCAGCTGCTGGGTGACCTTGGGCCAGTCACACTTCTCTGAAGTCTCTCAGCCCCACTCACCTCACAGAGTGTTTGTTGTGGGGGAGGAAGGGAAAGGAGAATGTTAGCCGCTTTGAGACTCCTTTGGGTAGTGATAAAGTGGGATATCAAATCCAAACTCTTCTTCTTCTTCTTCTTCCTCTCCTGTGCTTTCTAGCAGCAGGTATTCAGAAGCATTTACTGCCTGTGACCATAGAGGAAGAACATAACCATCATGGCTAGTAGCCACTGATAGCCCTTTCCTCCATGAATGTGTCCAGTTATTCTTTTAAAGCCATCAAAGTTGTCGTCCAGTATTAGTCCCACTCAGAAAAGATCCACTAAAATTAACCTTCATCCATAGGTGCCAACTTTCTGGGGCCCTGGGGGCCTGAGCACCCACAAAATTCCCCATGAAGGGGCTGGGCACCCACAAATTTTGGTGCCAGGGCCATGCATGTTGCATGGCACCCATAGCCCCAGGCACCCATGGTTGCGGGGTCAAATTGGCACTCCTGTCTGAATCTATTCATTTTAATGGGCCTACTCTGAGTAGGATTCAGTTGGCCATTGTCTGAGACAGTTTTAATGCTCTCATGTTGCAGGTGCCCATTCTGTGCTAGACTAAGGTTACCAGATTTTTTTTCAATGAATCTGGGGACAGTTTTCAACTTCAATGGATTCTGTATGGGGACTGATTTGTAAATCTGGGGACTGTCCCCGGGAAATGGGGATGTCTGGTAACCTTATGCTAGACAGTTGGCTCATTGGGGGGAACTAGGGTTGAGGAGGGAGGGGGCTTGAGATAGGCACACAGGACAGGGTCACCAGATCATAGACTGCTAGCTCCGCTTCCAAATCCAACATGCAAAGTCAGGTCAAGACTCAGCAAGGCAAGGACAACACAGCAGAGGGCAAGTCTGAATTAGGAAGATCAGGCAAAGCAGAGGTCACATTCCAAAAAAGAAGCAAGCAAGGTGAGCAGTACCTTGGAGAGCTCCAATTAACACCTAGATCAGCCATCAGCCAAGGCAGGCTAGAATGTTGTTCTAACAACCAGCAAACCCAGACTGAGCGCTAAATAGACCTTTGAACAGCTAGCCCCTAATGGGTGGGGCATCCACTTTTAAAAGGGCCCAGCCTATTTTAGAAGCTCTGGACTCTGGTGGCAGCGGCGGGGGTGTGTGTGTCTATTATGGCATATGAGCTGGAATCCATTACTTCTTAAGACTGAAAAGGTCCTGGCATTATGGACTCGTTTGGTGCTGTGACTTCTGAGGAGGTAGAAATGTCAATGGCTGGTTCAGAAGAAACATTCTCCTCCAGATTGTCATGGATGCTTTAGCTGAGATTCCTGCATTGCAGGGGGTTGGACTAGATGACCCTTGGGTCCCTTCCAACTCTACGATTCTATGATTTTGTGACTAGATGGGCCACCAGCCGGATCCAGCAGGCTCTTCTTATGTTTCTTTTAAAGCAGATGCTGTACCTTCAGCCCCATTCACAGGGGAAGATGGGAGCCTGTCTCCCATCACTGATCTTATCAAGAACCCCCTAGTAAGTGCTCGAGGAGCTTTCCGCCAGAACAGTATAGAAAGCATTGTTTTCAATGCCAGGCCCCTCCACCAGCCAATACTTTCCCCAGCTGAGATTCTTCCTGGTGAGGAACCAGCATGCCTTCCATTCGTAGTTACTTCCCGGCACATTCTTCCATGGGACAAGGCCCAGGATGCAGATCAATCAAGAGCAGCGGTAGGCAACCTAAGGCCCATGGGCCACAAGTGGCCCACGGGGGTCGTTTAGCCGGCTCACGAGCCCCCCCCCCAACTGAGCCGCCTGCTCAGCAAGTCCCCGTGCACTGCGCTAAACTGGTGCAGCGCTGCATGGGGACTCGCTTCCATGGCACCAGAAATGGTGTCTGCGCATGCGCAGACGCCAAAAATTGCATATGCGCAGACACAGGTGCTGGAAATCACAGGCGCTCTCTCTCTCACCCCCCCCCAATCCAGCCCATGGAGGGATCTCTGCTGGAGTGAACCGGCCCAGGCGAGGTAAACCTTGCTGACCCCTGAGCAAGAGCCATCTTCTACTGAAGAATTGATCCTGTTTTTCTGTCTGACCTGCCAACTATCAATGCAATAATCAAAACCGATCCCTGGCAACAGATGTATTTCCAGGCTGGGCTGTTTTGCCAAACCTCCACAGCCCTGTCTAGATTTCCTCCGTGAAATGAATATCTTTCAAACTCTTCATGGCAAATGCTGGAAATACCTTTACCAGACCTGTTTTTGAGACAGGAGACCCGTTCCCAGTTTGGCTGAGCAACCTGCAAAGGATTCTGTTAAACATTTGTCCATGCACATTCATAACACCCTCCTTTTATTTTATTTCTTTGCAGAAGCCCTACAGCTGAAAAGCTGGCTCCCTTGGAAATGTCTCCACTGTGAACCTGTTCCAGTGGAAAGAAGAGAATAAGCTGTATAATATTGTTTCAGAGAATTAGCATTTGGACCCTGCCAAGATTCCTAAACAATCCACATCCATTTCTTTCTTTCTCTCTCTCTCTTTTTAGACCATCTCAAATGAGTTGGAGGATTCCTAAGAGACTGATAAATCCAGACAAATCGCAGTGTAACCCTTGACAGTCTGACGGGGCCACTTAAGGGTCTGTGTGCCAGATCTCGAGGGAACAAATGGAATTCCACTTTTCCCTCTCTCTTTTTTTGCCAAAGTTAGTCTGATGACAAATCGGTGCCAAGAGGGAGGGGTGGGGAGGAGAGTCTTTCCTTCCAAGTTGGAGGGGGATCTAGCAAGTGGCTGGGATGTTCACATGGTCCTCATTAGCAAGGCTGGCTGCAGAGGGAGAAAAAATTAACTGCATAACTCCACCGGGTGCAAATTGCATCTTGACTTCCCTGCCTTCCTCCAGCCCACAATAATGGCAAACTCTCTTTCATTTTGGAAAGCTTTTCACCGTCCTGAGGCACACTCTGCTCCCTTTGATGCTTTTAGCATGTGCCCGGATGATGGGATCCCATCAAGGAATCTTGGAGCTAGAAAGGGGATGCAGGTGATGTAAGTCAGGCTGAGCTCTGCCTGGGGATTCCTCTACTCCTGAAATAATAGAACTTCCAGGGCAATGCCTCACTCCGGGCTTCTCTGATCATGCCTCATAAGCAGCTTTTGAATGGCACTGAGCCTCCTCTCTGGAGAAGAGACGGCTAAGAGGTGATAGGATAGTCATCTTCTAATATCTGAAGGGCTATCACAGATGGAGCAAGCTTGTTTTCTGCTGCTCCAGAGGGCAGGATCTGAACCAGTGGATTCAAGGGACAAGAAAGGAGATTCTGACAAAACATTAGGACCAAAGGAGATTAAAGGTAAAGGGACCCCTGACTATTAGGTCCAGTTGCGGATGACTCTGGGGTTGCGGCGCTCATCTCGCTTTACTGGACGAGGGAGCAGGCGTATGGCTTCCGGGTCATGTGGCCAGCATGACTCAGCCACTTTTGGCAAAACCAGAGCAGCGCACGGAAACACCGTTTACCTTCCCGCCGGAGTGGTACCTATTTATCTACTTGCACTTTGTGCTTTTGAACTGCTAGGTTGGCAGGAGCAGGGACTGGGCAACAGGAGCTCACCCCTTTACGGGGATTCGAAGTGCCGACCTTCTGATCGGCAAGCCCTAGGCTCTGTGGTTTAACCTACAGCGCCACCCACGCCCCTAGGGGATTAGGACCAAACATTTTTTATGGTAAGAGCTGTTAGACAGTGGAAAGGACTACCTCAGAAGGTGGTGGGCTTTCCTTGGTTGGAGATTTTTCAACAGAGGTTGGATGACCATCTGTCAGGGATTCTTTAGCTGTGGTTACTGCATTGTAGGGGATTGGACTAGATGACCCTTTGGGTCACTTCCAGTTCTATAATTCTATGATTCTATGGTCTGTGTGGACTGGTGCCTATTACCACCGATAAAGCAGAAGACAGAGGTGCCACAGTAAGTGGTGCCAAAGC